TGGAAGTTCCTCATTCTTACATGCGTGAAGGATGTGTGGATCTCACTTTTCACACTTCCTTCACGCGTGTGAACACTTTACTTTGGGATGAATACTACAGATGAGACCCGACTTTACACCTACGGCCTATCTCCAAGGTGTAATCGTGTGCCGGTTATTTTCCCACACACACGCATTGTACTGATATGTAGTTCCAATGGAAATGTAATTAATCCAATGGGCCATGCAGGAACACCATTGTACAACATCTGGAGTGGCATCATTGGGAATTACATTATTCAGACCATCATTAGACCATCAGCTTGACAAAGAGAACATTTGCAACACTAATCTTCTTCCTCCTCCTGATTGATCACGGTGTTGACATCATCATCCGGATTACGGGCCTCCTCATTGTCCTCATCAACCGCTTGTTTAACAACTACATAATAGCCATCTTTAATGTCATCTACCCACATCTGATGCGTTCTGGCAGCCATTTTTTCATAAGCAGTTGCAAGGAGCGCATCTGTCATACGAGAGTTGGGATCTTGTATGACCTCCAGGTGTGTATTGCCCTTGAAAGTTCGAGCTTTCAATGTTAGGTGAGGTGATGAAGTCTTTGGGTGGCAGTCTAAGTGGTTGAAGGGAGGCTTGAGATGTTGTCCTATGAAGTGATACTGTGAGTGAAATTGAGCTCTTGGGGGCTGAATAAAATGATGGACTTACGGACAAGATTATTCAACTTGGCTGTGAGTTGAAATTTAAGCAAATCACTAGCCTGAGGTTTCTTAGGGGGTTTGGTCTTGAGATCGGATTGTGTGATATGCCTGACGAAATGCTCAAGAAGCTTCCATTTTTTATCGGTCAAGCTTGTCCAGTCGTCGGAGGATGATGACTGCATTTGCCATTGACCTTTCTCATTGCGAGTGTTGGGGTTCCATGAGGTTGCCATGAGGGCATAGTCAACTCCGTAACGGATGTGGATTGTTTGAAGCTAGGTGGAATTGAAACAGAAGTTTATTTTAATGACCAATAAATGAGTGATGGACGTGATCAGAACCTTTACCTCATGTTCAATACGTTCCACCTCTTCAATACCCTTGTTCTGTCGAGCGGTTGGGAGATGTGGACCGAATTTTCCTTTCCCTAGATCACGTGCGACTTTATCCTGATCAACTAGTCGCTTGAATATTGGAAGATATGTATCCCTTTCTTCGGCATCGAGTGGAACTGTCCCAGGCTCTACAGGTGGCTGATCCCATCCAGAGGCTAGGTATCCTAGGAAGAAAAACATTCGACCATTAAATACATCCTTCTCCTCCGGTTCTAGGTTGGTCCAAGTTGTCCCTAAGTATTGGTTGCGCTCTTTGAAACCTTCTTGGGTGTTCCTTGGTGGCACTGATAGAGGGTAGTCGTTAGCGAGAGTTTTGAAATTGATGTGTTAGAACTTTTGATACTATACTTAAGAAAGTTTTGATAAAAGTTTCGTTTCGTTCTGATACTCACTTCATGTCTGCCATTAGGATTAAGTAGAATAAAGGTAAGTATAATGACAAGACAAGCAAAGAGTTGATACATTGTTTCAGACTTACAGGAATTCATTCACTGTCTTTTCGCTGCATTTGGCAGCTAATGCCAGCATTTTCTTGGCCCGCCGGTACATGAATTGAAGATTTTTCAATTCATTTTGGATATCAGATGGGATGCGATTGCGAGTTTTGCGTCCAGAGGCTGAAAGGAGTTTGTTGATAGTGTAAATATCCAAATCGAGATCCTTGTAGTTTTCGAGTGTGATTTTGTGTTTGAGCCTAGCATTTGGATGAGGGAGACGAGGCTGTGTTTGTGGCCGTGCAGCGGGTTCGTCTTGACCATCTACATCTTCTACATCTTGATCTTCTTCTTGATCCTCCCATGCATGGTCGTCTTCCTCTGATGAATCCGAATTGTCAGATTTGTCTGACAAGGTCAACAAGGTGGCGTTTGGGCGAATCGGTTCAGCTGGCTGTTGTTTGCTATTAGTGGATCGTTTGGTGGTTGGTTTAGTGGATTGTTTGGCACGCGAAGAAGGTGGAGCAGGTGCAGGTTTTGGTTTCTTGGTGTTACGAGTGACTCGTTGTGGCATTTTGCGCTTTTGTGATACGGGTGGTGCCATGCTTAGTTAGACGATGGATGTAAAGTTGGATAGTTGAGGTGGTGGTGGAAGGGATGATTGATGTTTTGGTGGGGTTATGTGTCATATGTAGCGAGTATTAATACATGTGATGTGGGTATGTATCACATGTGTAGACAAGGGGTGACAGTGGGAGGCATGTGAAGTGTGTGAAATAGCGGGAATTCTCTTCAAGTGGAGTGTGAAGGGTTGTGAAGGGGCGTTTCATTTATTTGGCAGTTGTGTGGGACTTAGAGCTTGGGAGGTTACTAAAGATGCATCCAAGCATCTTAGGATGCATCTGCGTGCTTATCTTCGGACTCGCTGCGAGGATACATTGACTGTTATCCTCGGGTCGGGGCCAAACTTCGAGTGCACACGAGGTGGGCAAAACTAGCCTCCTGCAGCGGCCCTGTTTTATCTATTGCTTGCACCCAAAACTGAAGAATGCTCGAGCTCACGTCACCTACTTTTCATACATTATCGATAGTGAACAGCAGCGCAGGACATTTAATAGAGTCTGGCTATCAAGAAGAAGAATTCACTTGTATCTGATTATCTTTTTCTTTGACTCGGATCCTAAGCTTTTAGAAAGTGTGATGTGCTACACCGGTACTTGGAAGTGAAATTGTACAGTAGGTTTATGGTAACCTTCCAAACGCAAGATGTTGGTTCTCAACTTCTCGCATTCGTTATACTCTCAGTTAATGACTGATTGTGAGGCTTATGACTAGAATTTCTGGTTAACTGTTAAAACAATGGAATCTGTGATTAAACATGTTAATGTGGTAAGATTCTTCTACAACTTGAAAAACTGCGACAAGCCAGCTTGTTCATATTCTCCAGTCACCGTAGAAGATAAGAATGTTCCAATGGTTAAGTGCAGCCTGTACATGCTATTGGATTGATGGTGACTTCACACCAAAGGAACGACGTGTGGAGAGTTTCCATAGCTGTGAAAGGAGGGTGACAGGGGAGTAGAGTCTCCCCATGTCACACCTGGGTGACAGGGGAGGTGACCCGCGGGCAGGAAGTGGAACATACAGATTGAAGATTTTCAACCTCTAGCCCACTTCTCTTAACACCCGCGGGAAGTCACAGTCTACGTTCTCTAGCCGTTGGAAAGATTTCTCTACGCTCATAGTTTCTCTCACAAAATTTTCCTTTTTGATAAACAAACTTCGGACACACAATATTACCACAAGAAGTATTGGAATGGACAGCAACCAGTTTCAGGATCAAATTGACATGAAGTTGCGAAACACACAAGACGGAGAGAATGACGAAAGAGGCGAGATAGAGAACGACCCTCCCCCGCAAGGGACGAGTGACAACACGAAAGAAGAAGGGAAAGAAGGAGAACCTAGCACGGTCCCCTCCCAAGAGGTGAACCAACCCCCGCAGGATTTGGATTCTCAACCTGCGAAGAAGCAACCGAAAGGTAAAGCAAAAGCTAAGCCTGTGGGTCCAATTCGAATCAAACCCCTAACCCGGCAACAAGAGCAGATCAAGATAGCCGAGGAGAAGGAAGCCGAAGCACGAGCCAAACTTATGGACAAGAGGTTGGCGAACGAAAGAGCGGTGCAACGGATCAAAGAGTTGGAACAGTTATTAGGGGAAAGAGGAGACGGGGAAGGCAAAGAAGAAAGGAGCGATGCAGAGGAAGATGAAGAGGTAGAGAATGCAGATGTGTGGGGAGCCCTCGAAGGCAATGAGGGTGAAAACCTGAGATGTGAGAGGAATGACCGGGTAGTAGGGGGTGTGGTGATTGAGGAACGTCCGGGGACCATGCAAGGTAAGCTTCCCCCCATTGTCAACCCTGGAAATACTTCCACTCGTGGAAATGCCTCTCGCCAGAGAGATGAACCTGGGGATGAGGAAAAAGAGATTAGAGCAATTCTCCGCAAGGAATGCCTCTCCGGAGATGAACTTAGGAATGGGAACTGACATCTGGGTGACGGTCTTAGTAGTAGAACCAGTCGCATTGACAGCTACAGAAAGGTTGGCCAAGAGAATGGACAAAGAAATCGAGCTAGCCTTCCGGAACCATGACAGGCGGCTGTATGATGAGTTGGTGGAAGCGAAAAGGGAGTGGAAGGAGTTCAGCAAGAAGAAAGGTAGTGGTGGCGAGACTCAAGCCACATCTACGGCAGCAGAACCCAAGAAGAAGAAGAAGGTCCAGGTGGATTCAGGGAACTCCCTGACTCACGTCTTAACCCCCCTTTCCGGATACTGGGCTTCGGTGATGTCTGACCTGAACCGGTACATCCCGTTATCGATTTTTGACCCTGTCTGGCTACGTCAAGACTTGAGTATGATGTCAACGAAGTCATCCCGGGCGAAGACGAAGGACGCCGACTCACACTCCTACAACGGAACCCCAATCCCGAACGAGTGGAGGACGACGGTGGCCCAATGGCACCGCCAGAAAAACCTCTTTATCGAGTACTTGCTATTCTACAAGCAAGACGATGTGGCTAAGGCTATGAAGCAACACTTTGAAAACGTGTTGGAGATTCAGAGCGAGAACGAAGATGGTTGGATGGTGGCGTTTAGGTATGACTTGGAGATGAGACAAGCATATATGACCTTTAAGGTTGGGCCTGAGGAGAAGATGCCGGACATTGGAGTCAGAGATGTGAAAGTATTGAAAAGAGCGGAGAGAGAGACAACACGGAGAGGTGATGACACTTATCTGGATAATCCGTACGCATTTGGAGCGGTGAAGGCGATGATAGACCCGATTGATCAGGAGAACTGGGAAGGTCGGAGAGGGACATGGTGTGATACGTCAAGGAACAAAGCGAAGGAAGCAAAGTCAGAGAAGGTCAAAGCGACGAAAGCCACTCAATCAGTTCGGTCAACACTCTGGGCCCAAGCTCGACATGAATCCCACTTACCAGCAACGACACCATCAACCTTCACCTCGTCAACCTTCCAATCGACGGTACCGTCTACACAGGCAGCGCCAATCCCGACAGGTCCAGCAGCTGAGAGGGGAGGAGGAAACCCTTACCGAGGGAAGAACTTCATCAGGAATTTTAACAAGAGGAAAGCGGATGGGGTAGCAGGCGGTAGTGGTTGGAATGGTGGTGCAGGTACTCCAAAGGGAGGAAGGGATAATGGCTACGGGGATAGAAACCCAAGGAAGTGAGTAGAACAGCTCTTTGATAGAGAAAGGAAATGGGAGGTCTGCGTACCAAAAGAACCCAAACTAGATCGTAAAGACTAGAACCCTGATGTCATGAGAAGAACGACACCAGATGCAATAGAGACTGACTGTTTGTTTGCTTGCCATTCTTGACCGCGTGCCTCCTCCACCCCCCTATCTGAATCTTGCCCGGACGTTGATCAGGCATTGATGACGGAATTCGACTTGATGGACGAGTGGGGAGATGTTCTCAAGAGCTTGAAAAATGGCTTCCACCAAGGAATACCAGACCACTCGATTGATGATCGGCCTTGGTATACACCTGAGAATCAAGAGTTGGCCAACTTGGTGAAGGACAAAATAGAGAGGAATATTAAGAAGGAAAAAGCTGAGAGGAAGTTGTTCGGGCCGTTCACTCACCAAGAAGTACATGATCGATACGGCTTCTTTAGGTCCAACCCTATGGGCAGCGTCGTGAATAGCGACGGGAGCTTCCGGATGATTAATAATTTGTCTCACCCAAAGAACGATGACTCAATACCGTCGGTGAACTCGTTCGTCAATAAACACGAGTTCGAGACGACGTGGGATGACTTCTACGAATTGGCGAATTTCCTGAAGAACAGTACGGTCAGGTGGGAGTTAGCCATCTTCGACTGGGAGAAAGCCTATTGGCAAATCCCAACTCACCCGTCCCAATGGAGGTTCCTATTGATCCTGGACTTCAACGGTCTCCTCTGGGTAGATACTAGAGTAGGCTTTGGAGGCGTCGCGGGTTGTGGAACGTTCGGTAGGGCTGCCGACGTATGGAAAGAAGTGATGGTACGAGCAATAAAGATCCCCAAGATCTTTCGCTGGGTTGACGACAACCTGATTCTGAGAGAAGAAGGGAGTAATATCAAGATGGAATCAGTTTTGGAGTTAAGTGCTCGTATGGGAGTGAAGACGAATAGTACCAAATTCTCGGATTTCGCCAAAGAACAGAGGTACTTAGGGTTTATATGGAATGGGCATGAGAAAACTGTGCGACTCCCAGAAGAGAAGCTCCAAGAGCGAATAGATAGTATTAGAGAACTATTGGGAGGGGCGAAGTGGAAAAAAGAAAAGGTGGATAAGTTTGTGGGAAGACTTGGACACATTACTTACATTATGCCCGACATGAAATGTTACATGAAGGAACTCTACGCGTGGAAGGAACCATGGAGAAACACCAGTGCGGAAAGAGGTATCACGCAAGCTGTACGAGATGATTTAGAAGAATGGTTGGAGGTGCTGATGTCGTTTGACCACATGAGGATTATACCAACGGCGGAGGCGGTCGATATAGAGTGGGTAGGCGACGCTTCGATGTCGTACGGAATTGGGGTGAAGATCGGATTGAACTGGGGAAGGTTCAAATTGTTAGCTGGGTGGGAAGAGGTAGATGAAAGAGGCGTGAAGAGAAACATAGCTTGGATAGAGACGGTCGCAGTCCGTTTGGGGATTTTGATGCTAGCAGAAATTTCTGAAACGAAGGGTCGATGTTTCAAGGTCTGGACCAACAATACAACCACCGAAGCGGCGATGCGAAACTCTAGATCAAAAGATAGGGCGGTTAATAACGAATGGAAACAAATCCAAAAGTTACTTACCTCATACCAGCTAGCAATCAAACAAGAACGTGTGGGAACCAACGATAATAAGGCCGACGGATTATCGAGAGGCTTCACAACAGGATTCCAATGGCGCAACGAGGTACTGGTGGGAATGCCGACCGACCTACGGAACTATTTAGAACAAGAGTAGGAGGACAGAAGGAGGTGGAGCAAGGAGGAAGAGAAGATGATTTGAAGAAAATTAGGAATTTTGTCTCCGACGAGAACGGGATAGTGACGTTGCATGAAAATAAAGTACAGAGGATGATGGTGATGGGAGGTAGTTGGTCCAGAGAGACGTTGATCCAATATAACTCGGCAATTTTGAAGCTGCTTGCCTACGCCCAGAGTCGCAGGTTGGAGAGGCACCAGATCTTACCGCTGAGCGAGGCAAATGTCGAGGGGTTTATAGAATGGGCTGCGCCTAAGCTAGAAGGCGAAGAGCAATTGAATCACGAGCTGAAACCGTCAACGATTGAATTGTACTTGGCAGGACTTCGGGCATGGCACCTTTTTCACCACAAGAAATTCCCGGAGGTAAACCAGAAAGTCATAAACTTACTACTCAAAGCAGCGAAGTTGATCGACGCGAGGTCGCCCCCAAAGACGCAGAAGAGAGCGGTGGAGATCAAACACCTAACGAGTATGTTGAGGGGAATGAGGAGGGGTGACGAGGCGATGGAACTGTGTGTCACGGTAGCGCTGGTAGCGTTTTGGGGGATGGCAAGGTTGGGGGAGTTGGTGCCGCTGAATCGGTCGAAGGAGGTTAGGCTGTGTGATCTGAAGATGTCAAAAGATAAGCAGGAGTTGACTATAGGACTGAGAGGGGCAAAAACAGCAAAACCTGGGGAGGTTCAGTACTTACAAATTCGGTGATTTAAGTCTTTACTGGACCCAGTCGGAGCAGTGGAAAGATTGATGAAAAAGCACATCTCGAACGGAGCAAGAGAAGACTCGCCTTTGTTTAGGTACTATGATAAAGAAGGGGAGGCGGTATTGGTTAGCAAAGGTTGCTTGATGGGGTGCTTGCAGAAGGCTTGGAGAGCGGATGGCTTAACGGGCATAACCAGCCACTCCTTTAGAGTGGGCGGCGCATCCTTTCTTTGGAACCAAGGAGTCCCTTTGGACAAGATTGTAGAGAAAGGCAGGTGGAAGTCACGTGCATACAAACAATACTTGCGTAAATTTAGTGATGAGGAGAACAAGGAAGGGAAGCGGTGGCTATTGAAAATGGAGTTGAATTGATTGGAAGGAAACAGAAATGCAGGTGAAACCTTGTTTTGAGAATCTGAACTGTACGATTGAAATCGTAATGAGTCTATTACAGATCCTCCAGAGCACGCTGAGCATACAAGTTGCGAATTGAGGGGAAGGATCTGCATGGGTAATGAGAAGACCGCTGAGAACGCGGAGGCATGCACGAAATCACACATGGGAGCTGACAAGCCCTGAGGGGCGAGGAGGGGCATGCGGGCCTTGGGGCACAGGAGAGGATGGGTCCGAGCGAGCTTGGGAGCTCTCCAGCACTCCCAAGGTTGGGTAGGCTAGGACCGGACTCTCCGGTGTTCACAGGCCTGTCGGGCTTCCGGGTAGGCCAACCTCGGGTGGGATCCGTTCAGGACGATCCTGTAGCGGTCCCAGTCGAGGCCTACCCTTCGAAGAAGCCCCCCCCCACCCTAGCATGTACTTAGTAGATAGTAGGTAGTGTTAGCTTGGCCTGGGTTCATTGAAAGAGAAATTAAGAATACAAATAATAGAAGGGCTACCTTAACCCGAGTGTAATAGAAATGGATGGTGACTTCACACCAAAGGAACAATGTGTGGAGAGTTTCCATAGCCGTGAAAGGAGGGTGACAGGGGAGTAGAGTCTCCCCATGTCACACCTGGGTGACAGGGGAGGTGACCCGCGGGCAGGAAGTGGAACATACAGATTGAAGATTTTCAACCTCTAGCCCACTTCTCTTAACACCCGCGGGAAGTCACAGTCTACGTTCTCTAGCCGTCGGAAAGATTTCTCTACGCTCATAGTTTCTCTCACAAAATTTTCCTTTTTGACCCGCCCACCTCCCTAGGCTAGGACCGGACTCTCTGGTGTTCACAGGCCTGTCGGGCTTCTGGGTAGGCCAACCTCGGGTGGGATCCGTTCAGGACGATCCTGTAGCGGTCCCAGTCAAGGCCTACCCTTCGAAGAAGCCCCCCCCACCCTAGCATGTACTTAGTAGATAGTAGGTAGTGTTAGCTTGGCCTGGGTTCATTGAAAGAGAAATTAAGAATACAAATAATAGACGGGCTACCTTAACCCGAGTGTAATAGAAATGGAATGAGAGCAAAGGTGAGATTCTCGTTAGATCTTCTCAACTTCACCATGATTCAGAATGAGTCTGACTTACTTATGAATGGTGCTTGGGAATCCTGGTGAGGGCACTTGAACTGTTTACCGGCAGAATTGAGACAGACTGAAGATATTTGATGACATCGTAAAGGCAGTGAAGATGACGAATCAAAAAAAGTGTAACGAGTCAATGACCGAAGAAAAGTTTTACTGACCGAAATTCTTTTTGTCGTAGTATTGGTAGATGACACAATTCTGTGTACTGGGCGGAATACTATTATCGTCAGCGACGCAGTCTGGCCATGAAACAAAATGGACATCTACGAAATCATCAAATTCATGAAATAGATCAGATTCGAGTCGAGTTTTGAAATAGGAAAGTTATGGTCTGACTTACTATTATGATGACAATTTTTAGGATCACACTTGTGTTGTTTCGATGGCCATTTGATATCTTCAAAGCAAGCTATTCAAAGTAAAGAAAAAAATCAAACCGGATTCATTCACAGAAAGAAATAAAGTCAATAAAGCCCTACGCTGGAAAAACCCTGTGTTGTATCCACCACGACAATCAACAGTCAAAGCATTGACTGAGTTCATATTTAGAAAGAAAGACATTGTGAAACAAATCACAACAATGGTAAGATAATTTTTCAAGCTCATTTTGATGTAGGTAAATGTTGAGAGAATGTTAGACGGGTGAAAAAGGTACTGGGAGTCTGTGAAGCTAATTTGAGGTCGACTTATATTCGATTTTTTATGACACATTTTTGTGTGTACATATGTTGTGATCTTAGAAAAACCTCCGACTTTTTGAGGAACGGTAGACGCCAAGCGCAACCAGCTTCAAGTATTTAGCTTGAACAAGCCCTCTCTGCGCGGCCACGTCCGCGCGCCTCGCAGAGGGGCTTGGGACTAATTGTCAAATTCTGGCACGGAGACTCCAAGGATTAAGTCCTCTTAAGTCGTTTTTTGCTTTTTCCCGGTCTCCTCGCTGATAAACACCAATGTCCCTTGCAGGCAACCTTCTTCAGCATGACATTGTACACATCCCGGTATGCGCATATCTTAGATAACCTGGGTGATGTGGCCGAGAAAATGAGATGAAAATCTTTACAACAATGCCCTTTTTTGGATTTCAAGTCGCTTTACGTTGTAAATACAGGCTGTACAGTTTGGGCCACCTCTTACAGGGCAGACATAAACCTTGAAAAGGAACCTCAAGTGTTCACAAATGGTGAATTTTTCCAAGTCGTTCAGTGGTGGAACACATGTACAAAATTATTCCAAAAAACTTTGCCTGCAAGCCAAACTGTTGTTGATCAGTGAGGAACGCCGGAAAAGCCAAAAAACGACTTAAGAGGACTTAATCCTTGGAGTCTCCGTGCCAGAATTTGACGATTACAGTGGGTAAAGTCAAGAATGTGTAACAGGTCCCCCCCGCATAGGTCCCGGGTCCGAAATCTTTGAGATTTGAGAAAAAAATGTGCGTAGGGTTAGGGTTAGGGGTTGGCTTAGGGGTTGGAGCTGGAAGCTGGGCTAACATTACATTGTTCTTTAGAATATCAAAAGCACTCTTGGGAATGCAAAGGTTTTGCAGATTCCAAGAACCTATTCGAGAAATCACAGAAGTCTTGCCCAGTTTCGACCATCCGGAGATACTTTCGAAAGATCGATAGGCAGCATTCAGCATATGCGTAGGTTCTCTTCCTTTCTGACTAGGCTTGTTCCTACTGACACATAGTTGATTTCAGGCAAGGATACAACAGTGTTGATGCTGCCACGGTTGTGAAGTTGTATTCTTCCCATCGATGTGTTCCAAGGAATGCCGCATTGAGAGTCGATGTCATCGCTCCACAGCCACGACAGTAAATATCATTCAACAATACAAGAAGTTGCGAATTTAGGTAGGTGGTTTTTCTCTCTCTCTCTCTCTCTTGTTGGTCAAGGATCAATGTGCCTTGCAATGATACGTCTCAAGCAAGGTGATCGAACGTCCAAAGTCCAGCAAAATGCTGAGCCAACACCAGCCTATGTATCTAAGTGCATAAGATACCTAGCAACATACAGTAGGCACCATAGCAGCTTAAGGACATAGCTTTAAGTACTTAAGTATGCCCTAAACCCCTAACTAAGTACTTAGCTTAGGCCTTAAGCCCTGGGTCCGAAGCTCGGAGATCCCAAAAAAAAAAAATTACATTTTGCGACTTCGCTTGGATATATCTAGATTAAGCCAAATCTAAGGATTTTGCCTGTCTATGTATCGTGGCCTAACATTGATGTTAAGTGTGGCATCTTTAAGTCGAAGACTCAAATTTCGATTTTGCGGGGGAAGCTGTTACACATTCTTGACTTTACCCACTGTAGTCCCAAGCCCCTCTGCGAGGCGCGCGGACGTGGCCGCGCAGAGAGGGCTTGTTCAAGCTAATTCAAGTATGTAGTGATGATACAAATCAGGGATGCACCAGTGAGTATGAGTATACCCAACTCATACTCACCAAGCACGGGTATGGGCCCCGCAGAGGAGTACATGTACTCCTCTGCGGGGCTGTAAGAGTTACACTCCACATCGGAGGACTCAGTTCTATGTGTATTTGGATTACACATACTCCAGGGCACCCCCTATCCGCGCCATATACTCACTTCCCCATTTTTCTTCTTGATCCTTGTTTGGCTGAGTATTTACTCACCAAACACTCAGCCAAAGCCCTCGATAAATCGATTCTGATTTCTAATCTGAATCGATTTTTCGATATCGATATCTCATTTAGTCTTAGTTCGTTCACGTGGTGGATTCATTTAGTTTTCTCATTAGCAACATCAACACCGCCTCGAAACAAACCAACTCGCCAAACCCTCAGCCCAAGACCTCCTTTCGGAATCGATTTGGATCAGATTAGAAATCAGGATATCAATATCAGTTCACGTGGATATAGATTTATTTGGATTTGTGCTTTCATTAACAACATCAACACCGCCTCGAACGAAACCGCCACCTGCTCAAATCGTTATCTCGTTATCTTTCCCGTGGTCCACACTTATTAATCGCACCTTCTAGATCACATCGTCAGCCTCAAATCCCATTCGAGCTGGTCCACACTGATTAATCGCACCTTTCACATCCTCAACCCCAATTCACCTATCACTTTGGACTCATACCCACTCTGGATGAGTGGCTTATAGCTCATTTATCAATCAATCAATCTATCTATATTACATCAAAAGATTTATCGTCTCCAACTTATTCAATCTCACCATGGGGGTTGATTCTTCTGGACCCGGTGGCTATCTCGAATTGATGTTGCCGGCGTTGGATTGGGTAAATGGGCATTTGGAGGCGCTGGGCAGTATGGAATGGGCGTACGACCCAAGGTGAGTTGCCCAATGTTTGATTTCGATACGATTCTTCCCTAATTTCACCCGCCCCGTTTTCGTTTATTAATTTTCCCCTGTCGATTGTTCTAACTTCTTTCCTCTCTTTATTTTTTGTCTTCAGACCCGTCCAGTTCCTTGTCAGCATGCCTCGTAATCTCGCTAAGCCGCCTCCACCTCCCAAGGTTTCACCTTACACACGTCGTTCCACTCCGTCTTCTTCTCAGCCTCGGATGACGCCAGCATCTTGTTTGTCCTCGGCCTCCTCTCGTGTCGGGTTAGGTGTTGGCTTAGGCCCTCGCACCTCGACGTCTTCAAACCTAGTCGACGCGACCCCTCCTCGCCGTCCCAGAAGCATGGTCCTAGTCGACACCACTGAGGAAGACGGTGAGGCTTCTATGGTGAGATCGTCTCGGCATAGGTCTGATGTGTATTTGTATTTCGAGGTGAGTACAAAAATTTACTTGTATTGGGGCTTGTTGGTATCTGACTCACTCCTGACACGTGTGGATGCGACATCCTGTAGGAACCTCGTGTCCCGGATGACGACAGCAAGGCCGAAGGGTCTAGATCGTACCCATGTCTCCACTGCCCGTAGGTTTCATTTTCCGGATATGACTCTTTGAGTAGCCATGCTGACCTCTCTTGTTTTCCAACAGCGTCGTTCTATCGGTGAGCGGTAGACCCAACTCAAATCTGCACAAACATCGACGCAAGTGTCCCGGATTAGCTCTAGCTTGGTACAACCACAAACCTGGAAGCATTGCTCCTGAACAGGATCCCATCGTCGCCGCTGACCACAAGAAAGCTCTTCGGACTTTGCTTGTTGGTGCAGTCATCAGCAAGAATTTACCGTTTTCCATCTTCGAGGGAGTGTTAATGCAGAAGGCTCTACGAGCGATTGCCCCTTCGTTCATGTGGCCCGGCCGTATGGCCGTCAAATCGGACTCGGAGGAACTGTTCTACGATTTGGAACGGAAGCTACTCTCCGAAATCGCTGCAGTTCCTGGTTTGATCTCAACGGCCACTGACTGTTGGACCAGCGCGGATTTTTCGCATACTTACTTGGCGATCAACGGGTTTTTCTTCAATGCGCAAGGGAGGTTCTGCCGTCGCCTGCTCACCTTCAAGGTAAGTTTTTCATTGCTAATGCGAACTTAATTCTAGTTTCACATTCTGACCATTTTGTATCCCTCAGAAACTTGAAGGGAAACATACCGGCGAAAACCTTTCAAAGGTTTACTGGAAGGCCCTCGAACATGTCGGTTGCCTTCGCAATCACTACGCTGTCACTGGCGACAACGCTTCTTCAAACCGCGCGATGGCGAAACTTTTGGGCGAACGTTATTCGACAATTGGCATCCACTGGCCTTTCGATAGTCGCTTCCATGGCTGCATGTGCCACGTGATCAACCTCGTGGCGAAGGACTTCCTGGACGGAATGGGCCAGCTCAACGATGAGGACATTGCGGCTTTCGAAACCTCGGGTATGGCTGAATCTCGATCCACATTTGAACCTGACGAGCTTCCATGCACTGGGGACTACAATGTATCGGTGACCGAGACACTTCCGGATCCGACTGATTCAATGGCTCATGCATCGAATGAGGTGCACGGGGCCACGCAAACTCCAGATGACGATCTTGTCTTATCTCAACTGACCAATGACGATATGGTAACCGATCACCCTCAGCTTGATGAATCGCCGACTGTCGTTATCGCGGCAAGGCAGAAGAAGTCTACCATCGTCACGAGAATCCGCGCGTTGGACACTCACATTCGCAAAAGCCCTCAAGAGCTTGAGGCTTTCATCAAGTTGCGGGACAGCGTGCAAGATCCTCAACTTCTTCCACTCAGCTGCCCTCCTACTCGCTGGAATTATTTCTACTATGTGGTCAGTCTCAATTGTTTCATAACCTTGTCGGGCAGTTCTGAATCAGATTGTTGATTTTCCTCTCTTTAGGTCCAACGCACTCTCAACCTCAGGAAATCCCTGGAACTTTACACATCCGACCCAAAAAGAGCTCACCTGACTATCTCGAAGTCGGACTGGTCGACTATCGAGTACATGCAGCCAGTGCTCGAGATGTTTGAGACATCTACTCAAATTTTTCAATCCAACGAGGCAACCAAACACCTAGTCCTTCCGGTTCTCTGGGCCCTTCAAACTGTTTTGAAGAAACACCAGATGGTTCCAGGCGCGTGGGGGCGAGCTTGCAAAAGAGCTGAAGACAAGCTAGTTAAGTATTTGGCCCGTGAGGAGGCCAACCAACAGACGTTGGTTGCGACTCTTCTTGACCCAGTTCAGCGTGACTCTATTTTTCGCAACCATGTCGAGGTTGAAGTCCATGCAAAGTGTGCTCTTCGAGACGAATACGACCTTTGGAAACCAACCCCGAGTGACAGTGATCACGATTCACCTCCTCCTGCTCCTGTGGCCCCAAAACGAAGCACTCACAAGAAGCTTGAGGAGATCTACTCCCTTTTGGGCACCTCGTCAATGCAACCTTCAACCTCTTCAGGCCAAGAGATGGACGAGGTGAGCCGATACTTGCAACGGATGGATCCCGTCCTACCCAATGAAAGCATTGGTGAATTCTGGGTGGTAAGTTGGTTTGGCTATTTATTCCTCCCTCATGCACCTATACTGATATAACACATTATGCAGCGCATGTCCAAGCCAGGAGGACTCCCCGTCTTGGCCCAGATCGCCCTTCAACATCTCACGATCGCGGCCGCGGGTGCCTCAGTCAAGCGGGTGTTTTCGATCTCGGGCAACATCGCAGTTCCTTCCCGCGGGCGCCTAGACCCGGACACCATTTGCCATCTCGTACTTGTCCGACACTGGCTCACTAATTGGGACGCTACTGTCAATGTGGAGGAAGTTGCTTGAAAGGCAAATTTTTTCAAATCCAAATTTTATCTATTTCAAATTGTGCGCTTGGAATCTTTGTCTACAAAATATGGCCAGTCTCAATACAAGTTAGTTAAACAAATGTTATTCAAGTTATACATGCGCCTCGAAATGAATGTCATCAACCACGCTTGTGCCGAGTGTGATCTGACCCGAGGTTACTCATTCCTCGTGAGTCTTTGTGTGCAGTATACACACCGAGTATACTCTGAGTGAGTAGACTCCAATGTGAGTCAACTCACTCGGTGAGTAGGCGGACGTAAGTAGTACTTACGTCCGGGCCCGGGCTGAGTCTCAAAACGGAGTCAAACTCCCCCTGCAAAACACTTGGAGTCTTGGATTCAGGGTGTAACACTTGAGTCTCGGGACTCAATTTGAGTACCGAGGTCGGATCTCCGGCGACTGAGTCCGAGTAGACTCAGTGCTGCATCCCTGATACAAATAAGAGATTCTACACAACACCGAGGAATGTGGCAGCCAGTTGCTGGGTGTTGTACATGTAGGTTGAAGGTGGCACCTCGCTCAGGCCTAGCCTATCAACCCAATCACAAACTCAAGACTCTAGCATTATAAAATAACAACAAATGGCGATTGATACACACTTAAATAGACCACGCCGGCCAGAAAACAGGTTTGACGCCGGTTTTCTTTACTTAGGCCGGAACCCTCTCGAAGGTATACAAGCTTTTACAAGGTGGCATACAGGGCCATGGACTTCTGACCCCGGCTTCAGCAAGAACATGGCGGTGGAATCTAAGGCCGGTTTTTGATTCGGACCGTTTTTAAGAAGGGTAGGAACGCCTGTTTTTGTTGCCTAGGAATCTGTCCAACTGTCTTCCTTGCTTGGTTTTTTAGTGCTTGCCTCTCTGAAAGGTCGGATGAGTCAGACGCGACCGCAAAATCGAATGTTCCTTTCATGTAGCCGTGATTACTGTCTAGCTCTTGCCACGCTCGCCGCTTCCTGCTGTTCAGATTTTTGCTTTGAACACTCAAATGGATTTCCTGTGCAATCATAGAATAACATCAATTCTTGCATATGTTAATGAGATACTCTTTGCCAATGTCTCATGGACACCAACCACTGATGAGGCTTCGAGTTGTTTGTATCTATGGTTCAAAATCTCGAAAAGTGTTTCAGATTTTACCGGATTAAGATGTTGTGTTTGATCGATGACACTGGATGAATGAGACAGTCACTAGCTCTTGCCATTTGTTGTCAAAGATTATAACATGCGTCTTCTAATCACATGGTCCCAAATCTCACGACAAGACGTCCTTCGAGGAAATGAGTATCCAGCGCTCTTGAACGATGTATCATCCGACTGTGATTTGTGGATGAGTGGTTTACATCCAGCATTGCAGGTCAGGTAAAAACGAATCCGTTGGCGAGAATCCTCATGATCCTTATTCGAAGACGGAGACTGGATCAATAATCAGGTAGCGAAGTTGAGTGTGATAGAAATGAGCGTCACATCTCGTTGATAGCTAACTACCGCGTAGGTAGCTTGGCAGCGGGGTCGGAACAGCGCAAAACAGTGCTCTGTCTGTGTGATTACCAATCACCTATAAAGAAAGCAACTTTTTTACTCATCTTGAACGTGATATTTTGTGCTCCAAGTCAACTAATATCACAAGCAAATCAATTCCAGGAGAATCATCTGCATCGATCTAATCGCACCTAAACCTTCATTTTTTGACAAACGCCACAAGTCGTGCCTGTAAAGCAAAGGACACAAAGCACAAATCAAGGTATGCATGAATTATATATCTTTGTAGTAATAGTCTCAATAACTCGAGGCTTATTTCTTCTTTTGAATTTTCGCTACATCCTAAAGATAACCAACATCATGAAAGACTTGAAACAAGTTATCCTCAGTGTTTTCTGTTTGTTGAACCAAGTAAACCAAAGAGATGCTCGAGAAATTAATCCAAGCCCTTCAGTGGGCCCGGGAAGGCTCTCTCGTCGTAACATCCCACAAGAATGGGGACATGCAAAAGTTAGTCGTAGTTGATTTTTTTCTTGGCTGTGCTACAGGTTAGGTACTGTATCATGATTTGCTTGAAAGAGTGAGCTCATGATAATGTTATTTTGAACATCTACCATCTGGATGGTCTTCATAGGAAGTACAATTGGTCAACGCGCTTTACAAGAAAGATAATCCCTTAGGAATTGTAGACGCCGTTTATTCATTGTTAGTATCTTTTCTGTTATGTACTTCCAATCTATCCCAAGGAGAGAGTTATATTTGACCTTTAGATGAATGCTCACAAAAAACTATCGTTGGAAACCCAACCCAGCCTAGGTGATAAAAGTGCCACAGAAGGTGCTGGCAAGTTTGACAAGACAAAGTTACATTGCATGAAGAAGTTCATCGCCGATACTGCATTTTCCGTAGCTAAAAAAGCAGACGATAAGCGTGGAATGACGGCTAGTATCATTGTTGCATCACTTGAACGCAACGCACCTTGTGTGGGATGTGTAGGTAAAGATTGTACCGATAAATTTACTAACCCAGAAATAACTAGGGTAATCATGCATCAAGTACATATACTTTCTCTATGATGATCAGATAGATTGATATTCTGATCACTTCATATAAGGACTGACCAAAGGATGTACCTCTCAAATCTGATTTCAGGATGCAGCATCTAAGGACGCCGATAAAGTTAATAAAGAAGCTACATTGAGTGTAGCAAAGTCTTTGGTGGACATTGACGTAGATCCAATCATGGCCCTTCTCTCTTGCACTTGGCCGGCTGGAACGTAAGATACTATCAGTGATTTCTACGATTTGAAGCCATGATTTTGATTATTCATAGCTGACATCTCTGTTATATATAGCCCAAATACGTCAAATGCAGCTGGATTGAGTTGTGATGATCCAAAAGATCCACAAGGATGTATCATCACTAAGCATCTCTTGGTGAGCTCCACTAAAACTTTTTCTATTTTACTCTAAGAATTCGAAAAATTTACTCACAATGCCAAAATTTCGTATACATCTTAAATTATATCAGCATCTTGACTTTACTCCGAAAGAACTCGTGGCAAAATTAGAACCTTATTTGAAGGAAAAAGGAAAGACTCTTCCAAAGAGCAAGCTACTCGACGTACCATTTACTGGTGAGGGGCTTTGATAGCGTCAGTTCCAAGGAGAAATCCGACGAAATTTTGTGAGGAGGAGTTGAAGGCTACAATTCATACTAATAGACACTTTTTTGAGTTTATATACAATGGGGTTGAGAAACAAAGGCTTCGCGGCTGAAAAAAAGCACTTGGTTACCGGATAATTTCTAATCACATTTTTCTTCATGTTGTGTTTCATTTGAGCTTCTTGAAATGAAAATAATGTTACCATAACAGTTTCTGTGCATTTTCAAAATGTGATCAGTAGAATTTGCTTGCTACCGGTGTGCTACAAGTTTGAATGAGGTCAGGTTGATAGAGTATGGCTGGAGATAGATGAAATGAAACATCCGGATCCTTCAAACAATAAATGTGGTACTCTGGAAAAAGAGATAAGGAAAGTCCTCTGGGTGACATCTCTACAAAGATTTCTACCAATTCCCAAAAACTGAAGCCCTGCATGACTTGGTATTCGACCACACTTAAAATGACAACTGGGACTGTGAAGTTTAACGCGCTTAATGATTTACAAATCAATTCTAAATCCGAAGGCTGGGCTAGGATTCTCAGAGCCTCATTTTTGTCTTTTCATTGTTTCTCTTCAAGACTCTGCTTGCATTAAACAAACAACTATAAAGTCTCTCTTCAATAACATTTGTAACAACATCTCACCTGAAAGGTTTTGATACATACATATATCTTATAATTTGCATTTGTTCATCGTATTTGTTTCTCTTCTTTTTGATCGCTTCTGACGAAATGATTGCCAATCGTGTCCCAGTACCTTGCCTCACGAACATCCGTCTTCTGCTCTTTGTTATAAACAGCCTGATGTTCTCAAGTCTTCAACGGACTGAGAACAGTCAAGGCATACTCCAGCTCCACTCAAACTTGAGTCCGGAGAGTTTGACCCAAACATCAACGCAAGGACATCATCAACCAGAGAATGCTAGAAGAGATTCAAATAGTTCATTAATCCCTTCCTTGCTGTAATTTCTTCACATTTCATAAGGAAAAAAGCACACATCATTCATCACCATTATCACTACACGCAACAAAGTTCCATTCGATTCAAACCACAGCCATCAGAACGCATCACCAAGGTCACCATCATCATCACCATCGGGAGAGTCCCCTGTAAGGATCTCAGATGCAAGCTCTCGTTCACGCTCTCTAGCAGCTTCAGCAGATGCGAGCTCCTTACGATGAGCATGTAGAGGGAAGCGCATAGCTTTCACACTCTCATTGTGTAACTTGAGACAAAAGGCTAGAAGGGTCGAAATGTCAAGATTGAACAATCAAATGAGCAAGAAAGGCTATAGTTTATCACCCAGATTGTAAGAAAACGAACGGGAAAACTCACAGATTCTTTGATGGAAAGCCTCCTGCGGTTCACTAGTGGCGTAAATATCACCGACTTCTTTACTGACCATCCATCCACCAGCTCGATCCAATCTGGCTTCAATCACTCCATCTCGAATCGCTTTTGCTACAACATATTCAGCATCCTCTTCACTATCAAGCTTCAATTTAGAACTAACGTCCTTCAACTTGATTCTCGAATAAGCCAATGAGATTGTTCTTAAAGCCGTCTTAATAACATTGTGACGTAATCTGAGAATCAAAGTATAAGTCGCATCAGCCAGAAATCGGGTCGAATGGGCACTCAAAGCTTGTTCGAATTTGGTGATGTCTCCGACTCTGACCGCTGTAAGGTGCCGACAGATCGGTACAAGACGAGAGAAAGTCAATCAAGGTTACTGACAGGATTACTATCGAAACGCCTCAACTTACCTTGTACAATCTCGAAATATGGTTGAAGGCACTTCTTCAGCACTGGACCTCGGAACACCGCGCGGTCAGGTATGTCACCCATCAATAATTCGACTACAACAAACAACTTGTGAGTTGCTTGCCAGAAACCCGGGGCCACTTGAGGTGGAGGAGCTCGTCGGATCGCTTGTTGAAGGTGAGTATGGGCTTCCGTGTAGTTTAATTGAATTGTACGAATTCGACCTGTCACGTTACCACATTACATACCTGTCAGTTTGTCACGATATGGCTTGGGTTTGTGGCGAAGATGGAAAGTATATTCACCCAAGTAGTAGAGCCAACGAGCCACCTGACCCGTGGGTACCATTCCACCAGCTCCCACACTAGCTTCGGTTTTACCAAAATCGGGAAACTCAGTCTTACCCACCAAACGATCGGCTTGCTCCCAAAGCTCATGTCCAAGCAAGTTTCTAACGATCAAATTCAACAAAGTCGCCTCACTATCTTCATCACGTCGAAGCCTTGCTGTTCTATGAGCCGCCATAAGTTTAGATCTCAAACTACCCCATACTTGAGGTTTTTCGCCTGATGACTCAAGGAGTTCAGCAACTCTAGAATGATAAAACCAAATCTTGGCTGCAAGTGGGTCGAGCGATCGGCGATTTTGATGAGGAAGATATTCAGTGATCAATCGATCAGAAAGTTCGAATGCGACCAAATTATTGTTGGGACCGCGTGATAATAGCAAGAGTAAGATGAGAAGTGAGAGATACATCTCATGTTCAGGTTGTGCCGATGGATCAGGAAAAGGTGGAGTATCTTTCAATGTCTTCGGAGTGGCGTTTGCTGAAGTCTTGGTGGGGCCAGAAGGAGCGCCGTCCACTTGCATATCAGCTGAGCTATCTACCGATACACCTGGACTCGAACTCAAATGTGGTAAAAGCACTTCTTTGATCTTTGAATCTGGATTGTGATTATAAGATATCGTTAGTAAAAAGATATCAGAGAAGTTTCGGATGTTGAGGAATTGATGACTGACTTTTGGGTAAACCGGTTTGGATGATCAATTTCAAAGCGTTTTCCGATTCAGCGCTGCTTTGTTGAAACCTTTTCTTCGATGACATAAGACATCGAAGGACCCGATAAGTGAATCTAGGTTCAGAGAGTTCGACCGCCTTAGACAATAAGCTTAGTTGTTGGCGAAGTTCTAGTTACATCAAAGGTATCATCGGATCAGTATCACGGTCAAGTGAGGATCCATATGAAAGAAAGCAATAGACTCACCAGCTTCGAACGTCTTGGGGGTTTCGACCGCTACCTCGGGAGTGACTGGGACACTGGGTACATCAGTCATTGTAACATCTTTTGAGGTCGATGGCATTTTTGGTTGATGATGGTTGAGAAAGTGGAATGAGGTCAAGAGAAATGGTCAAGCTGGTAAGTCAACAGGCTGGTTTCGATTACATCAGCCAATCCTCGTCATTTCGATCATCGGCTGCGCCGCACCGGTCTCCATGAGATGCCGCGTCATTGACCCGTACCGTAATTGCCGGGTCAGATTATCCATCCACGGTCGAGTTCTGATCCGACCGCTATTGCAGACGATGTATGACTCATAAGTGACAGTGATTACTTTGAAGTTGATGATCGATGACGCGTTCAACTTCCAAGCTTACTTCAAACCACATATCTCGATCGCCAAGGCTCTACCATCAGCCTCCTGAGCTAAAAGTCAACCTTTTATACAAGCTCTCAAGAATGGACAAAGCCGACGATGAAGATATACTCGAACTAGAGGCACCATCAGACATTCAATCTGTCATGTCTTTCAAAACAAAACTCGATGATACTGAAGACCCTAATATACCAACCTCGTCTCTTGTACCAAAGCACCTTCAACTTCCGATCGAAAGGAATCGAGAAGAAAGATTATGCGATTTTCTTTTACCTTATCAGGTTGAATCTGTAGCAGATATGGACGAAAAACTGGAAATCATCATCAAACATTTGATGGAATGTGCAGCAGGAAAAGACTTTCAGTTGTCAGCATTTTATCGTAACTAGAGTATCTTGGAAAATATGAAACTGATCAGTGTATATATAATTGGAAAATTTATCAGTGGTTTCGTATATTGGAATGGATTACTCGAAGATTGGTTGGAATTACGATATCCTATGAAGCATCGTGTAAGAGCAAAACTCGGTGCATTCTACTACAACTTGGCTTGTAAGCTAGATTTCTCTAGATAAAGTGAAATTTACCAATCAGTCTCATGTATCTTTTGTGGATCCTTAGGCTCACAGGGTATGGAAACCAGAGTGACTGAGGTCTTTATCAGGATGACGGTTACCCTGATCAAGTAGGATGCGCCCTTAAACTTATCCAAAAATTGGCCGAAGATTAATTTTGATTTATTGATTTGAATGTAGATCGAGCAGAAACTTGGACATTCGCGAATTGCAATTAGACTGGAAGCCACTCTATAAACTACTTCTCCCTGAAATCCATCCCAAAGAGCGCGCTAGCGGTACCACCACTGTCTACGTTAGCATTATGACATTAGCCGATTACGCCAACAGCTACTTTCCGCCACACACAGCCTTAGAGATCATGGAACAATTTCTTCCATCAATTGATGGAGCAGACTTCCCTTCCCTCCTTACCTACCAATCCATCCTATGCCATTTCCTACCCCTGAATAATCCGACACCCTGGCTTGGAAGTATTTTTCGACTATGGGCCACCTTCCAGACTGAACATTGGGACGAACAGTGGTTAAATTTACTCGCACGATTGTCATATAAACATACTGACCCGAACGTCAGTGATCCACGGCTCGTAAGCCTCTTAAAGGAGGTTTCCACCGGAGAGAAATTCGAAGACACGGCAAACAAAGTGATCGCCTCGACTCAAGATTCGCCTCCTTGGACTGGTCTGCAGAAGCACGTAGGCATTTACACTGAGAAACAATGGTCATTTATCATGTCACAATGTGTACGGTTTTTCGAGGTCCCAGTAGAATCCAACTCTGGTCAGGTCGCCTCTCTGGGTGCTAGCGAAGCAGACAACAAAGCCACCTCACGAGTCTTGGGATTGTTGAAACCATCCGATCCATTGGAATCTTTGGCCACGATCATCGTTTACTCCATGTCGGAAAATTCTACCTCGGATACACCACACTGTCGCGCTTTGCATGCTACAGCCAAATTGCTCACCTCAATGGAAACTTTTTTTCATCCATCTAATCATGGAGATTGGTCAAGCAAGTTGGCGAAATTTGTTAGGCATCTGGCTTGGCAATTTACTCGTCGATGGACTGAAGAGGCCAAAGCAGACTGTCCTACACCTGGCGAATGGCGTCTAACTGCTCGGATCAAGAAGCAATTTGTTACGATGCTGAGCCATGCTCTACTCATGTCGATGTTTTCCAAAGATGGAACGACATCAGGCTTGACTCATCATGCCCTAAAAATCGTCGCCCATCTCGAACCGTCCGTGATTGTACCGCCTATAGTTGAACTCTCGGTTGCTGCACTCGAGGGACTTTTGGAAGTAAGTTTTGGTACATCTGGATCCTAAGTGGAACCTTTTCACGCATTTACGTCTGGTTTGGAAATCTTTAGACCCATCGTACGACTGCTTGTCTGGGCGCCTTATCTGCCATTATTGGTAGTATGTTGGATTTGAGTCAATATCCACAAGGGGCTCGTAATTTGCCTACAATTTTGGACCTGCTATTACCCGGCATTGATCCCAATGATCCGACCAAAACGATGCATAGTGCTATGTTGGTCTTGGTAGCAATCTCTAAGATCAAGATCAGTGATATGACAATTATGAATGAAGCACAAGGGATGATCGATCTTGACCATCCTACCTCCGAGAATGCTGACATCAACATGAGTATGCAACCTTCGGACGAAATGAGCTCTATGCCACCGGAATCATCTACGTTCTTTTCAGACTGGGCTTTAACATATTTTAGACGAGTGATGAGCTTCTTTGAAAACTTGCCTGAACCTCGTGGTCTAAGGGAGAAGACAGGCGGGAAGATAGAAGAAAGTACTATCAGCTTTCTCTGTGCTTCGTTTGACGAGCTCTGTAAGGCGACCTCTCCAGAACTCTTTCCCGCAATGCTTGATTACTTCAAGACATACATTTGTGAGAATGTCCGGTTCAATATGCTCAAGATTGTAGGATTGATTTCCAGCTCCCTGGCTAGAGGTTTTGCCGATAAAATCACCTTTCAGACCCTGTACCCATTGTGTGATCGTAAGATCCGAAGTGAACTCGAAGCCGGCGCATCATCGATATATACCATGTCTACCAGCTCTCACAAGAGTTCGGACCTTGAACTGCATTGGTTTTTATCTATCTTGATTGGTGCAACCACCAATTCTGGTCCAGCAGTGAGTTGAAGCTATTTTTCTTTCAATGGTGACCAGATACGTTTATCAACTTGGCTCATTTAAACTCTCTCAAAACACTCAAAACAGCTATTGCAATATCGAGACGAAATCTTGTCCCTTCTGAAACTATTAATTCGTGATTGTAAATCAGAAAAAGGTTTCACTTTCACTGCCAGACTTATCTACGCGATCTTGCGAGCTCTCCTTGAGACATATCCAAATGACCATCGATTTGTGAACCCGGAGGAATGGAATAGCCCAGGTATGTATTGTGGTATGCTTTAATAATTCGACATACTGATGGAGATTGCGGCCTTTGCAATGGCAGCCATGAAGTCATCTCATCAGTTTGCATGGGGGAAAACCTATAAGGTGACTGACGTGAAGGTAAGTTTTGAAGACGAAAAAATTCTAGGACGGAGTAAGGCTGACGCAGGATACCTGTTATCAGATCAGCTGGCATGTTGCCTCACAACCCGAAATTGACTTCGCAATGTCGATCTTAGCGGAGATTTTGGCACCTATCACACAGGAAATTCGGGGTCTCATCAAGCAACCTACCTTGGATCATGACATAAAATGTCACTTTGTGAAATTATGTACCTTGTCAAAGTACACTGTTGCAGGTATCGCGGCTTTCATTGTTGCAGGTCCACCTGTTCATCCTGGGGAGCCAACTACGGACTGGGGGTTTGTTATACCATCTTCTTTTACGTTTCAAAGCTCATGCTCATCAGTTTGAACAGTGAAACGCTTCCGAGTTTACCAACAGACCTTCCTGTATACCAAGCTGGTATACCATTGCTACCATCAGATGCTAGACACGCCTCCGTGAAGCAGTACAGAGAAGACTTGGCCGAAGTGCTACATGAGGCTGTTACGAGGTTGACCCTATTCGAAGATACAATCGAGTGCATCCAATGTATCGTCAGTCTCATGTCTAGTATTTTACTGGATTATCCTTTTGAACGAGGGGTTTATGAATATCACAAAGAAAACTATAAGTTTGTTCAAAACTTGGTGAGTTTTATTCATCGATAGCTCGTTTGAAGATTGCTGATTGTCGTGGTCATTAACCTTGTGAGTAGGCTCGCGTGACAAAGGTTCAGAAGGAATATCCAAGGATCGTATGGCGTGAGTTCGAAGTTGATCATGTTGATTTGATGAAGTTTTCTTATGGCTGACGATTAGATGAATTCAAGTCAGACGAGCGCATCTGCTGCATTTTATCCGTATGAAGACACTGAGATTGTCGCTACAGAGGAGCAAGAGCGACGATCAAATCATTCGTGATCTCTGCCAATTCTGCGTCTCTTCCTGGCTTAGTATCAGAAAGTCTGCGCAACGGTCGTTGGAAGCAATCTGTAAGGCGCTTACAAATGACTCTGGCCACCGCGTCGCTGACTTTACATCCTACGTAGGCCAGTTATATGATGGTACACGCGCCATAATCTTGCCTACTCTTTTTGAATGTCTGGACCCAGGAACCGACCCCGATAGAATGAAGGGGGCTCTGTATGTGCTGGGTGGTAAAACGTTTCCCAGGTATTGCTTACAGCGCCCGAAGTATAGTGCAATGTATGTACTACGATTGCTTCAGTGTCAGCATTCTGATAAGGTTCGCATCAGCTTTCAGTTTATGGGTCCCAGTTGTTTTCTGACCTTTGTTATATTTTACCAAAGTCCTCGATCCAAGCCTTAGTGTCTAGGTGAGTTGTTTCTGATTGTCTAGTGACGTGACTTGCTGCTGATTTCATTCGGTCCATAGCCTTCTTCACCATCACGCTGTTCGAATGTTCGAGAGTGCTACTCTTCACAATTCGATCGTCTCACCTGGTCTAACAAATGCGATCACAGCTCTGGATCAAGAACTTCTGATCCATCATATGGACTCTGGCTCCTCTCTTGCCTTGGAGAAACTCACCAAGGCACAGATGATACAAAGGGATGAATGTCATAACTCTTTGGTATGTTGATCCACACGAGAGATCTCGCGATAATGTTGCCAAGTGCTGAAATGATTTCATCGTCGTTTTTTGACAGGTCGTAGATCTACTGAAAATTGCGGATGAAGCCTCAACACATTGGAAATATTCCCAGAATGCCAGTCGACTACTCAAAAACCTTATACGGCGTGATCAGGTATGATGCATAGTGGTTTGAATACCTTTATCACATCTTCTGATACAAATTTTACGTATTTTCATAACATAGCCATTAGATCCTCAGACGACCTCACATTTCATCAATGAATTGTGTGAATCTGATCTACCTGCCAAGCGAAGTCATGCCATCAATGCGATTACTAAAATCTTACATTTCATCAAGTTGAGAACAATCGCCGCGGGTTCCAAGGAAACCTTGTTGACTCAAACTAGGTACAATCCGCTTCGGGCGAATGTCCAGTTGCCATCGCCTGTGGAACCAACTTTCGAAGAGTAAGATGAATTGTTCGCCTTTGAGCTTAGCATATGGCTAATGTGGATTTTCAATATATAGATTCATGACTGTGATCCGAACTCCATTTAATGCTGGACCGCGATTTCTAGTGGATCAGTTAACCACTGGGTGGTTGATATGCGGAGATGTCAAGGCTTATCAACCACCACCAAAAGATGGTCACACAGAGTGGGATCCAGAGTCTGAAAAGACTTTGTCAATATTCAAGGCAGCTTTAAGTCAAGAAACCTTTTGGAAGAAATTGGCAGCTCATTTGAGTCAAGAACAGTCGAGAGATTACCTATCGTTGAGTTCTCTCAATCTTTTCTTCAAATAAAGCTTCTCTGATAGCTAATACATTCTTATTTATAGAGCTGATAATGTGATTGCACTGAGTACGTCGGCTTTGACATGTTGCTTGTTCTGAGACTGACATGCGTAACACAGAGTCTATCTTTCAGATCTTTCGTCAGGATATCTGGCCAATCGCCTTACCGACACTGGATGCTTTAGTAGACGACCCAGCTGATCGACATAAACAAAGGGCTGCAGGTGAAATCATAGGTGGTACGTGGCTTCCTTTGCGATATCGTGATCTACTAAGCAAGTCACTGACAATCTTCCGGCTATCTTTGTCTTCTATGGTGTAGGGGCTCTACGATCTACCAAACACGTCAGTCCCAAAATGCACCACCCCGTCTTTAAGGTGTTCCTGACTGATTTTAAGGCCTCTTCAGTGGCCTCTGAATGCACAAAACGAATTGTGGGCTTGGTTCGAGAAGCGACTAAAGTTTATATACGATGGCATCACGCCTGACTCGCTTAGCAGTTGGATCATGTGTATGGACTACGTCTTAATCGGTCGAGATCCACGTAGAAACCAGGTTTTGGTCGATTGTGAGTCCATTTTGGTTTGGCTATTATAGAATCTTTGTCTGATAGCATCGTCCAATATAGTTATAATGGGCTTGGAAACCGAGAGCCACTCATCTGCGTTTGATGCTAGTAAAGCACATCAATTCATCGGTTCCCTTGTTCGATCTTTAGGATGTAAGAGACTTCATTTCATCGCTTTTGTGGTCGTTGATTAATTTGATTCGTCTGCGTGAACTCAGGGCCATTCAGACAACCTTTAGTAGATAAGTATTGGGATGTTTACTGCCGTGTAATTGATCACGATTATCTTGAAGTGCGTGAAAAACTTCAAGGCCCTTCGTTATGCCGCTTATTACTGATCAATCTGGTCACTAGGTTCGAAATTGCGTTAGCTCCAATCTACAAGCACTGACTGAACTTCAGGCAAATCCTGCCTTCCGGTCGCTGGCTGATTTCCTCGCGGCCGGTCAGGAAGAGTCCATGGCAAACAAGCCACTTGTGGTAGAGAGTGAATTGACTATCAAGGCCATCGATAAACTATTGGTCGATCTCCGTCGAGCACGTGAAATCCGTCTACCTGCACAGCACGGAGATCAGGAATATGATAGGTGTTCTACTACTATTCTCACCTGGCTATGGTCTAGCTTAACAGATTATCTATTGGTTCGTCGAGTCCTATGTCTCATGTTTCATGGTTGCATTCCTATTGACATCTCCCTCTTTAGCCTGTTATATACCCATTCATACCCAAGATCCTCCCAGAGGTATTCTTTATGCATGAGATGACTGATAATACGGAGCTATGTGAACTATCACATGCAGTTATCATCACTCTTGCATGTGTGGTATACCCTCAAGATATGGTTGTCTCTTTCTTGGACACCCTATTAGATTTATTGAAGACCAAACGGTGGAAAGTTCGACTGGATGTACTGACTATCCTACAAGGTACGTTATCTCTACATTGCCCAACTAATTGAAAACTGAATTTGGTTCCTTGGATATAGCCTTTTTCTTTCACCAGTTACACTCTCTCAGTAGATTACAAGTCGATCGAATCTTAGAATCACTCTGCATTCTACTAGGTGATTCGAGTCCCGAAGTACGTGAAGCGGCAGCCATCACCTTATCGGGTATAGTACATTGTTCAGAACGAGCCTCAATCTTACAACTCAAAGCTCGTTTTACACAAATCTTAAAAGAAACACATTTACCAAAACATCGATTTCAAAATGGAATCGAAGTGATCGGTTATCAAGCTACATTGATTAAGATTCATTCAGCTGTTTTAGGTTCAGCTGCATTGATTAATGCGTTTCCCTATGAAGTACCGGCTTGGGTACCTGAGATTTTGATTAATAACATTTGTTCTCACATGAGTTCTCCAACTATGATTTCTACTACGGCTAAGAATACATTGACATCTTTTAAGAAGACGCATCAAGATGTGAGTATTTTTTGGAAAACCTCTTATAGAAAGGGCAGAAACTGATTTCTAATTGAATGGGCTTTCTTTTTTTAATTAGACTTGGATGCAAGGTCAAAAAGCTTTTTCGGAAGAAGAACTTGCTACTTTAAATGATTATTTAGTTGGATCTTCTTATTATGCATAGAAAATGTAAAGTCTTGAGAAAGGGTGATTTTAGAATTTACTTTTTTGATGAGAGATGCGGACTTGTCAAACTCGTTTTGTTTATGAATTCTTTTATTTGTGTATCATTGATGTTTTTTTTGGTCTTATGCAGTTAATCAGTTGAGAGTGAAATTTAATTATTTTGATAGTAGTTGAATCTTTAATATGTTTGTTGAATTATGTGTTTTGTGAATCTTTTCTGGGTTAAGAATGAGTGATGATACATGCACCTGAAATGTTGCAGAAAGAATATTTGATGATGAACATTTGTTACTGATGTGAAGGGTGAAAATGGATCACTTGCAGAAATCACAATCTGAACTGACAAAGGTGAGCTGGGCAAGTCCGTTTGGCACGAAAGCCAGAGAGTTCCATCATTAAATCATGCCTCAATCAAGCGATCCTTGTATGGGGTGGCTAGCTGCTAAGAAAAAAACACGCACATAATAAGACAATTAGAACAGCTAACAAACTAACAAAAAGGAAAACAAAACAAGGGAATGCTGAGGAGTCCTCGCAAAGATGATAAACAAAATAAAGGAAGGATCAAGGAATCGGAATTTGCAAGAACTGAATCAAGGAAGATGGCAAACAGTTGAGAAAGAGATGTAAACCAAAAATGGTAAACTAGAGACGCGTCAGATGATAAGAAAAATGATGAGCGAAAGGGTAATAATAACATCCTAGATGTCCTCAACAAATGATTTGTGTCAAGAACTAATTATTTTCATATTCCAATTAGTAAATAGTGGATTACCTACAACTATTAACAGGTAATCAGATATCCCAAAGTGAGGAAAACTGATATTAATTTTCAAACAGTCATCAATAAAATGTTAGCAAGAAGTAATTCATGACCAGAAATGAATATATAGAAATCCAGTTGGTATAAAGCCTTTTTGAATCCGATAAGAACAAAGATCAAACCAGTCAAGTCTACTTGGTATCTTTCTTTTTAGTACATGGGGCAAGAGCTGAACCACATGGCGCTGGCACTCCGCTTCCTTCGCTTTTTTGGTAGATACTACGCGCTTCAATAACTTTCACTGGTTTACTCCGACGAGTCCTTGTAGGATTTAAATACCTGATGATAGATTAAATTAGATTAAAGCTGTATGAAACAACACTGGATATGACTACCAAAAGAACTCACTTCGCATCTGTGGACTTCAATGGCAAATTCCCACATGGAGGTGGTAAACCGGTATCTCCACATTTTATTGGAGCAGTTTGATGAGTCTTTGGAAAGATTGGTTGACTGATGAAAATTGAGCGAAAGTGGGTTTAAGTATTTCAAAGACCAAATGACAACAAAAAGAATTCCAAAAGAGCTGACTTGTTCGATTCCATGGACTCTGTATCACCACATGTAATTGGAGCACTTTGACGAGTCTTTGGATAAGTTGGCTCTCTAATTCACCAAAATTTCGAAGATATGAGTAATTGGTTCGAAATCAAATAAGAAGTTTTGAAATTAAAACTCAACGTGATAGTGTTTGATTTATTAGCTGCAACCACGTCTTTCAATCCAGGAGACGTCTTTGTTGCACCTGGTGAACATATCTTCCCTCTACATGGTGGGAGAGGTCGCCCTTCGACTACAGCACGTAGTTCGATCGCGGCTTCGGGCCTCTGAGCACTGTTGCTAGAAAGGTTAAAGATGAGTAATATGAGTGCTATAAGGAACAAATGAGCTTACGTGGTTAGACTGAATACAAGTGAAGTACCGTAGATTATTAAACATACTGAGAAGAGTTACAAGAAAGACATGTGAGAGGTATTAGTAGATGATTTATTGGCTTCAAAAAATATGAAGGGTTTTTACATGAGAAGTTGAACTTGATCCATATAGGAAAATTGAACATGTTGGAAAACAACTATCTAGAGAAAACTTAATAAATGTAATCCTTATAGCGATTGAAGAGGATTAATCACCAAGAAAAAAATCGATGTGGATGAGTTCAAGTGGCAGTGATTTAAAACCGGCTTCAGATAGTCAAAAACAAAAATGATCGTTATGGATCTTATCTTTCGAACTTGAAGGCTATACTATTTCCAAATGATTACCCTTGCCTACTTCTTATCTTTGTTGTTTATAAAGCTGTGCAAAACCCATGCAAGACCAACGTGCAAGACCAACGTGCAAGATTTCTGGCACCAATCTTGCACATTTTTTTTGACAAGCCCAATTATTGTGTTCCACCTGGTGCAAAACCCATGCGAGACCGACGTGCAAGATCTGTGCGAGATCCGTGCAAGTTTGGTGCAAGTTCTACTGATATCTTGCACAGAATTTGCACAGAATCATGTTTGAAGTTTGAATGCCATAAATATTTCGGAGCAGATCTTCCTTCTCAGGCTGAAGCTGGGCTCAAGGATCAGCACAATGTACGGTTATGCTACCCTCTCCTCCGTACTGACATCACATCCACATCTGTGTGCATTATGGGTGCTCAATGTGCAACAGTCTCTGCTCTTCCAGTTTTGAGTTCATTTTGACGGAACTCGGAAGCATGGGAGCCGGGAAGCCTCCTCTAGCCGATAGCGCAGTTAACTGCCCACAAACTGCGGGCGCGCTGGTCCCCAGCGCCTTGGGATTTGCCCAAAACCACACTTCTCTGTTTCGCATCACAGGGGCCCGGCGGTATCTTGGTCACTGCGCAAAATCCCACTGCAGCCCAGCGCAGTTTTCTATAGTCCTCAGAACTCCAATCCCCCACCGGTGCAATCACCGGCGCAACGCATTTTGGGCCAAAAATTCGCTGGCGTGGGGGATTGTCGGACGAATAATTGCCTGCGCATGTGAAGAAAAATCAGAGAAAAAGTACACCACAAGGAAACTCAGACACCATAGTGATGTCCGGTCACACATGCGTGGAGCGGTTGTTCTGATGGATCCCCTGCAAGACACCACCTCAGGCCTCCAAGTCCTCTCGAAATCATGGCAAGGTGGGTCACCTTGGGAGTTGACATCTGTGCGGATGTAAAGGCTCTTGGATGCAAAGACAACATTCCGTTCTGAGGTGTTGATCATTGGATCACAAATGATGCGGATGCCCCTCGGCTCAAAAGCGCCTTTGCGGTTATAGGGAGGGACAATATTTTCGAAGAAGGTATAATTTGCCGGAGATATGAAGAAAAGTAACAAATGATTGAAAATAGGTAGCGAGCATCGTTTTCAACAGTGTGTGTGTGTGATTATCCAAAGTCAGCTGTGCTGACCACAAAGTCAAGAGCTCAGTCATCATATCATTGATGAACATTTTTATGCGTGAGACAGTCCATCTATCGTTGTTATGGCCACGTGAACGCTTGGGTGAATCAACTCCATTCCAAAAGATCGGCTCAACCAGAGATAAAGGGTGTTATCGTCACAATTTGATGTGTATCGTCACAATTTGACGAAAAATGGTTTTTTTAAACTTTATCTGACCGATATGGTCTTATTGTATGACCTGAGAAGGCACGAGTGCAGGCTCAGCTCTGGAAAAATAAAACAAGAGGATGAAAGATATGTCATCATTCCAGTTCTTTTTGTTATCTTTCGTTCATCATCAGGAGTCCTGGTCCGTCATGACTAAGCCATCCTGAAAAGAAGGCACTGAAAGTGCGCTGTGCAGGCAAGTGCTAGACTTGATTGAATCGGCGTTTTGATTACTGAATAGTCTGATGAAATCGTTCATGGGGATATCAGCTTCCATGATATGATATCCTAATCCTGATTGAAAAGGTGAGATTGAGGCTGGTCAAGGGACGGGAAAGATTTTGGGAAAGTCGTGACATCTGACTGTGATTGGATGTTTGATCTGTGACATGTTCAAACAGGTACAGACTCTGATCGAACAGAATTATGTACAAAGATGCGCAAAGAAAAAAACTCAAACTTAAGCAGTAAAAGGAAATGATCATCGTATGTAGGTGAACAGGCCGACCCATCTGCAATAGCACGTTGCTCGGTAGTGATGCTTCGATGCATGTCGATGATGCTCTGAAACAGAGGCATCATGCGGTGTTTGTTCAAAATGAAACTAAGGAGATCTCTTCCAGCAGGATCGCATGCTGAACCAGTTGTTCTCAACACATCTCAATGTGTAAAATGAATAAAAGAAGAGGTACTAAGAGAAGGTCATCGCTATCCACTCAGAAGTTTAGAATTATGATTTCTATCCATGGTAGTTAAAATCCAACTCGTGTTTCTTCAGTGTAATAATATAATTAGATACAATTGAGAAAAGTGAATCTTCAACGAATAAAAATGAACAAAAGTGAAATTAATTCTGCTTAAACAGGTTCTCTCCATACATGAATGGTAATAAGACAGCATAACACATTTCTGGAAACCAATGAGAGCAAAAATAATCATTTGAAAACCAATCAGTTCTTGTTGGTGGATTGCGTATCACCGCATGGAGGTGGTAAACCCGTATCACCACATTTTACTGGAGCCGTTTGATGAGTCTTTGGAATAGTTGATTGACTGATGAAAAATTCAAGTTAGTATTTTTCACAAAAGAATAGAAATATAACAAATTTCAAAAGAGCTTACGTCTTGTTTGTGGTGGTTGTATTACCACATGGAGGAGGTAGCCCAGTATCGCCACACTTCACTGGTGCAGTTTGATGAGTCTTTGGAGGAGTTGATTGACTGATATCACAATTTAGATTGTAAGCGATTTTCAAATACAACAAAAAAAAAGACTTACGTCTTATTTGTGGATTTTGCATCACCACATGGAGGAGGTAAACCAGTATCACCACATTTCACTGGTGCAGTTTGGTGAGTCTTTGGAGGAGTTGATTGACTGATATCAAGAATTAGATTGTAAGCGATTTTCAAATACAACAAAATTTAAAACAAAATGAACTTACGTCTTATTTGTGGATTTTGCATCACCACACGGAGGAGGTAAACCAGTATCGCCGCATTTCACCGGAGCAGTTTGATGAGTCTTTGGAGGAGTTGATTGACTGGTATCACAATTTAGATTGTAAGCAATTTTCAAATACAACAACAAACAAAATGAACTTGCGTCTTATTTGTGGAATTTGTATTACCACATGGAGGAGGTAACCCAGTATCGCCACATTTCACTGGAGCAGTTTGATGAGTCTTTGGAGGAGTTGATTGACTGATATCAAGATTTAGATTGTTAGCAATCTTCAAATACAACAACAAACAAAATGAATTTACGTCTTGTTTGTGGAATTTGTATTACCACATGGAGGAGGTAAACCAGTATCACCACATTTCACTGGAGCAGTTTGATGAGTCTTAGGGATAGTCGGTTTACTGATAAACACACATTGAACCCATTAGTCATCAATTATCAATTAAACCATAAGTTTGACAATTATACTCAACGTAGTAGTGTCTGATGTATTGGCTGAAGTGACATTTTTTGATCCAGAAGAGTTTTCTGCTGCACCTAATGGACATATTTTCCCTACACAAGGTGGTGGAGGTTGTCCTTCGATAACAGCACGTGGTTCGATATTCTTTACCGGATCAGTTTGATGAGTCTTTGGATGAGTCGGTTTACTATCACATCATAAGTATTGAATATATGAGTGTTCGGTCTTCAATCAAATAACAAATCGTAAAAATAAACTCAACGTTGTGGTTTCTGATTGATTGGCTGCAACTACATCTTTCAATCCAGGAGATGTTTGTGTTGCACCTAATGGACATATATTCCTTACGCATGGTGGAGGAGGTTGTCCTTCGATCACAGCACGTGGTTCAATCACTTGTTCGGGTCTTTGTGGACTGTTACAAGGTAGGTTGGATCGGGTAAACGAAGTATCATTAGCTTAATATGAGAGGAATCGACTCACGTTGCCAGACTTGATACGAATGAAGTGCTGTATATTATCAAGACTACTGAGATAAGTTACAAGGAAGAGGTATTTATCAGTTGATGATTATCGCTGTTCAATCCAAGTAAGATAAAGATTTATTACCTGATAAGTTGACTTTGGACGATAAAGAGAAGTTCACCATCTTGGAAAATGACACCGAGTAGCTCAAAATAGTCAAAGAGATTGGAAAGGATTAAAGGCCAATTGAAAACTTGATGTAGATAATTTCAAAGATTTTGTTGATTGTGTTGTCCTTAGTTTCGGCATGTTCTTTCTAACTGGAAGACATCTTATATATATCAAAGATCAGCTGTGCAGGAGCACAGATGTGACGTCAAAAGCTCCAGCAATCCACTTGATTAACATTTCCTTCGTGCTGAAGCTGGACAACCGGTGCTTGTTAAAGCCGTGTGCACGCTTGGGTGTACAAACTCCACACTGAAAAGGTTTCGCAGCAGAATATGAAACATCTTTCCGTCCAAGTTAATGAGCGATAATTGTATCTGACCGATGACTCTTGCCCGTATAGCCTCAATAGAAGACCTGATCACCTCTTGTAAGAAATTAATCATCACTCCGAGGGTAAAAGATATGTTTCATGATATCAAGAGACCGTGTGTGGCGCATCCTCAAATAAAGCGATTGAAAGTATACAAAGGCTTGATTAGACCGGCGTTTTGACTTGAAATGAAAAGTCTGAACAAACCGTTTATGGAGCACAATTTCATTCTGATGTTGATTGGCAAAGCGATCAGCTTGAGTAGACTAGGTGGAAGCGAAAGCCGTGTGTTTTGAAGGAGAAAGAATGTATAGCATGTGAAATGTGAGTATGATTGAATGGTTCGATCTGTGACATGTTTGAAATGGTAAAGAGTGATCGAAGTCCAATTCGAATCCCTGTTGACTGTTCTTCAGTCTTGAAGACCATTCAGGCTCAGCATGAACCCATCAACCAACTCACCATTGATCATCTCAACTCAAGCTCAACAATCTCATTTAACTAATCTCGATTTATCTGTCTTGAGAACTTATGCTGCTAGATCTTTAACCGATCAACTCGATGCTATCATCGGTCCTAAAACTATCATCATCGATCCTAGTCTTGCTGGTCCATTAGGATTAGTAACCGAAGTTAGTAATCTAAAAGAACATGGTGTAGATAAACTGTTTTGGCTTGAACCTGGTCCTTTGGGTAATGCTGGATCATTGAAGAATGTAGTGTGGGTCTGTAAACCTACTATCAAAGCTATGAAAGTCATTGCCGGTCAGTTTTCGATTCAGCGAATCCCTTTTCATTTCTTCAACTTAATTTGGTTAGAAAACTGATTGTTTTTCCACTTTTGACCCCAAAATCATGTTTCAAAAAACCTAGAACAGATTCTATCAATCCCATCTGGCGCATCACACACCTTTACAATCTTTATGGCTCCTAGAGCTATTCAGATTTGTAGAAACGCTTTAACTGAAGCTAATGTGATTGGTAGTGTTGATATTCGAGATTTCGATCTTGGTTTTGTGGCTCTAGAAAAAGATTTATTAAGTTTAGAAGAAGATTTTGGTGGTTATAGTCAAATCTTTGCTGTAAGTTTTAATCTTTTCTCCCAGTTGGAATTTTACAAAACTGATGTTTTCATGCTTCGATTTTCTTTGTTGTCAAAAGGATGGAGATTTGAATCCTATTTTCAATATGGCAAAGGCTGTGATGACTATTCAACGGGCTTTTGGTTTGATTCCTAGGTTGATTGGAAAAGGTGTAGCTGCCAGGGTACTTTCGATAAACTTACCTTGCCCACTCATTCGTGGTTTCCTCAATTACTCGAACTGATGATGTCTGATGCGCTTCACTTTGGATAGAAACTTACCAATTTACTACACCGACTCAGATCCGAATACGTCATGGATCCTGGTCATGGTACCACTATTCCCAAGTTGACGGTTGGGTCGATTGATACGATGATCATTATTGATAGACAGATTGATATGGCTACTCCTATGTGCACACAACTCACTTATGAGGGTCTACTGGACGAGGTATTTGGTATTGAACATGGTGATTATGAAGCTGATTTCACTCAGGGATTGTATCGTTCAGGACCGATTTTAGCTTAAGCTAACAACCGTGTGTTCAATTTGATGGTTTGACAGCTCATATCGAAGTCTCACCAGAGCTCTTAGCGCCTTCGACTCCAATCGCTGGCAACACTGCTCACTCAATCCCATCCTCATCTACCTCTCAAACCTTTCCTCCTACAAAACGAAAAAAACATCTATTGTCTTCGACTTCGGACCCACTGTTTCCTGAATTACGTGATCGAAATTTCGCCCTTGTCGGCACTACTTTGAATCGGATTGCCAAACGTATAAATGCTGATTACGAGCGTAGGAATGAAGCTAGAACAGTGAAACAGATCAGGGACTTTGTTGGTAGATTGGCTGGCTTACAAAATGAACATCAAGCTTTAAGGTTACGTAAGTTTAAGATGATCTTCACTTGTCATCAACATCTTCTCACCACTATTTTTTCAACATTACTTGATTGTGCACAGACCTAGATTCTGATTGAGCACATCACTTCATCTATTAGACACTGGACTGAGTGAACAGATCATGACCACAACCACGAGTGATGAGTTCAACGTCACACTGGAAATCCAACAAAGTAATGTAAAATATTAACTTGCTTATCCCTCAATACGCTTTATTTCCTTGATCATCCATTTCAAGATGAAGATTTTTGACATTCTCAAATTTTGATCCCAACCCCACTAGATCTGGTAGCAGGGTTAGACCTTTCAGGACAAGAAAAAGCTATTAGTCAACTTATTGATCAAGAAGCTCCACTCCATACGATTCTTAGATTGCTTTGTCTGTATTCTATTGTATCAGGTGGAATTAAACCTAAAATATTAGAAGGTTTCAAACGAGATATTCTTCAGGCATATGGTTACCATCATTTAAACCTACTGATCAAACTATCTTCACTAAACTTACTTTCATCACCGCCCACAAGTGCATCAACCAACAAAACCTTTTCATCAAGCATAGTAACCTCTGCAACCAACTCGATGATGACCGGAATGATTGGAGGCAAATCACCATTTTCGAATGCCAGAAAACCGATGAAATTGATCATAGATGATATAGATGAACATGATCCAAGTGATATTAGTTATGCTTATTCAGGTTATGCTCCTTTGAGTGTAAGGATCATTCAATCAGTTCTTTCTTCTAATTTTCAAACTACAAGTGATCTTAATGGTTGGAAAGGTTCAGTTGAAGAAGTTTTGAAAGGATTTGGGGGTGAAATGTTTGATGAATATCAAATTGGTTCTAATGGAGAAACAATTGATGGTAATCAAAAACAATTAACTGGTATGTAACCACTTTTTTTCCATCATCAATAGATTTGAGTCTTAAGAGATTGATCTATATATGTATGTTTGTTTGATGGATTGGGAAAAATAGGTTCAAATGATTTACATTCATCTGCTATCACACCTAAAACTTGTATTGTATGTTTTTTAGGAGGAGTAACTTATTCTGAGATATCTGCATTAAGGTTTGCATTTGAAGAGTTTAATGAAAAGAAGTATAAAAAGAAATCTAGGATGAATGAACAAGGAGGAATGGGGATTGGGATGGGAAATGAAAGTGGTAGGAAATTGATTGTGCTGACGACTGGGATCATTAATGGGAATTCGGTTTTGAATTCGTTGATGCCTTTTGATACTAGAGTTTGATTCTTTTTTGGACTGCTTGAGGGGATTGAAAGGGGTGTGTGTTTATGATTATGTTGATGTTGATGATTTGAATGAAACTTCATTGGGTTTTTGTCATTGAATTGGATGGATTATTTTTGGTATACTTGGTGTAAACTATTGACAGAGCATGGACCAGTTCCTAGAGACCCACTCAATGACAAGCTGTTTTTTAGATTGTATGGATGTTCTCCTATCTGAGACTGAACCTTTTGAGACATTTTTTCATTTCATGCCTTCATTGTGAATCAAGAGCACTTACACTTTGAAGACCTTTTGATATATATTGATCTCTTACCTCAATATGAAAGAGTTATGTATTAAATTCTTTCCTTAAATGAACTCTCAAGACTATTCTAGAAACAAGGAATATAAGATTAATTGAAAAAATGTGGTCTTGATTGAAATATTTCTTAGTCAGATTTTCCAGTTCGAAAGAGGTTAAATCTGTGATTAGAATCAATTTGGTTGTTCTTTTTATGATTTCTGCTAACTCTTTTTTTGACTACATACATACAATCTTTTGAACCTGTGCAAAAACCTTTTTCATAGAGTGGATTGATATCAAGCAATGTGGTCTTCTGAATCAATATGAATTTCTTGTATAAAATTTTGAGTACCCCAATTTGTGAAGTACATACAACTTTTTCTTTTTTTTTTGTGAGACAGATTGATTTCTTGGAATTCAGGTGCTAGTCTTGAGATTTTGATTCCATTGCATGAAGTACTCAGCTTTGGGTCTGGTTCTGCCTCTGCCTGGCTCTGAGCAGTTTGAGGATACCTTGGGTACTAGTTAAGGCTGGCCCTGTCGTCTTCAGGTGTCCTGATATATATATCAAACTATTCTGATAAGATCTAATGTACAGGTTTCCTGCAATGTTTGTTCATAAGTATCCAGTACAGTACTACAGAGTATATATCTTTTGGCACCCTGATGCACATAATGGTCTTGTGTGGCACTGGACCTGTGAGGATAATTGGTTTGTCAGTTAAATGTGTTTAGAGAAACCCCAATTCAGTGGTTCATGCCATTGGGCACTATTGAGAGTACCTGTAGGTATGAGGTGCTAGACAGCTTGAGAGAATGTCGCCTGGAAACAAGTTAACATGATCAACCCTGTGACTCACCCCTTTTCTGACAGAGGAGGGCCAGTGGCAACTGAGCTGAGAAAAATACACGAAAACTGAGGCTGTACAACTATGTGCAAAATTTTTAAGGATGATAAAGGTAGAGATAACAATTATTTTGAAAAAGTTTGAAAATTGTTTTTGGGGAGAGAAAGGAAAGAGTAATGATCAACATAGGTCAGACACATCACATCCAACACAGCCTTCTGGCACATCTTTTTGGCACCCTTTTTGGAGAGCCTACAGTCTTGTTCATCAAAGCTATGTTGGCTGTTGATTGCAGGTTATTCACTTATTTCAACATTGTTTACCAACTTCAGAAAATCTTTGAATAGATGGAAGTTGGGGTTATGTATTGATATTTTTTCCAATTTATCTTTGGATTTTATGTTTAGGCTCTCAAACCATTTTGGTCTGAATCTCTGAATCCAATTGATTGATAAATAAGCCATGAACATATGTTGACTTCGAGCAAATAAATTAAGACCCATGACTCTAGAAATCAAGGTTTCTTCAACTGTAGCAGTTGAATTATAAGCTTCATGAAGTTGATTAAAGTTAGGTGCATGATTATAGATGTATGATTCAATTGGAATACTTTTCCAGATATTGATTAACCATTTGTATCCTTCAAGTAAGGTATTATTTAACTCTTTTCCCTCAGGATCAAAGGTAAAGTTAACTTTTACAAGAAATAAAAGAAATTCATGTGTCATGAGCCTTAAGCGATTGATCAAATGAGGTCGAGATTTATACTTTCTGTGGCTCATATCCATCCCTGTTTCAAAGAATTCCTCAAGTTCTGTCATAAATGGAATAACATGTTTCTCAATTAAGTGATCAAATGAGGTTCTGGCCTGATTTCTATATATACTTGTGTCTTCATGAGCTGTTTCCTGTTTATAAGTTCTCTTTGCTTCAGGTACCACATTATGTACTTGTTGAACAACCCCTTTGAAGACTCTATTTTCAGTGAAAACAACATTGTGTTTAAAATCATTCCCAGATCCCAACGCATTTGAGAAATGAATCCTTTCTTTTTGAGAGGGAGTGTTATTTGAAACACACCAAAGTGACTCTTTTGATGAAAAAACTGTATCTGTTCCTCCACAATCTTCATCATGATAAGAGTCATAAGCTTGATATGAGTTTGAATATCTTGAAGGCACAACACCCAAATCTTTCTCAATACTGGTCTTCCTCCTTTTGTTCAGCAGGCCCTGCTCATTTGGAATATATTGCTTGGAACTGATTAGATTGTTTGAGACCAGAGCTTCTTGATATCTATCTAATTCATTGTGAATTCTAAGAAGAGATTTCAAATTTCTGACTTTCCTTTTTTTCCACATATTGTAAACAGGTTTCTGGGTTTCTGGTTGATTGATTGATTGAGGTTGAATGCCTTGTGAAATCTTGGGTTCATCCTGTTTCCTTATCAAATCACCATTGATTTCCGGGGCTGGTATTGGAGGATTCTTGGTTACAAATTCTCCCATACTATTGCTGAGATAACTCAAGTTAAGCCTGCTTTCAGATATCAAGTCATCTGCTTCCATGTTAGGAACATGAGATACAATATGATCAGGGGTGTAAGGTACTTGAGGTTGGTCATTATGTGTTGTTATTCTAAGTTGTGGTTTAATTGTTTGAGGATCATTTGATATGTCTTTTGGGTGAAATTGATCTTCAATATCTTTATAAATGCACTCTGGAAGTGGTAGGAAATTCAAATGGTTCATGGAATCAAACTCTCTTAATAAGTTTGATAACTTCACCTCTTCTTCATTGTACATCTTCATTTCATTTCCTTCCATCTTTGATTCCTCATGTTGATGATGGGGAGAAATTTCTATATCTTCATGCACTCCTCTAGTAGTATCAGTTGAAAGTCCTGGGTTTCAATCACCACCATAGTTCAGATGTTTGTTGAACTGGGAAGTGAGATTGAGAAAACCTGTGGTAAGCTCAGACAACTTACCTCCTGTTTCACTTGTTCTTGTTGAATCTTCCCAATGTTGAATAAAAGGGCAATAATCAATGAAATTTGAAGTTGAAGTTACATCTTTGGGTGAAAATTCCAGAAAATTTGTAGACAAGAGAGGAAAATCACTATATTGGATATCCTGATAGGATTTTACTATTCCATTGTTAGATGATCAGACACAGCTTGACAGGGAATTTTCTTGTATTAGTATGGCTCTGAATCTTAGTCAATGTGCTCACCATTTGATAAACCTTCTTCAAAATCTTTGTTTGGAAATCTCCCCGTGACCAATCCAAAATGGGTGCAAAATAGAGTAGAGAACACATAAGAGAGGTTCCAAATCTCAATATAGAGCAACATTGAAGTTGTGGAATTGTGAGTGATTGTTTTGTTGATAGATGCTTTGAGGTTGGAAACCTTAAAATAATCAATCCATGTTGGGTTTACAGGTTACTAGACTTCATACATGCCTTATCACTCTTATGAAACATAGTCACCAAAAATTGTTGTTTGAAGATCATATGCCACTCATTGAAACATGTGAATGTAAGGTTGAGTCCCCACCAAGCATTTTGCATCTATTTTCTATTCTTACCTCTTGATTTGACATATGTCTCAAAGAAAAAAATGTGCACAAATGTAGGAGTATTTGAGGATAAACCTTTTCACAAACTTATCAGTCTTAGAACATCCACAAGAATTACATTAACATGAACATAAGCTTGAAGTACTTTGGTGTGATTGTAGAAAGAGATTGCTAGTGATTTTTTTAGAAGTCTTGTGGTGGTTCCAAACCTGGATTTGTGTCTGATTTGGTTCTGTTTCCTGATATTCTGGACAACACATAACAAATAAAACCTGGAAATGTTGATATGGTACTTACAAATGTGTTATGCCAGTTATGTAATTAGGGATGTTCCTAACTGTTTGTAAGAAAAATTATGAGATTGAAAGCAGTATTTATGCAGATTTTACAAGGGCCTATTCACTCTTCTTCATTGGTTAATTCTTTCTAAAAAATATAGATTCCTGGGGGAAATGATTCAGGAACCATGTAAAAATCTGCTGCAAAAGCATTGATTGAAAGCTAGTTCGGACCCGGGGAGTATCCGGCTCGGGTCTACTCGCTGATCAAAGATTGGGCCATGGTTTCGGGCCGGGCCTTTCATGATCTCTGGACGGTGTTTGACCTTGGTTTGAATTCTGGAAGGTTGTCCAACGATTCGAACGAGTTCAAGAATGACAAGCATCCTCTTGTGTGATTCAGCTAACTATGATCACGAATCATATTTCTTTCTATTATCGCAGCAGTAATGGTGAAATTGAGATTGACGAAGACGGTAAATGAGAAGTTGAACTCGATCTTAAAAAATTATCGATCAGAACTACCAAGTGAACTTCTTATAAGGCTTCAACCTCAAGATCTCGATACTCCCTCATCAGATATCGAAGGTTTTCATTGGATACATCATTCTACTCTTGCTGATCTCATTAGTTTAATTCGCGTATGTGGTGCGTATTCTCATCATAATATAGTTGTTGGAAACCCATGACTAATTGCGCTTTTTGATCTTTTAAACCTATCAGATAGAAAAGCAGGCCGTCAATGCCAGTGGTCTTTGGCTGAATTGCTCAAAGGCGTAGATATTTATACATGCCCAAAACCTATTCGTCATGGAGTGAGTCTCTTCTCACGACTTTCTCGGGACCGTATACCAAACCAACATGAATATCTGACGAATAAGATGGATTTATAAAAATCAAGTCAATAGAACTAGAAAAGATATTAAGTAATATTAAATTAAATCAAGAAAAAGATGAATACGAACGAATGATTTCAACAAGTTCTTCAAGACCATTTCTAAAAGATCAATTCTTGAATGAAAAAGAAAAACAAGAATGGAATTATATTTCACGGTCAATAACTTTATTAATCAATAGTGCATTTTCGATTATTGGTTTAATGATTTCTATTTATTGGTTAGGTTATGTTAATTATGGTTGGTCGATTGAAAAAACTTTGGTAGGCTGTTTGTTTGGTGCTTTGGGTTTAGGTGGTGTAGAATTGATTCTTTGTTGGAATTATCTTTGAAGGGTTCTTTGTTTGATAATTTAATGGGTTTTTTGTTGATCGGGTTGCTTTGGGGGTGTTCGGTCCCTAGAATTCTCATCACAATGCAAGACTGATTCATTTTTATAGTGCTGTGATGTGATACACTTATTTACCTGTGGCTATTGAACTCATGAAGCGGCTTCTTGAATTCGATTCATAGAGTATACGGACGGTCTGCTGTAATAGGACTTGAATGTGATTTACCTGTGAGTATCAGGTTGTCAGCTTGATAAAATCTGCACACACTGAACAAAAAGGTAAATGAGACAATTCGAAGGTAAAGAGGATTGTCGAGAACAAATATTCAAGTTTGATGAAAAAAGGGAAATAAGGTAAACAGCGTAATGAACGGTAACCCTTTAAATACCAAAGCTGAATATTAAGGTCATAACCTATTCAAAACATAACACAAGTGTATGATGTCATAGAGAAAGCTGAAGAAAGATTAATAAGCCTATCAAATGATAATATTTCAATTGTAGGCAGTCCCCAGTGAGATGAGGATTAGGCTTCTCTTGTGCTGGTTCTAATTTCCCCTCAAGGAGTCTTCATGAAGACCCTTGAAAGACTACTCCATATAGGCCTGCCATACAATTCTTCCATCTGTTGTCTTTTGAAACTTTGCGAACGATGAAAAAATGGAGGACATGGACAAAGTTTTCCATGTTGTCTTGTATACATATATAAATATCCATAGTCCATATCTCCTCGAAGAAATGTTGCACATGCTTGTGATAGAGGGTCGTCTTCGGCGCCCTACTATTTTCCCCAGTCCCTAAACAAGTTGTACCATAAAAAGATGCTAGCCATGCCACCGGTGAGCCATGCCTATCGCCTTCTATCGCCCGTTGACTAAAATGGACGGTTGAATATACTTAAGCTCCTCGTCTGTAGCTGCTTTTATAATGAAATTGATTAGCTCTTAATGACGTCGGAAACCAATCAGCTGTTTACATATATGCAAGTTATTATTAGATTTTTATAGTTTTCTTTGGATTCCTACATAGTTGAAGCAAATGTACTTCGAGTCTAACTATGCTGTGAAATTTCTCCTAATTTATGTATCTATGTAGTCAAGAATATGAGTGGAGGGAAAAGTAAATGAGATTTTTCAATTTGGTATGTAGTGTAAAGTCACTTTGGATTGTTTTGATTTCAGTGCAAAGAATGTGATGCTTAAATTTACTGACAAATTTCTTGATTGATTTTCAGCTTTACTCTGTTTTTGAAATCGTCTTTTTGTCGATTTTGTTTTTTCTTGAAGTTCATAAATAATGTCAAACTTTACAGGCATTCATCATGTCGTAGAAGATCACGAAAATGAACAGACGCGTGAAGATCAGAAAGGTTCAACTTCGGAATTTGAACGAGGGAAAAAAGGAATTTCAAAGGCTTGGAAACTTTTGTTTTATCAAGAACCTCGTGAGCCTTCGACTTTGAGAAGTCAAGAGGAGAAGAAACTTGTCTGGTTGATTGACATACATATGTAAGCATAAAGAAACCAATCCCATCTTTATCGAGTGCTGATTGGCTATGAGCTGATTTTGGAATTAATTTTGATTGTGTCGACTTTATCTTAGGCTTCCTTGCATATGCTGTCTATATTGTTTGAATCGTGAGTGGATTTGACTATCGATGAAAGGGATTTTAGATTGCCTTGTAGTTTTTTTATTGATTCTCTTCGCTCACGATAGATCTTGATAGGTCAAATGTATGTTCAGAATTGCTTTCTCAAATTACTCGATGTCATGATGGATCGATTGCAGTTTGATGTTACTGAATTGGAAAATGGATTCAGATTGCCAATGCGCGGATTGGTGGCATGAGTGTTGATCTCAACCTCTCATCAACTGATTACTCATTGGCGGTCTTAATTTTTTCTTGGGATACATGTAAGCCTTACTTTGAATGACTTTAGATGATCTTCTTTGATTATAAATTGACAATCTTGTACTCTTTAAGCTTAGCGGAAATACCTAGTAACATGATGATGCCTCAACTCCGACCATCTATCTTCTTATCCCTCCTTACTTTTTCTTGGGGACTTGTAGCTGCTTGTTTCGGTCTTGTTCAAACAAAGCAAGCTTTGATTGGCATGCGCTTCCTTTTAGGCCTTATTGAGTAGGTTTTCTCTTCGGAAATGAAACGAGATATACATATCTGATCGTAGCCCTTTTTGACCTGTTCTGATCGTCCTCAATGATTACAGGTCTGGGTTTTTTCCTGGATTGGTATGTCTTTCGATAATTTTGAATTCGAAGGATGAGTGACTCTGAACTCGCATACCACAGGTGTATTATCTCTCTTCGTGGTATCGGAAGCGCGAATTGGCTAAAAGAATTGGACTCTTGTATTCTGCAGCCATCTTCTCCGGAGCGTTTGGTGAGTAGGACTTACCGGTTGATGGTGCAAGTTTTGATTTCTTTTGAAATAGGATATTTTCTGATCATATCGTTGTATGCGATTGGATAGGTGGTCTGTTAGCTGGGTCTGTAATTGCTCATCTCGATGGTGCTCTAGGGATCAGAGGCTGGCGGTGGATTTTTATCAGTTTAGTACTTCATCATTCACCTTGTTTTCTCCAAACCGGTTAAAACACAGGAATTAATCAAAGATTGATATCTGGATGATTGTTACTTCAGTCGAAGGATCTGTGACGATCTTAGCTTCCTTTGTTGTAGTTTTCTTCTTACCAGATTGGCCATCAGATACTAGATGGCTTGGTCCAGAACAACGCATGTTGGCAAAAGCTCGTCTGCACGATGATACTTTGATAACATCTCAAGATACAGAATATCAACACTTGAGTCATTTACAAGCTCTGAAAGCAGCACTGCTAGATTGGAGGACTCATGTATTTGGCTTGATGTGTACGTTAGATCCTTTCCTCCTCATTTTCACAAGGCTCTTGCTAATGCTTTTCATTGGTTTTGTTAATAAAAGACACGTTGATCAGTAGTGCAAACATGATTTCTTACTTTATTCCAGCTATCACATCAAGTATGGGTTACACTGGTGAAAAGGCTCAATTCATGACCGTACCTATTTACATATGTGCTGTGTTAGCTATCATTGGAATCTCATTTTCAGCTGACCATTTTAATGAAAGAGGTTTACATATTGGATTACCCAGCTTTGTTGCTGGGAGTTTGTATACAATTTGTATTTGGGTACATGAGCCTAAAGCTCGTTATGGAATACTTTGGTATGTCAATAATGTTTATCCATATGATTTCATTTTGTTTGTTGGAAATTTATCCTTCACTTTGTGGATTTTTAGTCTTTCCTATGGTTTGGTACAATCTGCTGTTCCTGTGATTCTTGCTTGGGTGTCACAGCATATCAAATACCCTGATTCAAAAAGAGCAGTTAGTCAAGCTTATGTGAATACAGGTAAGCTGTTCATCAACTCAAGCCAGTTTGAACCCAGTCCTTTGGTCACTTATATGATTCTTGATTCACGATTTTAAGTTGGTAGTGCGGCTGCATTTTACGGTAGCTTTCTTTGGTCTAAACCTCCGGATTTTACTAATGGGTTTATAGCTTTAATGATCTTCTGTTTTGGATGTGTGATTTGTGTGATTTTTGCTCAATTTGCATTTGTGAGGGAGAAGATAAAAAAAGAAAAGGAGTTGGTCAAGAAAGTCAGTGTAGAGATGGAGAACAGAAGATGATACTGATAGAGTGAGATGAGATGATTTGTGGATAGTTACTCTTCTTTAGAAGCACTAGGCTGTTAACAGGTACTTTTGGATCTTGGGAAGATTTTTTCACTGTGTACATATATGAAAGGTCCATTCTTTCATTCTTCACCTGTACATTTTGTTGTATGATATGTATTATCAAAACTTATTCCTCCCTGTCATTACTGCAGTCTGCCAGTCTATTTGCCTTGCAGGGAGGAATCACTTGAATCACTGTGAACCTCATTCAACTTCCCCCATTGGGAGGTGGAAAATGATTAGGAGTATGGCTTGGCTTAAAAGGATCTATCACTGCACTCCTGAGCCATAACACCCACACTACATTGTGCAGTAGGCTGAGTGAATGGGCAGCTATCATGTACATACAGGTCTGTTCAGTTTTCTGCTCATCTGAATATGTGAATCATATGTAATACATGCTGTAACTTTTTTCCAGCTTGACAAACATGTTCCAAAACACTAGGGGTTGGGCGAAAAACCAACCAACCAGTTTCCAAACCCTGTTCAATTGCAGTTCAAATTTTTGGGAACACTTAAGAGATGGCTCAGAATTAATATCAAAGCCACACAAAACCAACAAACAATTTTATTCATCTTTTTGCTTTCCAAAAATGTTGACCGGTATGATTGGTTTTGGGATCACGCCACCTCTTTAACCGTTCAAAAGCTTTTACAGGGAAAGCAATTTGTGGCGCCACAAGCCTTGCAAACACCCTTTTTGCACCTTTTACAGATCCGTGAAAGGTGTGAAATCTTGCCTGAGTTCTTCAAACTGAGCTATTGGTGGGGCTGGAGGAGAAAAATCAGATCCAAAGACTGACTTTGGGTCTTTTTGGGTAACCTGGCACAGCAACAGGTCTGTGAAACCTGCACCCAGTTGATTTTGGTCATTGTTGGCTGTTTTCAATTTAATTCTCAAGGACACAAAACCGGTTGGTCAGTTCTTTGCCCAACCCCTACTGACTCAAATTTTTGGTGCAATTTCATCAACCAACCTTCATATAAAACCCTTTCTGTGACTGACAAATGGCTTTGAGAATATTGCCTGAGTAGCTATGCAGATATATGTATGTAGTGAACTTGTGGGACAATATTGTCAGACTCAAGGGCAAATAGCTAGGGCCCGTTGGGCTGATACCCACAAACAGTTTTTGGTCAAAAGCACCACCAAAGCCAAAAACTGTTTTTGTGTCAAAATAATTGTTGGTGTTCATAAAAAACACCGGTGTTTGGTAACAAGGTCAAAATCACTACACAATGGATAGTGGTAGTGTTGTGAAAGTGCTGTGGCACTACCCTTTGAAAAATTGGTTTTTGTGATAGTGGTTGATGCACAGCCCTATACAAAAGTCCAAAATTTCTATAGTGGTATGTCCACTACACTCACAAGTTTTGGCAGTGTGTCCACACATATAGTGGTCCACATAGTGTACTGCAGTGTGCACTGATAGATAATATATTGAAATTTCATCAGGCTCTGCCCCCAAATAACTAGAAGTCCTTTGCTCTGTTAGGACCATTGTTTATCTTTCCTTTAGCATGAAAGGTATACACATACTTGAGTTCACCTCTGTCATACTTTGCCCCACTCATCCACCTTGTGACCTTCTATCATCCGCTTTCCCCCACCACGTCTACCATACCAGTGCACCCCATCAAAATCATGATCAAAAGTGAGTTTCAAATGAAAAGTATGAAATAACCTGCCTTAATCCCCTTGGACCATTGCTTGTGACTTATAAATCTAGATTTATTATCAAAATTTTGATTTAAACAGCATCCTCCCAATAATCATACTTTACATACCACTCCATCTCCCCCCAATAAATGTACTTTTCAATTTGAGCCATTATCCGGTTTCTTTATTATCAATTTCTTATCTTTCATCTTGATTTTCTTTCAATTCATCTTATACTTTTATGCTGAAGGTATAAAATCAGCAAGATTACACTGTTACAGATGACAAGTACAATGTATTTGCTTCAATGCCTTCTCCTGAAAATGGTGTTAGTCATGAGATGGAGGGCTGCATGTCTGGGAAGTTCCCGCTGATTGGTGGCTTGCTGTGTTCATGGTGGAAGGTAAGTTTTCCTTTCATTCTCTTTACCAATACTATGATTTCTCACTACTTTGTGTGATGTAGGACAACTCAGGTGCCTTTCCTGCTCTTGCAGAGATGGCTCAGGATTTCCTGTGCTGTTCTGCAACCACTTGTTTGTGTGAGAGGGTATTTTCCGGAGCAGCCAATGTCTGCAGATCTGATCAAATGGCATTGGAAAGTGCAACCATTGAACAACTTACTTCATTGTGTGAATGGATAAAGGCCAGTTTTAATGTTTCCTGAGAGTTTTCTGAGGCCTTGTGTTGGTTGTGTATATGGAAAAAATGAAGTAATCCTTAATTGTCAATCTTTCTACATCTTTTTTGTTTGTTATCTCCCTATGCTCTTGTTCCTCATTCAACTTCTTATTCTTCAGGTTTGCAGCTTTCTTTAATACAAATCTTGGCTATTTTATCTTATTATTTTCTCATCTCACTCCTTTCCCCTTGCTTCCCAACTCTCTTTAAAACTTGATTCATTTTCAATCTCTCTGCTTTTTCCTGACCGGCTCAAGTAATCCATAAACCAAGATTAATAGTTCTTTGTACATATTTTCTAGGTAGTGCACTACACGCCTTTTGATAAATTTCTTTTTTCACATTCAAAAAACATGTGCACTATTATAGTGCTAGTGATACAATATCACAGTGAGTGTGAGTGACTAACACACACCACTACATATGATCCATAGCGGGTTTCTGCAGATAGTGGTGCATATTGGTTCTTCAAAATAGTGATACACCACACCACTACTGAGGACCTGTCATATAGCTGTGCATAGTGAAGTGATTTTGACCTTGTTGGTAACTCCATTTGATCAAAAACAAGGACTGTTTTTGATCAAAAAGTCTTCAATTTTGAAAAACAGCCCTGAGGCTGTTTTTGAGACCAAAACAAGTTTTTGCCCTTGTTTGTCCCTCTATTTCAATATTTCAATAAGCTCTTTGGTTGAGTGTTTGGGAATTGTATAACCGATTTTCAACTTTCTCATTCCGCCCCATGAGAAAGGAGCAGATTGAAAAAGTGTTTTGGTGTAACACTTTTTGGCTAAACCAGCCAAATGGCCCCTACACAATTATGGGATACAAAGTTGAATCCGGGAACGTTCCCGGATTTTTTTCCCAGATTTCCAAATTTCCAAATCAAGTTGAAATTTGGGAAAAAAGAGGTGTAATGGCGGATGGAGCAACCGGGGATTCAAAGTTAAAAAAATCCGGATTTTTTCCCAGTATACAAACTACCACTAAAAACGGTATTTGGAAATTTGGGAAAAAATCCGGGACTGTTCCCGGATTCAACTTTGTATCCCATAAATGTACATATCACATGTGATCTACTTATTCAGATGAGCAGACCTGTACGTACAAGATATGAAAATATTCACTTAGCCTGCTGCACATATGTAGTGTGAGTTTTATGACTCAGGTGTGCAGTGATGGATCCTTTTATGAAAGACCATACTCCCAATCATGTTCCCCTTGCCACTTGAGGAAGTTGAATAATATTTACAGTGAATGCATCATATGACACCGCGGGAATCATTAAGTGTGAAACCGGATTGAGCAAAGTCACGGTGTCCGGGTCCGCGACTTCCTTCAATCACGGATCTCGTTTGCCATGGGTTTGCCATTGAGCTGCCCTCTACATAATCCTCCACTCAGGCTGTAGTATGGACTAATGGAGGTACCATATGTCTAGACTCTTGTAACATATACTTTATAAAGCTCATGACTCATACATGATCTTGAGTGGTCTGAGGATATTGAAAGGAAAAACAAGCATAACATGTACTGCAGCTCAGGCGGACAACTCAAGGGCAGCTTGATGCAAGCTAGCAAACCTATGGCAAACAAGATCTGCAATTGAAGAAAGTCGCGGACCCGGACACCGCGACTTTGCTCAATCGGGTTTCACACTTAATGATTCCCGCGGTGTGAGTTGTGTTTTTGTCAAAATAGCTGATATTCAAAGTTAAGGATGATGCTGTCCTTTTGCAAGTTCATTCAACTACAAATTTGTAGACTGTTGATGCTAGTGACCCAAGGCCACGCTATTGTAAAGGGGTCAGAATCTTTTTACTCATTTTTTTATTTGGTTGAGATGGAATCAGAATCATAACAGTCTTTCAAAGCTTAAAGTACACAAGTCATAAATGTAGTCCATTGATTTCACAATGAATGATGTTTCCTAAAGTTCTTAAAGTTTCTATGTTGATATTCATTTGTCTATCCTGCTTTTGACTTCAATTTCACTCAAGATTATCAGTGTACTTTCCTTCCTTGCACTTTGTGTGCAAAAGGATTTAGCTTGTCGAAAGACGCGAAATACCTTGTATGCGTTGATATTGAGGATCAACAGACATCTATATGCATAGATTTGATCAAATAATCAAGTTGTGTTAAGATTTGCCACAGAGATCCAAAACTAAACTTACTTACATATTACCTGTGATGGAGAATGGTACATGTATACCCTGTGATAAGCAACCTCTCAGAAAAATAGTTGCAAAACAGGAATGTTTGATTATGCTAAAAAATGGAAATCTGACCCACTAGCTGAATGCCCACCAACCACGCTCTATGCAGAAAAAAATCAACACTCTGGGGTGTTATCTAGAAAAACAAACCATAAATTCATTGTATCAGTCACAAAAGACAATGTCGTTCTATGAAAGTTTGATGTCTTACCGCCCAAATGAGTACCGGAAGATGTACTAAGATGGAGGTATAAAAGACTAAAGCATGAAGTACTGTTGCGTCGCGTTGTGGAGTTATACTTTCATTCATTTGGCTCATAGATCGTTGTAAAGTTTGACTTGAAGCTCCAAGCTCCTCGTCACGCTTCATGGCTGGTTTTGCAGGACCATTGTACATCCCCCGTAGTAGGATCATAAGACAGGGAATGTATGCCTGAAGTTGTAAATCAGGTGTCAGGATACAATGTTGTTTGATAAAGTTTCTTGCTTACTAAGCATAAGATACCGACAGCGCAAAGGTATAGGCTGATCCCAATTCGAATCAAGCGGGAAGTGATGTTCTTGCGCGTCGCGAGAAATTTTAAGAGATATAAGTGATCCGATTGAATAGAGCTACGCCCCTCCAACACGACTCACCAGGTGAGGAAGTGCATGGATTGAAGGTAGTAGAATCATCCACAGCTTCGACGCGCTGTAAGTATCGGGTGAATAGGTCAATGCAGAATTCAAGAGGGCCTCAATCACGGGGCGCACGATATCGTCCATTCGAGAGTATTCTTGAATGGCTAGCGCGAAGATACAGATTATAGAAACTGCGTCACAGTAGATGTATCATAAGTTATCTTGGACTGAGGACCTTCCTCAACCATATCCTCAAAGCTTACTAGCAGGCCAAAGTCGGGCGCCCAAAACCGCCGCGTGCAGAGCCCAAGGAACAGACCGCGGGATGATCGTCTTCCCGAACTCTGTTTGAGATGTGGGTGATCTCCATTTCAGGGTGGCGCAGTGACAAACAACCACCCATAAGAAACCTATTGAGCAAATGATAACCATGTAATCAGCGGTCCTGATGTTTTTTTGGTGCGAGATTTATTTGGGCTAGAAAATACTCACCCCTGTAAATGAAAAGTACAATCAAAACACCGTTGAGTAAAGAAACTTTGACAGCCAACTTAGAATTAACTGCAAGCAATCTTACCACGAGGCATCAAGGGCCACAATGAACTTGGTCCCAAACAAAAAAATCTGCCAAGTTTGATACCGGCCGGCTGATAATTGTTTTGAAATCATGTCTACTAATGTGACTAAATTTGAGAGCGAAAGAACTACATCAGTGAGTATTCCATATGAATGCGGTCGGGTAAAATGTTTTGACTCACGAACACTATAGATCAAGTAGCCGATGCTACAAAGATTTGAGCAGTCTACTTGAACCAAGCCAAGTTCGTTGAGCTTGAACAGGTAGAACCTACGACTCATGATTCGAAAGAACATGAGAGAGGCAGATTGACAGAGCATTCTACAGCATATCGTGTGTTCAACTACGTAAGTCAAAAATCCACCAGACCATGCATCGTCCCGCAGAATGAAAGATTGAAATCAACTCGGGAAGCCATGTCTGCTTACATCCCAAAAGGTAAAATGAAGACGCGTTCTAAGTGTAAAGCCCACGATGGCGAAGAAGCAGTCTGATAGTATGAGGTGAGGAAAGGGCGCGATCGATCAATGCCTTGGTATCATACTCGAGATTTCAAGTGTACGAAAGTTAGTGCTCGAACATACTTGAAACAGTTGATCGAGAAAACCGGCCGTTGCTGCAAATGGATTGAGGTCGGGCGGGTGGTTTGAGAGAAAGTCTATGAATTCTTCTATGATTTCCGACATGAGGATTGTGTTGAAGGTTTTCTTTCACAATAAGATACGATACACTTGATACATATAGGGAAAAAGTAGCGGCAGAGGCAAGATTGGAGCTTCGACCAGTCAAGCTAAAATAATCAAGAAAACAAAGAGTTGAGGTTTTTGTTTTAAACTTCCTACAACTTTGCAGGTACGATCATTCTCTTTTTCCAGGCGTAATTAGGACATCAATAGACATCGATCGAATGGAAATGAGGGGCTGCATGGAACTTGAGAGAGTACGGGCAGAGTCCCATGAGGTTCCATCGGGGCCTTCCACTTTGGCTTTGAGACTAAGAGAATGTGAATAAAAATGATATCTCCTCATTTCTCATATATCTAAACTTCGCTCGTGCTGTCTATCGGGGGGATCTTGTGTATCTTCCTCTCAGTACATACCACATGCCCTTCAGAGGTTACTCTCAACGCGGCAGCTCGTCACATCAATCGCCCATCTTTCGAAGAAGGCTCGGGTGGACCAAGATCAGGACATGGGAAGTAGATAAACGACGAACTGGAGATCCCCAGCTTACTGGATGCCCGAAGATGATATGGAAACTCTTCGTGGAACAAAGTCCCCAATGGCTCAATCACATACAGACCAAGAACGATTCTTCGGCTTTCCCGAGCTATGTATGACGGACATGGATCCACGATCGAAGGAAAATCCATTTCCTATCATCCCCTGTTCTTTTGTTCTTAAGTATCTCAAATCCTCACCCTCTTCCTATGTAGAATCTTCATATCTTCTCAAAGTACCATCTCAATCACCCCAGTATAGACTATCTCACATCTAGTCTCACTGTCTCAGTTTAAGTCGTTTATACTTTTTTCCCTCCCACCCTCACTGAAAAGATTAAAGCTTACATGTAGATATAAAATTGCTCTGCAGGTATGTTCCGAATAGTTATGACCAATAGTTTCATCTTACTCTCCATCTGTCTCCATGAAGCTATACTTACTTACATACCACACATCCTGAGTCCTGTTTTTTAGCCAGCTTTTCTTCTAAAAAAATCTCTCTGTGACACTCCATTGATATCCACTTTAATATGTGTGCCCTTATGCTTTCTTGTACAACCTCCTTGTCCTCCTTTATTAGGTTGGTGCAGTTGTTAAGAGGCTGCCTCCCACATTTCTTGGTCTACATAACCGGTTTCGGGTAGGACCGACGAAGTTCAGTCCCAGCGCCGAGACGATCGGCGCTGATGCGTCGTGTGGTGGTCGTAGAGAGGGCGCCGGTATAGGCCAGCATCCAGATTTGTGTGATCAGCCAACCGATGAGGGGTCCCGCCATTTCTTGCTACAACATCTTTCCAGACGAATCCCACTTACACAGAAGAGAGACGGTAAGAGTCTTCCCGCCGTTTGAAATTTGAATACGATCCCGAGAACATCACGCCATTTGCTCGGCGTGTGTCTGCCGAGCCAGCGACGGTTGCAATAATTCAAAAACATTCGCTCAGGCATGTTGCGTTGTCTCTATATATATGTCTTCGAGTGTCCCAAATCTCACACCTTTGCAAGTAATGTTCATCTTTTCATACTCTTTGATTGTCAGAGACCATCGACATGTCTATCCGTCCTGTGTGATTGATGCCTCAAAAATCCGGCAAACGGTGCCCAAGCTAAGTGGTGAGGATTTCATGACACACGGAACGCTTGCGCCCGCAACGCCTAAGAATCTCCACGCTTCTAATCATCGGAGCTCGCTCAAAGTACGCGATCAACGAGGAAGACGGAGCAAGCATCTTTCAATCAGCCCCATAAATGGGGCTCGTCAGAAGAGGATTGATGTGACTGGTAGTGTGAATCCGCCGTTGCCTATTCTTTTCCAAAGTAATGCAATCGATGGCTGAGAAGTGATTTCAATATACTTATAACATGGATTTACAGATACTTCCCACAGCCCGCCTTCGGATACTGATACCCTTCTAGCCTTCCAGGAGCGCCTGGCTCATTGGCTTGAGATGTCGATGTTTGTCGGTGTCAAAATGAAAAAAGAACTAATTCGGTCCAAGTTTCCGCTCAAGCATTTAACTTGACTGGCTTCGACAACTCTAGCCATAGACACCCTGGCTCACTCACGGCTTGCAGCTGGATCGCCTCTAGCGTGGCAATCTATACGGAACTGGTGACTGCGAGTGTTCACTTAAGCGTTTGGGGTTGCGCTTCCACGGCTCACCTAGACTTTGACAAATTTCAATTTCCTCCGAGCATCCATCCACGTATTGTTTGTCTTTCGTCAGTAACACGGTACACCCTCTCATTGGCCTTCATCAAAGAAACCCTTTCATCTTCATATTCACCCTCAACACGCAGCATGACACCCCCAGTAGTACCCCCAGCCTCTTTGGCCTCTGTATCTTTATCGACTCCATCTTTGACGGCGCACTCACCTACAGCGGTAGGCTCGGAGATATTTCACGCGGATCAATCCCCCCTCAAGCTAAATGACCCCTCCATAGACTGGTCGCCGCCTTCAAGCCAGAATACCTCAACCGAGAAGCCCTTCAATTATCTCTTTGAAAACAGTCCGCGAGTATATATTCCTGGAAGCGAAGAGGACAAACAGCTAGTCCGTACTATTGACTTGCACATGTAAGCATCTATCAACAAACTTGTGCTTCAGCCATATCATACTACACAATTCCCCTAGCAAACATTAATGCCGCGCTCTGGCAATTTTATGAAACAACAGGTTACCTTGTATATGTTTTCTCTATCTATTGAACTGTTAGTAATGCATTCCTTGAATTGGGAAAAGACGCATTAGCGCTTGAGGCTTACATTGCTCATTTTCAAAACCACTTCTTTTCCTCGAGCAGACCTCGACCGGTCCAGCGTACGTTATTCTGATCCCTGCCGCAACTCAAGGCTGGAAAGTGAAAGTGTTCAAGCTGATACCTGGATAATCTGCTCATACCAATTTGATGCATTGTCTAGATCGGAAACGCAAGAATTGGCGGCATGGGACAAGACCTCGAACTCAGCTCCGCTGATTATTCTTTGGCCGTATTAATCTTTTTTGTCGGCTACTTGTGAGAACTTCAAAACCTACATGAATCTCATTGCATTTCACACAAACTGATTTAATTATATATCTCAATATTCATCATAACAAACCAGATTGGCCGAAATCCCCAGCAACATGTTGTTAACCCGCGTGCGCCCCTCCCTCTTCATCCCCCTTATCACGTTTAGCTGGGGCCTGGTAGCCACACTACTCTCTGTGGTGAAAACCAAGGAGGGATTGATTGGGGTGCGGTTTGTACTGGGATTTGTGGAGTAGGTGTACTTTTCTGTCTCGGCTTTTATATTACAACACCAAATCATTTCGTCCAGCTTGAGCTGACTTCCGTCGCCTCGCTTATTTTTAGATCTGGATTTTTCCCTGGTGTAGTGAGTGAAGAATTTCCTATATGATTTGACCAGGTTTGTTGATTTTTTTTGTACAAAACTATAAGATATTCCTCTTGTCCTCATGGTACAGGAAAAGCGAACTTGCAAAAAGAATCGGATTTCTTTACACTGCGGGAATTTTGTCAGGGGCTTTTGGTGCGTCTCTTCTACTCTTTCATACATCTAGAATGACGCTACTTATCATCATTTCCCGAACTTTTTGAAATAAAGGCGGACTCATTTCAGGAGGTGTTATCACTGGACTTGACGATGCTCGGGGAATTCGTGGATGGAGATGGCTTTTTATCAGTTGAGTACTTCGGTCCGTCTAGCAATACATTTTTGGCCAAATTCTTATGGGTCTGCTTTGTCAGTTGAGGGAGCAATAACAATGTTTGCGTCGATAGTTGTTGTGTTCTTCATGCCTGATTGGCCTTCAAACACGAAGTGGCTTACTCTGGAACAGCGCGCACTCGCAGGGGCTAGATTAGCAGCCGATCGACCTGCTCATGCGCAATCGCAAATCATCTTGACACATTTACAAGCCTTTAAGGCTGCCGTGACAGATTGGCGGATCTATTTGTTCTGCTTTATGGGTGAGTTTGATGTCTATATTTTCCCAATTCGACTTTCACAGTAGATCTTTGTATTGATTTGTGATTTGTGAAACCTTAGATTTGATGATCCTCAGCGGAACCACCATCTCCTACTTTATTCCCACGATCACGCAAACACTTGGATATACTGGTCAAATGGCTCAGTTCATGACTGTTCCCATATATGTATGCGCATGTGCAGGTATCTTGGCCATCTCACTTTCGGCCGATTTTTTCAAAGATCGTGTTTTCCATGTAGCGATCCCGACTGCGATTGCTGGAGTTATGTATGCAACCTGCGCTGGAATCAGCAGCCCAGAGGCTCGTTATGGTCTCATATGGTTAATATCTTTGCTTCTCTCGACCCCACCCTCTTCATGCACATCTGACCCATCTTTTCTTGGTAAAACAGTATAGGATTTGCAGGGACATATGGCGCCCTTCCCATTGTACTTGCGTGGCTTTCAAGAGAGCTCAACTTTCCTGATTCAAAACGCGCTGTCTCACAAGCGCTTGTAAATACTGGTAAGATAAATGAAAATCTACTAGCCTCTCCACCGCAAGACACTCGGATTTTCAAACTGACTACATTGAACCCCTCTAATTGCTCATTGCAGTCGGTAATTCGGCATCGATCTATGGTAGCTTCTTATGGTCTGATGCCCCTCAGTTTACCACTGGGTTTGTGTCAACTGCAGTCTTTTGCTTCAGTTGTGCTATCGCTGCTATTGTCGGACATCTTCTTTTCACTAAATATCCATCTCGGACAACTGGGTTGGACAGGGATGCGAGAGTATCAATCGACATCCAGCGTTCTATTGGCCGGTTAGAAAAACCTAAACAAGAAGACCCTGTGGTTTAGCACGTACATCAACTATGTTTCGAATCTGACTATCATTAAATGAAATACCAAACAAATTCCATCTTGGAAGAAAGATCCCCGTAGAACAAAAAATACGTCACTACGCGGTTGAACTTGCACAAAATTTACTAAGTGGTTGACAGCCCGCAATGATGGGGGGTCATTTCACTAGGGCGAGAGTAAGCACGTTAAGATGACATAACAGGCAAAAATGGCCACAAGAGAGGTAAGACTGTTGAAGACAACGGGCGAAAGAGTCAAGTGTTTGAGGGTCGGTACGCAACTCGAACTACGAGTCGCATCTTAAACCCCACTTCGATTAGAGAGGCGCAACTCGCAAGTTGCAAAAGTAGAAGTAAAACACCACTGCGCGTATAGCAAAATGATGCTTAACCCCTTAATTGAACGGCATCTGTCAAGTCAAACACCCCCCAATGTCAAAAGCAATACAGTAGAAGTTGCCCCGAATTGATTAGCACGTGCTTTGGCTGAGGGTCTACGAAAATCTTAGCACTTGAGCTGCTGGGCTTACAAAATTTTAGCAAACTTGAGTCCCGCTGAGCCCGGGGTGTTGTCCCTCACCCAGTGATATGCCGGCCTCGAAACCTCGGAGGAGGGTGGACTAGAGCTGGAGACTACACCAGTGCCCAGGGCAAGCTTAACTAAGCCTACATAAAGCCTGGACTCGAGTGGTTGGAGAAACCGGAGGAGCGGAATTTGTCGTTGAGCCGTTTGTACTTCTGCATCCGAGCGACCGGTTTTAAATTTATCCGAAGGGCTCAAGCCTCAATCAGGCTCAATCGCAGCTCCTCGCCGTTTCCCAACCGGCTCTTCAGTTCCGACATCTGGAAAGCGTAGAAAATTTGACCGTATTTCATGACATCCTGCCGTATGCTGGAGAGACAACTTTCCTCCGTATCGCCTTGCTCCAGCCCATCGTGCACCCTCTCGAGTAAATTTTCATCTTCCTGGCAGCGGTGAAGAGCTTGGTGAACAAACTTGACGAAGTTCGATCGATAGGTCTCCTTCCTGGATGTTCTGAAGTTGGGCGGTTGCGACCACATCCCCAACCTAGGATACACAATGTACTACATCGCATGGTGCATACATGGACTAATCGGGTGATCCTCAATGGCTCAACTCGTGCTCCATGTGACAAATAATCCAAAAGCAACCAATCGCCTTTTCTTCATAACTTCAAGTTCGAGTGACCTTCTAAAAATTAGACTTTCTCATCGTGATAGTATAACCACATAAATAGCATGTCGCCCGCCGAAGTTGCGCCGGCCTCTTTGACCTCTGTCTCATTATCGAATTCGTCTTTGAGGCCACGCGCACCCATAGCGGTAGATTCGGAAAATCTCCCGTTGAAGCAGACACCCCTCAAGCTGAACGACCCGACAATAAACCAATCGGCGCTTCCGAGCACGAAACAGACACTGGCTTCCAACGCAACGGAAAAGCCCTTCCATTATATTTTTGAAGATAGCCCCCGAGTATATATTCCTGGGAGTGAAGAAGATAAAAAGCTGGTCCGCATTATCGACTTGCACATGTAAGCATCCATCAAAACGTCAAATTCTCACACGACCTGGAATATTTGTCACACCTGGCGGGTCAGAAACTAATGCATAGCTCTTGTCATTTCGCGGATCACCAGTTTGCCTTGTATATGTTTTCTGTACCTATTGAACTGTCAGCAAAGCTTCATTCGAACCAGGCAACGAGACATATCGGTACTTACGAGACTGACATTTGGACGCTGATCTTTTGTGCCGTGACAATGAATCACTTCATATCCTTGCGTAGACCTCGACCGGTCAAGTGTACGTTGTTCTGCTCCCCATAGATGCTCAAGGCTTTACAGCAACAAATCAGATTTAGCCTCAGGACACATTGCTTACCCAGCTTTGATGAAATACCCAGATCGGGAATGCAAGAATTGGGGGCATGGAAAAAGATCTCGAGCTTAGCTCAGCAGATTATTCTTTGGCTGTATTGATATTTTTTGTCGGATACCTGTGAGAAAATCTCCTCGTGACAGAACCCTTATCCCATCTTACACTGATTGTACTGTCTTGAAATCTCCTCTGATAAAACTAGATTAGCCGAAATTCCAAGTAATATGTTGTTGACAAGAGTTCGACCCTCCATCTTCATTCCCCTTATCACTTTTGGTTGGGGACTGATAGCCACAGTATTTTCTGTGGTGAAAACCAAAGAGGGATTGATTGGGGTCCGCTTTGTCTTGGGATTTATGGAGTGAGTTTTTGATCCCTTTTCATTTCCATTTTCATCAGTGAAAATTGTCATTCAACTTGACCTAAATCATTGGTGCTTTCTTTTAGATCCGGATTTTTTCCCGGTGTAGTGAGTGAAAGATTCAAAATCACAATCCCATCAGATTTATTTGTTGATTTCTTCATTGTGTAAAATCATAAGCTCTTCCTCCTGTCCTCATGGTATAGGAAAACCGAACTGGCCAAAAGAATTGGAATCCTTTATACTGCATCAATCTTAGCGGGTGCTTTTGGTGAGCCCCTCCCTTTTCTTCTCCAGATCTAGAATACTTTTCTCCTGCGTGATGAAAGCCTGACTTAACATTTGCCCAATGTCGCCTCTACAAAGGCGGACTCATCTCTGGTGGTGTGATAACAGGACTTAATGAGGCTCGAGGCATCCGTGGATGGAGGTGGCTCTTTATCAGTTGAGTGTTTGTTTGATCTGTATGACAGTAACTCTTGGCTGAATGGGTATGGTGATGTTGCATCAGTTGAGGGAGCAATCACAATGTTCGCGTCGATGGTGGCTGTATTCTTCATGCCTGACTGGCCTTCCAATACGAAATGGCTCACTCCGGAGCAACGTGCGCTCGCAGCAGCTAGATTGGCTGCAGACCGGCCAGCTCACGCAGATCCACGACTCACCTTGACTCATCTACAAGCTTTCAAGGCCGCTGTGACAGATTGGAGAGTTTATTTGTTCTGTTTAATGGGTGAGGAAGATAATTGAATCTTCGTAATTCTTCTCGACTTTGAAAATGTGTATTGACTTTTCATTCCATCACTTGTTAGATTTGATGATCACCAGCGAAACAACCATTTCTTACTTCATTCCCACCATCACTAGAACCCTTGGATATAAGGGTCAGATGGCTCAGTTCATGACTGTGCCAATATATATATGCACATTTGTAGGTGTCTTGGCCAATTCACTCTCGGCCGACTTTTTCAATGATCGCGTCTTCCACGTAGCGATTCCAACCGCGGTTGCTGGAGTGATGTATGCAATATGTGCTGGAATTAGCAATTCGGAGGCTCGGTACGGTCTCATATGGTTGGAGCCCTTTCTCTGATGTTATTTCTCAAATCGACATGCACATCTGACCCAATTTCTGCTAATTGTGATTGGTAAAATAGTATAGGATATGCAGCGACTTTTGGCGCTCTCCCTGTTGTGCTCGCATGGCTTTCAAGAGAGCTGAATTATCCCGATTCAAAACGCGCTATCTCACAAGCTCTTGTGAATTCTGGTAGGGCAACTTCTTCTTGCCTACCAAAGACAATCTGAACTTCCCACTGACTTGTCTTGAATACTTTCAATTTTCTATTGTAGTTGGTAATTCAGCATCCATCTATGGTAGTTTTCTATGGTCTGATGCACCCAAGTTTACCCATGGATTTGTAGCAAATTCAGTCTTTTGCTTCACTTGTTCCATCATTGCAATCATTGGCCATCTTCTCTTTACCAAATACCCATCTATGACAACGCAGTTGCAACGTGATGCAGAATTATCAATCGAGATTCAACCCACTAATACTCCGTTGGATGAACGCAAAGACGTGAAATCTTCAATCTAGCTTGTATATATGTCAATATATTTATCCTCTGACAACCATGGAATGATACACAACCTAACAATTCACGATTCAACCTATGGGCGCTTCTGTATGAGATAACATGGAAGGAACCATCTCCTCATCTACACACCCTGGTTCAATCAGCCACCTCATGTATACCTGGGGGTTTTTGCAAGAGGTTTTTACAGTGTATTTTGGTCTTCAGTACCTCACACTATAGTGGCACCTCTGTGTTTCTTACCTGTTTAGTATCCTTCTGTTGAGATTCTGTAGTTTGGTCTCATATAAATTCAGATTGGTATGGAAGCCACAAGAGGTGAGGTCACTGATCTTTGTGCCCAGGAACACAATGTGCTTTTGCCTGTTATGAGTAGGGTTATGACTTGTTGGCTGAGTGTGCACAGACATCTCCTAGCTAGACTCAAGGGGAAACCTGACCTGACAATAACAGAAAAAGCCATGGGTTGGGGGCAGGAATTGGCTGGTCTCTAAGACTCACCCAACAATGGGGAGAGAGATATTACCTTGAATTAAAAACCATCTGAACTTGACATATGACCCCCTGAAAAATATTGGGCTGTACCAGTACCTACCCTGGCCAGACTTGCACATTTTGATAGATGGCATAAGTTGTGTTAGGGCCAGATCTAGCCCAGAAATACCAGGGCTGGGGCTGAGCCCTAATTTTAACCATCCAACCCAATACATATCAACTGTGCCATCTCAACCCCTTTGCATCAGGTTGCAAGGACAACTAGTAATTTATGGGTAGCAAGTACAAGCAGAAGAACAAAGAGCAGTGCACATGTGAATTCATATGTGCACTCTTGAAGTTGTGCAATAGCTTTGGGGTGACTCATGGATGCAATGATTTCCTTGATTTGGGTGCAGAATAGATGCATATGCAGGATACTTTCACAGTCATGGTGTACTCTGGGTTTTGGGAATCTGAATAAATCAACAAATCCAAGAAGCATTCTTAATTTCCTTTTGAAAAGCATATGGGCCTGAGGTTCCAATTTTATGCCTCTCAAGAGCTCTCCTTCATTTTCTCTCTAGCTACACTCCATAGTGCTCAGCTTTTGTTTCATCCCTCCCTTTCAAACTCATCCAAAACCCTGTTTACGTTTGGGTGGAAGATTGAGAAATGCAAGAGGCTCTTCGTGCTTAGAGGTGTCATACATCATTATTGAGATGCAGAGATCTGGTGAACAAGCCATGAGAATGTATTGAGTAAACTTGTGAGGTAAGAGTGGTACTACTCCCTTCATACATATTGAGATAGCAAAACATGATTTCTGGTTAGTTGTAAACCTGTCCCTGTGATTGGACATCTCCTTACATTCAAGGTGGACAGGGAAATAGAGACAAAAAATCTGTTCATTCTTGTACACCAAATTGTGGTAGTCTCTGATCTAACTAAGCTTGCATGTACATATCAGAAAACTTGACATCAGATTTGATGAGAAAAATAGTATTCAAAATGAATGTGTCTGCAGCAAGATTCTGCATACAAATCGCCAAGTTGACAAACTTGCAAAAAGATACACATACTTTCAAGCTTCCTTTAGAGATCCCATATTTTAAACCACTGTGAGGCCAAGGTGGTAGCTGAGAACATCAATTTCTTTCAATCAACATCATCACAATTTATCAACAATCATCGATGATCAATGAATACAAGTTGGATTTAAAATCCAAGCAAGCATATGGCTGATGACCATGAAGCTCTCATATTGAGGATATGGTGCACCATGGATGCAACATCTGAGGGCAAAAAAGCCATATCTTTTTAATTTCCAGCTTTCTGGGAAAGCTTTAAACTTTGAACTGAATGATATTCAGGGATTTTTACAAACCTCACTACTCCCTCTACCGGAATTATTGTGTCTACAATATCCTTCTTGTGGTTACAGTCCTGATCTCTTCGCCTGTAGAGCAATCATCGAGTGACATCAAGTTTAAATACATTTTACTCGGCTTTGCCTTTTCCTTTTAGGCCACCTCCATGGATTTTGGATAAGATAACATGACTAGCACTGATAGGATTTCTCTTTCTTCTTGCTTTCAATTCACTCAATGCTGTTCGTCCACTGAGGATGAGTGGTAGGGCGAGTAGGAAAGCAATGGGGAGGTATTGATATAATCGAAGTGAGGTCCAATAGGTCAAGATCATGACTTCTTGAGAAGCGATGGTAGCGAGAAAGATGATGGTTGAAGTTGAAGAAGGACCTAGAAGTTTGAATCCAGGTGTGGAAGCACTTGAGAGGGTTGACCACTGAGAAAGGAATCATCGCAGGATAGTCAGTTTTACTTTGAGTAAACAGGGATCAACAATTCAAAAGGATACAAGAATTGAGTTGAATACTTACAGCCGACAGAAGGATAAACCAAGGTGAGAGTACCACTACGGTGTAGGCTACGCTGATGATAGGAGAGATCGGCTTGCGAGGTGCTCGGAAAGTCCACTCGATCGGTGGTTGGGGAGCATACTTTTCCAACTCCAGGTTGGAAGGTGCTAAGGATTTGAATACATGTATCAGCATAACTCAGTTAGTATAGCAGTCAATTAAATTTAAGTGAAGTGGCTACACACGTGAGCCATCCTTGGTGTCCCAGTAGGGGTAAGGGAGTATCATATTCGACGGGATTTGAATGGTAGCGAGAGTCTTTCGTAAAGGCTTGTGTTTTGGAGAAGGGTCGGCCAATACGATCTCCAACTGAATCTTGCCTTGCTCACTCAGGCTGAAAAAGTCGGTCGGAGCTCGTGCGAGGTCCTACAACGACATATATCGAACAAGTAAGGATTTAAGTAGATCCCTTGAGTATCAGTGGTTGGGATGATGACCACTGACCAATTCCCATTTGGCTTTTCCGGCACCCCTCACTTTGACGACTGAAGTCCAGTGAAGCTTTGTATCAACCCCGGTAGCCAAGAGATGAACTTGATGTGGAGTAAGTCCTTTGGAATCCTTTCCATCAGAAGAACTTCCAGTGATATGAAAGGTAAGTTTGAGTACGTTCTCAGAAGTAACTGAAAGAATTTTGTTCGATTGACTGGCAGTTGATGAAACACTACAAGAATCGATCGCATACACATCAAATTAACGCATCACTTGTCAGCCTAGATCTGAGCCAAAAACATTTCAAAGACAACCGAATGACTCACTCTACCTTGTCAGTAGTGATACCACTCCCGTCGGCTACCACCAGTTGACCATCTTGAAGTACAAAATCGCATGTCACCGAAGCAATTGTGGCGGCCAGGAAGAGCAACCATCCGATCCCAAACTGAAAACCAGAACGCATGACGAGTATATCCAGCCTTGACGAAATCTAATTGATCGATAAATTCTCCAGCTACTGATGCGTTTTCAATGTTCTCTTTGCTGATGGAAAGTGCTTCGAGGATGGGTTGTTAACCTCAATGAAATCTTTCTTGCGCGAGACGTGGATGTTGATCGGTTCTTACTGCCCCTCTGTAATCCCATACACATACAAGCCTACACCCATAACATTCCAAATCTTCTTCATTCGTAATTCCTGATGCTTTCAGTCAACATTTCGTCTGGAAAGCTGGAAAGCAGCTTGGTCAAAATAAGGTAGCGCACTACATTTCATGCCTAATTTATAAATTTGAAGGACAGGTATCCAGGGCACCACCATGGTCCCGAATGGCCAACAAACCAGATAGCCAAACGTGCGAGATGCTGATGGTCTGATATCACATGTTCTCTTCCAATACCACTCACTACGACATGACAAGGAGTATTCTAAGATATAAAGCAGATTTGATCACCCTTCGATCATATTCTTATGGTATTCCAGAAGTGAAATCCTTGCAAATGATCCTACTTCGGAATCACACTTCTATAGGGTTTGTGGTTGGCATGCTGGGCGTGAAAAAGCATCTCACATGACTCAGGATTTCCATGATATGGAATCAATGGATTTATCGAAATGATTAGGGGTTAGATACGGTTTGGTAACGCAGTATCCCCTTAGGTGGATGTATAGAACTGCTTTAGTGGAAAAAATCACGAACATTCAGTGCATTCATTCGCGCCTCCAAGCTCACAACTGCTATGTACATAATTCCCTCTTCCAAGACCAACGGAGGGCAACACGCGAGAGGCTTGGGTTTAGCTATTCAAGCTATATGGTTTTTTTCTCAAGAAAAAAGGTGTCTCAAGATTGCAAGTTGTCTGTATATTTAGTAAAGTATAAAATGTCTGCTGCTAGATCAATCACAAGAATACATCAAACCACAAGAAATGGAGGACCATCAATTGAAATAAAACTGGAAAAAACCAATCCTTATTATTGAAAGGTATCAACATTTCAAGACAACCAGCTAGTGGCCAATGACATTCAATGGTAGAAGGTCACGCCTTTACATGGTGTAAACATGTGACTTGGTGGAAGGTGGTTGCGGGACGTTTCAGCCCAGCTACGCCGGGTTGCAGTCATTACACGCTGAAAAGGAAAAGATTTTCCCGTCAATGATTGAGTTGTCCTAGATCGTTGTGCATTCGACTCACTTATGTATGGGACGGTGTCTGGGCTCAGATTGTAGCAGTCATAAGTTCTATCCCCGGCATTCGTACAAGCTGAACGGTTTAATCCCGATTTCGAGGTAAAAAAATCTGAAGTAAGTGATGGGAAATAGGATTGTAGTCAATGGAATGGTTACGCACAATATGTGCCATCAGCCATCCAGGAGTAGTCCGTGCATTGTTGCTTGCTTATGCCAGGGTCGGTGCGGGGTGCGCCATGGATTCGACAGGTGTCCATTTCGACCCATTTGTTACCTAATTTTGTGATCATAAGATTAAGATGCAATAGTTAGATTCCTTGTGAGATTGGATCATGAGACAACGGGTTTGTGTATCAATCAATACCTACCATTCAGTGAACAGCTTTTGTACCTGCACGAATGACGTTCCCTTTCCTGATTACCCTTGATGCATGCTATAAAATTGAGGAGAGGCGTAATCGCGATAGCTCAATGACTGGCGTTCAAAATCAACAGCGAAAAACAAAAGCGCAACGTACTAACATCGCCCCCCTTCCACCGAACGGCTCCTGTCAACCCGCCATCGCAAGCAACTGTCAATCCTGATACGATGTGTGCGCTGAAACACAAGGTAAAGACTAGCACAGCAACCTTGATTTGATATTGGTGGAACATGATGACGAGCAAGGCAAGACGAAAATTGGGATGAAGGTGATCAAGAGGGGGATTGCGGAGGTTGAGACAACGTATGTTGGAAATGAGGAGACCAATGAGAAGTGAATGAATTGTGATGGAGTCTGCCCTTCAGCTGTAAATACGAGAACAGCGGTAAAGGTCTGGAAAAATATTGAAGCCATGGATTTTGCACTGTGTCTGTCTGTGAATACAAATGTATATAGACACACGGTCACTATTGACTGAACACTTCTCCCGGGACCGCTTCTTTCTTCATCCGCCAAGCCGCCGTATGGGAGCTTATATCAAGCTCTGTGCTCTAGTCGGGGCAGGTCGTAGGATGTTCCAAAGATTCAAAGCTATTAAGTCTTGTTTATGTAGCATCTGTAGTTAAACTCGATCGAGTCCCTCGCGGCGAGGCGGAGCGGCCTGGAGCGGCATGACGCCTTGCCGTAGCCAGAGGGACTCCAATGTTATTTCCACCTCAAGAAGCAAGTTGATGAAGGCGAAAATAAGAATAGAGATAGCAAATTACACTCATCAGAAATTTCTTCTCTATAACAATTTAATTTTTCTTCATGTCGCCATCTTCTTGGGTTTCGCAAAGTAGGCAGCTTATATTTGTGGTCTCTCTCAAATCCTTGCTAATTGCAGCGTTGTAAAACTTTATGCTATAGTACTTAAACAAAAAAATACTTGCTAAAGTGTAATACGAAGGAGGGAGATTCGGAGACAGAGTTCCTGTCACAAGGTATATAAAAATGTCGGATCACGATCCCCAATGGGAGACTTGGTCGTTCCCTCATCTCGTTGTTTCCAATACTCCCATGCTATATGATCTCTTTTTCCAGCCTTTCGAGCAATATTTTCTTTCCAGCAATAAAGTACATTGGCTGCCGTACATAGCCAAGCTGCGCAAACGAATGTCAGTGCGATTTTATGACCTTTCACAAATCGCGGTCCTTGATGGGCAGCGTTTGTGTAAACAAAAGGAGCTATAAATCCTGCTACATTTCCAATCTGGGCGAAAAAGATCAGGTTTCAGAAACTTTGATTTTTTTGTGAAGATTTGGGGCATACCATGATTTGAACTGCAATGGTAGTAGCTCTCTTAGTAACTCCAGAAGAGTTGTTGGGGAGGATAGTGAGAAAGCAAGCTAAAGATGGAAATATCCCTGTCGTCATAAGGAACACACTCGCGTATCGAACCCTTGGACTTCTTGACAGGCATGCCAGGATGTCTGGTAAAAAGGGACAAAGTAAGAATGTATCTATTCAGCATGTGAATCCAAGAAATGTCGTATGTATGAAAGCTTTCAGATTTCATAAACCTGGTGCTCACATCCTGCAACACTGATTGGGAGTAAAACCAACACAAGTGGCCCGCGAATTCGAGCTTTATCTGAGACCCGAGCCACTACTATGACCATCCCTGCAGCGGGTAGGTACGGATAGGAAGAGAATAGTTGCGCCTGGGCCCCAGCATACCCCATTCCTCTCACTACTAGATGATTGTGGAGTTGTGTAAGAGGCCACCTGGAAGTAGGTCGTAGCATAAGGTTCCAAACTCACGAGTTGGGCTATCAAGATAGAAGGAAAGGACAGATGACAGTCAGTACCTGTGTGTACCGCTTGGCATTTATGGAAATAGGCATGAGAAGAGTTTGCTTGTTGAAGATCTCGATAACAGTCATTACTTACAGAAAGAAACTAAAAGTATACAACTCGACCAAGAGTGCCATTACAGCAAGTCCAGTCATCCAAGCTTGTGGATCCCGAAGCCCGCGGCGCACTTCAGCCCATTCGAAATGCTCCACTTCAGGACTGTCGGAGTGATCGGAAGGACGCTGATTACGCTCTGCTGTCTTGTCATCTTCCCGGATAGAGCCCTTTTTTGAACCGCGTGATACAGAATGGCTTCGGTCTTGATACATATCACAATGTATCTTAAGCCGGTTAGCTGGCGCATGACGGATAGTGATTTTTAGGCATCAGTTGACGGCACACATGGCGAAGAACCATAACAAAGAGTCTGACCTGCAAAATCCTTCTCATATATATCTAAAAACCTGGCAGATGCGATACTTGGACAAAGTATGAACCAGCCGATGATCGAAAACACAATCGTCAAGAGCCCCTCTTCGATAGAGATTCATGAAGCAATATTGTGTAAGTTACCATGTGGTACGAAAGGAAGAGAAATATGAGAATGCACCTAATATAAAGACCCAACTATGGAAACACGCAAATATATCAGCCTGTCGAGCATGGAGATCAAGCACGAAGTGATTTATCTTCAAGACTTACGCCCACCCAGGCTGATGCCTAATTCCGTTCATTCGCTGGATTCCATAAGCCAGAAGCCCACTAAAAGCTCCTCCCAAGGCTACGCATGATATGAGGATACCGATTCTGAGTTGCAACTCATTTTTCCTATAAAGTGTGGAAAGGTATAATACCTAAAATCGATGGAACAATACGAATTGTTGGCAGTAGTCCCACAATGATATTTTTCTTGCACGCTCACCATTCCTGGTAGCATTCCGCCCTCAAAAAGGCCTGTTGGATTAACGAGATGAACTTGGGCTAGACTGTGAGAGATTGACAACACGAAAACTTGCCTAATAACAAGCGAGTTACGATGAAAGTTGCATAGTTGGTCATGAACGCCGAACACAGTGTCACAATTCCTTTTGTGATGCGAAAGAGTTCACCGAGCTAGTTAGCGAGTTGATGTATCGATGTGGCACCACAGGAGGGGCGAGACCGTTCAAAGAAAATGACAAGATCACCAACCCCAGCCACAAACCAAAAACGTTAACCAATTCTGTGAAAGAAGCCCATCAGCCTACTGTGTCAGTATTCACTGTTGGTAAATATCAAGGCACGAACCTTGATTCCAAAGCGTCCAATCAGAAGATTGGAAGGTATCTCGGATGTGACGTAAGTCAGAAAACTTTTGAAACCCCTCAAAATATAAGTGTTGAATTCCTTCAAAGTATCTTGATGCCTTGCCTCAAGATCGACTCACAAAACAGCTAGTCCAATGTTGAACTGTATACCTTTGAGACCGAGATCTTTTTCTAGACCTGCGATCTGCAAATCCAATCATTGACTCCTTGGTCAGCTCCACAGTATTCATTATAAAGTAGGCCTTGTGAGTTTTCGAAAGATCAGAAGGATATTTTTTCGAAGGAAATAGATAGGGTTGCGGGACTGATACCTTGGCGTTTCCAATATTTGTCCTGTCGACTTACAATGCCGAACCGGAATGCATGGTACAACAGTGAGGAGTGGTCATGTCAGCAATCAACACATTTTTCAAACAAAAATCGTATCAAAAGTCAACCGGACTCACTGAAACAGCTTAGCCAGAGTAATGATAGGATCGGCATAGTGTGGATATCGATTTTTCGTACGATCTTTCGATTCATCTTTGCATACTCTGGGTGGCGCTAAACATGAAAGGCCGAGACCAAAGGCGAAAATGAGTTTGAGGTTAGCCAGATCATCTTCATCAGCACGAGTGATTCATCAGAACAAATTATGCGACAAACTGGATCGTAAATGGGGATGTCAGATGGCAACTCCATCTGACTGTATATATATATATGATAAATATCTAGATGCCGCGTATGTGACTACGAATTGAATATTGCGTCAAAGCAAAAGTAAAGGTGCGCAAATCAATTTAATGAGCCTAAAAATTAGCGTTATCTGATGGCAGTGACCTGATGACTTTATGCGAAAGGATTTCTAGTTGAATGAGACAAGGGTGGGGCTTACATAGAATGATTGATCCGAAACGAGACTTACATTTGTCTCGGAATTTATGATACAACAAGAAGCATAGGGCATTCCGTCAACAGAACAGAACAGAATAGATTGTTGAAGGAAATATGGAGAAATTCACTCAGATTCAGACGAGCTTGGTTTCTTTTTAAGATTATTCAGGATCACTGTAAGACAAGCTCTGAGAATTTGGAAATCGATACTTTACGCTGGATGTGCTGTCATATATATACGCCTTCAGTCTCTGAGACGATACGATACACAACGGGCGATTGGAGCACCGAATCTGAGGGGATTTGAGCTTTTTGGTAAACTCAACCAAGTCCCTCGCTGCTACTGTCGAGCTTTTTGAGGACATGCCTCGAGTTGCACAAGATAAATAAGATAAGGTTATCGATAGAAGCTAGAATACAAACTGAATGTACCCTGAAGGAGAGTTTGAGCTATATATAGCACACCCAGGTTTGGTGGCGACGATGTCCAAAATTAGTGCAGAATCTGCCTGGAGAGTTCTTCATTTCCTCTTCTCCCCTTGCTGATCTACTGATTATTCACCACATATCAGTCTTAGCCCTTTGAATAGGTGCTGCAAAATCTCTCATCCTCTCGGGATAATGTCAGTTGGCCCTAAACTTGCAAGGGTGTGGGGCTAGAATCAAGCCTGGAACTTGAAGGCCAGACCCGCAACACGGATACACCAGCACGCTTCTAATTAAGTAACAACAATGATTCCAAAAACGCTTGTAAAAAGGGAAATCAGGCCGATAATTGCACAGAAGTTGAGCATTTGAACCATTGAGATTTTCTTATCTAGCTCAGTGTATGAAAGACACATGGGAGACCATTCACCTGAGGATTTATCTGAAGAAGAGTAAAGCACAAAGAATAGCTCAATTTTGGCTATTTGATTTGCTTGGTTCACTCTTTATTAATTTTTCTTTTTTGAAAAGAAGCTTTTAGTAATTCTCCATGGACTAAACAACATAGGACACACTGACACAACCAGCATTACAATTGAGTTATCTCAAAGAAAACCAACTTGTTATAAATGCAGGGCCTTGCCCACATTATTGAACAAGTAGACCTGCCTTTTATTGCCAATTTTGAGGTGAAATATGAAATTTGGTACCACATACTTTACATCCTTCAATCTATCTTGATGAGAGGGTCAAAACTTGCAATAAAGACTACCTGCCTAAAATTGCAACATTTTCCATGATTTCTGATTCTAGATTTGTTTTTCGGTGTCATGAAAAACCACATGTGACCCATACAATCTACTGATATGTGTTTTATTCTTCAATAATATTTTTACAAGTAGTCCTGAGTCCACTTGCAAGTTGCAACGGAGTATCTGTTTGTTGAGGGTGCATTGAGGAAGATTTTGAAACTGTTAAGTAAAACATTGTTTTAATGCAGTTTCTTTAACCTAACCAAATGTAGTCTGGATGGGAGAAATGTTGTTTTTTGAAGTGTTGTTGTGGCTGATCGATCGAATCAGTGGTATGACTATACCACAGTTTGGCTTTCCCACTTCCACCTGGCTTACTCAACTTTATCATACGACATACCTGCTCAGCATTGAGCAATAGTGGTCAACAGCTTCATTTCTACATTTCCTTCAACTCATCAACAAAACAAACCATCAAATCAACTATCAGTCGAACTCGGTCACCGTCCTCTCATTGGCTCGTCGCCTGGATTTAAACAAGACATTAAATTTAATTCAAATTGTTCAGCCAAGATGCAGATGCTCACAAAGGTAAGCAACTTCACCCGTCTCAGCAGATGTCTCTATTGCCATACAATCCATTTATTCACAATCTTGTTTTTAGTTTGAGTCCAAGTCCAATAGGGTCAAGGGAATCGCTTTCCATCCCAAGCTTACCCTTCTAGCAGCATCACTTCATTCAGGAAGTATACAAATGTGGAACTTTCAGATGGGAACATTAGTCGAACGATTTGACGAACACGATGGTTTGTTTCGTTAACTCACATTGGCATCAAGTAACTGTTCGATCATTTATTTATCTTGTGTCTTTCAGGTCCGGTTCGTGGGATTGCCTTTCATCCAAGTCAACCACTCTTCGTGTCAGGTGGCGATGACTACAAAATCAAGGTCAATTCATGGTTTCTAGCATTCTCAAATTCTTTTGATATTCCATCGATGCTTGAATATTGATTTCATTTGGTAGTACAGGTCTGGAATTACAAACAACGACGGTGTTTGTTTACCTTGCATGGTCATCTCGATTACGTTCGATCAGTCTCATTTCATCGTGAACATCCATGGATCCTTTCTGCCTCTGATGACCAGACAATTCGGATATGGAATTGGCAATCTCGTCAATGTATTGCTATCTTGACCGGTCATAAGTAAGTAGTATCTCACTCATAGACTTGCGACTTCATTGGTTATTGACTTCGTGTTCATCGATTTGTAGTCATTACATTATGTATGCCGAGTTTCATCCCAAGGACGACTACATCGTATCTTGTTCGATGGACCAAACGTAAGTGTGTTATTCTATCTGTCGAAACCGATCATACTCACTCATCCTTTTCCTTAGTGTCCGTGTATGGGACATCACCGGTCTTCGAAAGAAAACTACGACGGCTCAGCCTATGTCATTCGAAGACCAGGTCCAACGTGCAAATTCAGGCCAAGCAGACTTGTTTGGTAATACGGACGCGGTGGTCAAATACGTCCTCGAAGGGCACGATCGTGGTGTGAATTGGGCCACTTTCCATCCTACTTTACCTTTGATCGTCTCATGTGGTGATGATCGACAAATCAAGCTTTGGAGGATGAGTGAGACCAAGGCTTGGGAAGTAGACACTTGCCGAGGGCATTTCAACAATATGTAGGCAATTTCATCGGTCTTTGCTCGATTCTAGATCACTGTTTGACACTTATGGTGGCTGTTTCTTTTCTATAGCTCTGCCGTCTTATTTCATCCTAAACACGAACTCATCATCTCTGACTCTGAAGATAAGACGATAAGGGTTTGGGATATGAGCAAAAGAACAGCAGTTCAGACTTTCAGACGTGAAAATGATCGATTTTGGGTGCTTACTGCACATCCCGAGTTGAATCTCTTTGCTGCTGGTCACGATACTGGATTGATTGTTTTCAAGTTGGATCGCGAACGTCCAGCGTTTAGTTTACATGGCAATACACTTTTCTACATCAGGGATAAGTATGTAAGGGTTCATGACCTCGCTACTGGGTCTGACGTGAGCGTGATCAGTGTGAAGAAGCTTGGGAGTCAGTACGTTCAACCTCGGACACTGAGCTACAATCCTGCTGAACGAGCTGTGCTAGTCACTTCGGTACGCTTTCTTACTCTATTTGATTTGTAGATAATGGTCACGTATCTAACATGCTGAATCATGATTTGACGATATTTATATTAGCCTGCTGAGAACGGTATATACGAGTTGGTGCACTTACCTAAGGATATGGCTGCAGGAGAAGTCCGAGACTCATCATCTGAAGGCAAGCGTGGAACCGGACACGCCGCACTCTTTGTAGCCAGGAACAGATTTGCGGTCCTGGATAAAACTTCACAAACGATTGAGATCAGAGATCTCTCAAACTCAGTTACAAAGACGATCAAATGTCCAACTCAGACAAATGATATCTTTTATGGTGGTACTGCAAGCTTATTGCTCAGCACTGCTACATCTGTCATTCTTTTTGACATTCAACAACAAAAGACGATTGGAGAAATTACGACTCCACCTGTGAAATACGTAGTCTGGAGTAACGATGGAGCTATGGTGGCCTTACTTAGTAAACATAGTCAGTCTTGCAATTTATTATACTTCAGATATCGTGAGCTGATACGATCAGATATACTGTAGCCATCATGATCGCCAATAAGTCACTGGGTCAAAGTAGCCTAATCCACGAGACGATCAGGATCAAGTCTGGGGCTTGGGATGACAGTGGTATCTTTGTCTACTCAACGCTCAACCACATTAAATATGCTTTACCGCAAGGGTAGGTGAACTTTCACGACTCATTGGCATAAATAGGATGTATGTTCCAACTGACCATGCTCGATCTTACAGAGACAATGGGATCATCAAAACTCTTGATCAACCTGTCTATTTGACTCGAGTGAAAGGCAAGATGGTACACTGTCTTGATCGAAATGCTAAGCCCAAAGGCATCCCAATCGATCCTACTGAATACCGATTCAAATTGGCATTGATCCGTAACAACTATGATGAGGTCTTGCACATCATTCGAACTTCTAACTTGGTTGGACAGAGCATTATTGCTTACCTTCAGAAAAAAGGCTTCCCAGAGGTACGATAACCGAGCTGCTTCTTATATTTGATGAGTTGGGGCTGATAGAAACTTGATGTGATGTGATCTATAGATTGCTTTACACTTTGTGCAAGACAAAACCACGAGATTTGATTTGGCAATCGAGTGTGGAAACTTGGATGTTGCTTTAGAGACAGCTAAAGCCATCGATCGACCAGAGTCATGGACTCGATTAGGTCAACAAGCCTTAAAACAGGGAAATCAAAAAGTTTGTCATCTTCTCAGGTCATCTTTGTGAGATTCCCTCGAACTTAACTTTTCTGATAACAACAGATTGTGGAGATCTCGTATCAACGTACCAAAAATTTCGATCGATTATCATTCCTTTATTTGATTACCGGTAATGAAGAAAAATTGGCAAAGATGTCAAAAATTGCAGAAATGAGGGGTGATCAAATGTCTAGATTTCATAATTCACTTTATTCTGGAAATGTGGCCACAAGAATCAGTGTATTGAAAGATGTTGGATTATGTGAGCTTCATTTTGTTTTGATGAGATGCCAAGGTTGCTGATGATTCTGTTTATGGCCTAAAGACCCCCTAGCGTATTTAACTGCCAAATCCAATGGAATGGAAGAAGAGGCCCAAGAAATTTTGGAAGCGACTGGCATGAATGAAGCCGAGTTATCAGCCCTACCACAGCCAAAGGGTGACAAGCTCACTCTGCCACGTGTTGTGACGGCCACTTATGATTATAACTGGCCTTCAGTCGGTACCACTGAAAGTTTCTTCGATCGAGCTTTGACCCAAGCCTCGGGTATGGATGCCGATGCTCGTCCGGTGGAAGGAGCAGATGCCACTGGTCATGGTTCAGCGGATCCATTAGATGATTGGGCGGCGGATATGGATGGGGGTGCTGGAGTGGCAGCGGCCGAAGAGGTAGAAGAGGCATGGGATTTGGCTGGGGAAGACTTACCGGCCGAAGTAGCGGATCTCAACTTGGGTTCTGGAGACGATGTTGAAGGGACTGAAGGGGAAGATGGGGCCGATGGTGAGGTGAAGGCTGGAATTAGCGAGTCTGAGCTATGGGTGAGGAATTCGCCGCTGGCGGCTGACCATGTGGCTGCAGGTTCCTTTGAGACGGCAATGCAGGTGAGTGATCCAATCGGTTACCTGTTAAAGGATTATGAAGATCTTTCCATTGATAGTCTCTTTTGGTAGCTTTTGAACCGACAAGTAGGAGCGGTAGAGTTTGGACCTTTGAAGTCGCTTTTTATGTCCACATATCAATCATCGAGGGCATACTTGTCAGCAAGTGCCTCATTGCCACCGCTTGAAGTATATCTCAGACGAGATCCAGAGGATGTGAATCCACGTAACGTGTTACCAGCGTTGGCTAGGAACTTGGAGTCGATCACCCGACACGAACTAAAGGCGGCATATGCACATTTCCGTAAGGCTGAATTCAATGAAGCTTCAAGTCAATTCAGGAGCATTTTGCAGTCTTTGTTGTTGGTTGTGGCTAAGGATGAATCAGAAATCAATGAGGTATGTGTTTTGAAAGGATTGACATCTAGATGCAGATAGATTGACTGTGTATCTTTTTTTCCTCTTGCCCCTTATTCAATTTTGAAAACAGCTTTCAGAATTAGTCATCACTTGTCGAGAATATCTCATTGGACTTTCACTTGAAATTGAACGTCGAAGAGTAGCTGCTGAAGAACCAACGAATATGAAACGTCAATTAGAATTAGCAGCTTACTTTACACATTGTCGTTTACAATCTGTACATCTTGTTTTAGCGTTACGATTAGCTATGACCACTTTTTCCAAAGCTAAGAGTTATGTTACTGCTGCTACATTTGCTAAGAGGTTATTAGAATTAAATCCGGCTGCTAATGTGGCTACTCAAGTGAGTGATCATTTTTTTAAGTTTTTGGTAATCAAGGCACCTGCATTCTTTCGCGTGAAGCTGATAATTCTTTTCTCTGGATTGATGAAAACAACAGGCTAAACAAGTTTTAGCAGCAGGAGATCGAAATCCAAAAGATGCGATTGAGATAGATTATGATCAATTCTCAAGTTTTGATATTTGTGCAGGATCATTAACACCGATTTATAAACAACAAACAGGAGAAGGAGGGTTTGTAGAAGATCCATTTACAGGAGCCAGATATCGAAGTGAATTCAAAGGAACAGTTTGTAAAGTTTCTGGAATTACTGAAGTTGGGAAAAAGACTAGTGGATTAAGATCCAAGATTTGATGGATATGAAATTAGTATAATGTGTTTATGAATAAAATTCTTCAAGACCCAGATTATATAGATGGTTCAAGAGAGAGAGAGGATGTGAGGAGAGTAGGACATTTTGGAATAGAGAATGGTAGGTGAATATAGTGTAATGATCAGTACAGATGTGTAGACTGGAGCAATTTGATTTGAAATCGTTTGAAAAACACTAAAGCTGAGAGTCAGATAACGAGGTTCAAGTTTATCAAATTTCTTGTTACCTGACATTCATTGCCAATGAGATAAAGATTTTAAATGCATTCTATCTAGAGATCAAGACAGATTTTTAGGGATGGAGGAAATTTGTGTGAATTTGATCAAAGCTTTCATAGTGCTACTTGTTCAGTGTATGATGAAGTCATTTATTAAGTTGAGAAATTCATCAGTTTCAATGTATTTAGATTGTTATCTTCCACAAGTCTTTGAAAGTTTTGTTTGCATGCTTCTTTTTTAGTTTTGAAATCTACTTTTTGTTTGGATTCATTTAATGACAAAAAAGAAGGAAAAATCTCAGAGAACTTCGTATATGATGATGAGTATAACAATCCATTATTTCCATGATAAGATTTCATTTGTAGAGTTCTCTCGTCCTAGGTGTGACTTGACACTCGTGATTGTTACCATATGCTCAAATGAATAGGGTACTAGTAGCACTAGCAGCACCAACCCTGGGTTGGCATTGGCATGTCCACCAAGAAGAACAGAAAACAAAAACTCATCTCCAACAAGGTGGGCAAACTGTGCAGTTCAGCTTGATCAAGTCCCTGCAGGTGGTAACCCCCATGCATACATATTACTCTGAATGTTGGGCTTGTGTTAAATAAACCAAGTGCCACTCAGTCAAGTTGTGAAAAGTCTGATGCATGAGCAAGAGATGAAACTATTCTTTGTGGAAGTTTTGCTCTACTAACTTCCACAACCTCTCACCCCACAAATCCCCCCAAATAAGCACCAAAGACAGTTGCACTATCTGAGAATAGCACACAAGTATGCTTATATACTGTCACATGCAACTCAGAACGGGTATTACACTGTGGACAGTGTGTGATTTGGTGGCAGAGACCTTTTTCACGTGAATCTCACGTGCCAGGTGCCCCGTGGTGTAATGGTTCACTTTGTAAGGTGAGAACTGAGAAAAACAAGTCTCATATTGTATTACAATAAAACATAAACATGAGACTCATGAGTGATAGAGATTGAAAGAGAAAAAGATTTGTTAGTTGTTGTAGAAGATAGAATCATGCTCTTGAAAGATTTTTCTCAAGGCTGAATCATTCTCAAAAGAGGGCAAATCTTTGTCTTCATGTTTGAAAATGTCACCATTTAACTTTTGATATTCAATGAAATTCCACTTGTTCAAAATGCCACATTGAAGATGAAAAAGAATGTTCTTTTTGGTTTTAGTTTGTCTAGGAGAAGTATGAATAAAATTGAAAAGTCTAAAATATTCATTCTGAACATGTCCAGATGATGGTTTTCTCTTCAATAGAGATAATGGTGCCAAAGTAAATTCATGATTTTGAAGAATAGAAGCTAATGATTCAAAACTGTGAATTTGTAAATCTTGAGTCCTATTTTGAATCTTGAAAAGCTCTGCAACTGCACTTTGTCGTATCCAAATCCCATGAAAAAGGCTTATCATGTTCCTTATAGCTTCTTTCTTCAGTAGATGGTGATCTTGTTGAGTTAAAATACTACATAAATTTGTCACAAATCCTTCACCTTCCCTTTCAAGAGCTTCAATCCAATCTTGACGCAGGTCTCCAAGTACCTTGATGGTGGTTGCATATCCACTTACTTGGTTTGGTTGCATTGAGTGACAAAGGTCATTGAAGTCCCACATCCTTTCTGGTATGATTAAGTCAATTTTCAAAGTCGGTTTGAGTAGATGCATCTCTGTGTGAGAGGTGCATACAATTAGAAAATAATTGAACAACATCTCAAATATTGTCATAAAGAGCCTCACCCTTGTAAATGTTAGCATCTCTGATATGTTTTCCCAGATCATCATGTGAACTGTGTGGACTCAAAATTCCAGCTGGTCCATTTGGGAATGCTTATCAGGGATTGTTTGCAGAGAGACTGTTTGGTAGTTATTCCTCCTATGCAAAAGTACAGGCTTACTGATTGCATGAGGACCATCATTTGTGGTGGAACCATGGAATGCCACTTCTGAATAGTGCCTCTTGTTTCCTGGTCTGTTTCTCATATCATAAACTGCAGAAAAGCCACAACAGGTTTGTGAGAGGTCTATTCTGACAATTTGTTCATTTGGTCCTTGGTGGGGTCCATCAATGAAGTAGGATTTATGATACTTTACCAGCACTATTGCAATCATGATGAGTCTCTCTAGTATTATCACCCAGGCTGAAGATGGATGGATCAGTTTCTTCCATGGAGACAGATTCAATGTTTTAGGTTTTTTGAAGAAATTGGTAAAAGCCAACAGAGTCAATAAATAATGGAATCATTTTTCATAATATATGTAAGAATCTCAATGCAAAAGATGTACTTGACAATTGTTGTTGAGGTATTCCCAGGCTAAGGACCACATCCTCATTGGCACCTATCAATGTCTTGCCTTGTTGATCATTTAGGTTTTTAGTTGATGTGTGCATTCCAGGAAAGTTGTTGACAATATTGTTTGTTTCTAAGTTGAAGAATTTGATAAATACATGAATTCAAAAAAAGTGGTGGAACAAAACTCAAAAACTTGCAAAATTGTACCACATACCTTGCAATAGGTTTTCTGTGTGAAGAGGGATTAATTGAAGTGTCTGAAGGTCTTTTCTTTTTTCTTCATTCAATTCAAACCAGTCATGTTGCCCATCTTGTCTTGTAAAAGACTCTCTATTCACAGGGTATTTCTTGCTAGAAGAGCCAGGAATGAGGGATAAGGAGGTGTCAATCTCTGGTATATTGTTTGGAGTAGCATATTCAGATGATGCAATCAAAGAATCTTCAAGTTCTTCAAAAGTGCACAAGATTCTTTGATGCAGAATGGCCAGTGAAACTAGTGTTGTTGTCAAGATTGAAAACATCATTGGAAATTATTCAAAATCTACAAGTGGGAACAGGAAGAATGTCTAGTTATTTTTCTAATTAACTGTAGTTCTGATTAGTGGAAGGATACATAATAAGAAACACCTCAGGTGTTTTGATTCAAAGAACCGTGAGATAAGCTTTACCTGGTTTGTGTTTCAAGTGGTTCAGACATAACTACAGAGACTGAAATTTACACATACTGTATAGTCTCTTTTTGAATCTGGCCATTGTTCCATTTCCCAACAAAGTTCTATGATAACATTGGCATCTGATGAGGTTTACCCACTGTTATCATTTTGCCTAGTGTGAGTTATAACCCTGTGTTTCCCAATTGTGGTGGGTTGTGGCTTTACACCAAGGTTTATACGTCTTCTGGGGATTCTATGGGCGCTGGTAGCTACATAGTCTTGAACAAGAGTATCATATACCATGCTGACACATCTACCCATGAGTTAGGCATTTGAAAAAACAGAACAATTACGCTCTGTAAGAATTGATTGGATGCACTATACATCACAAACATGCACAAACTTACTAGGATATTTAATATGAAAACAAGTCCATGTACTCACCTCCTGCCTTGGGGTAGGGAGAAAATCCAGGGCTAAAATTCTGTTTGGTGTGTGCTAATAGCTATATCTGGATTCTCCTCTGCTTCTTTTAAATATAAAATGACTCCCACAATCAACACATCCTGTCAATTATGTGGCACATAGGATGAAAATTAATGAGGAGTGATAGCTAGCAAAACAGTTTGCTTGAGAAATACGACTGGTCAGGAGTGAAGGATAAGCCAAGATATAATGAGTGAGGATGAAAATACAAGCATTGAGACCAATATTTTATGCATGCTGTATTGATTTCCAGAACATACATGCATCATAGTGAGTAACAAGGAGGTTATACATGACCACAGTTATCCAATAACCACTTTTTGATCATAGTCGTAGACTGGGAGGTTTGTATGTTCTTGTACACTACAACAAATTGTCTGTTGTTGTAAGGTATCTGTAAAGTTTTTAAATCAGAACACCTTTTTAGGTGTCCCAAATTCAAATTATGTTAGTTTTATGAAGATTGTCTTGGACAACTTGGCCAAATTTCTGAACAATACATAGAAAGAAGGAGACTTGGAGCCTCATATTGACTCAGACCAATTGATTACGCAAATATACAGCGCATTTGAAATTTGTTTGAATGTACATGTGTCACCACATTGAAAAGTTGATGTGTGCTTTGATATTTTAGAGGACCCTGGAATACACCCACGGAGGGTACTTACGAAAAAACCAACCTTTTGTTGATGTACAGCCCTTTGCATAATTGATGACTTTGAAGAAAAAAAACCTCAAATTTTCAAATAAAAAACCTTGAGTTTTGTCAAAAAGCTGCTGAGTTTTTCAAAAAGTCAGTGAGTTTTTTTTGGAAACCTGGCTCAGTAAGTCTAAAAGAGAAAGAGCTCACTCAGTTTTTGAAAAACTCAATGAGTTTTTGAAAAAAACTGGAAAAAACTCACAGGTTTTTTTGAAAACTCAAGTGTTTTCTCTTTTTCCAAAGTCATCAATTCTGCAAAGGGCTGTAGTTTCTCAATACTAAACTGCACTTTATCAAGACCTACAGGGGCGCAAAAGATGCACCAGAGTGACAGCTTTCAAATGCACTAGCTCACAGCATGGTAGCACCAATATTACCTAAGATATATCAATGTAACACCCAAAAACGGGCCAAAAATCAAGGGTTGGTTTTTGGCCTTGGAGGTTAAAAAAAAAATTGCGCCGTTGCAATTTACGCCGCCATGAGACATGATGCCGGGCTCTCTCTGGTATCATCTGATAGCCCCACTCCATGCGCATCTTTTGAAGTGCTCTGCAGCTTCATAGAGGTACTGAGGTGTAGTGTAGAGGCAAAAAATTGAAAATCATGCTCTGTCAGTACCCTCTGTGGGTGTATTCCAGAGTCCTTATTTTAGCTTGGATTGAGTGGGATGCATTACAAAAGTTCTTTCTGTGGCTACACTTAACTTAAGTATCCATTGGATCCACCTGAAGTTCAAAGATATCATACTATGAAACAGTGTGACTCCTCCTCATACAAGCCATCACATGGAGAAATTCAAGGGCTGTAACATGAACAGGCATTTTCATCAAGTCTCAAGGCACAATGCAGCTGAAAAACAACTGAAATATCACCATCTCTCATTCCTGGAAGTTCTGAACCACAAATTTATCAATCTGAAAAGCCACTAATACGACAGAAGAAGAGAAATAGAACCTGTAGATAAGCACAGGTAAGAAGGGAAAAGAGCTGAAACTCATATGAAAATCATGTAATAACACTGTTTAACACTGAAGATACTCCTCCACATTTTGACCCATAAACTATGATTCTTTCTTGAAAAGTCTCCAACAGAGAGCCAGCCTGTAACCTACTTTAAACAATCTGGAGAATGAGCCTTACATTATCACCACAGTCTCCAAAAATCATGATCACTTTCATTTAGGAGTATGTCTTGTAATTTTTTGTCATTTTCCTTTGAGAGGGATACTGTGTCTTGAGGTTGAATGTGGTTCCACATTTTCAATATGGCAGTTTGAATACTATAGAGTATTGATCTTTTCCCTTTGGTCTGTCTGAAAGGTTTGATATTATGAACAAAATCAAAAACTCTGTAGAACTCATTTTTATGTCTAACATTATTGATCTTTTGAAGTTTGTGTGATTGGAATTCCGGATGATAAATGATAGAAGCCAATGATTCAAAACTTAGTATTTGTAAGTCATGTGTCCTATGTTGTATGCCATAGATCTCAGCTACTTTACTCTGCCTCATCCATAATCCTACAAAAAGGACTACCATGTTTCTTATGGCAGGTGTGCCAGTGCTAGATGTAGGCTGTTGTTTGATAAGGCTTTGAAGATTGGAGACTAATTCAGGATAATTTGAGAGAGCTCGAATTGAATAACGATGGAGGCCACTGACTTCCTTGAGAAACCTATATGATTCTGGTAACTCTGGTTGCATCAGTTGAAAATGTTTGAAGTTCCATGTGATTCCTGGTATAATTAGTTTTCGAGTCCCAAAGGGGTTAGAAAGATTCATTCCTGTGTGGAAGGTGCCAACAATCAATGAATAGTTCAAAGGAATGACATATCTCAGCTCAAAGGACTTGCCATCAAAGTGTTCAACCTCACTGCCATGCAGTTTCACATCATTTGGTGGGCTGTGTGAAGTAGTCAAATTCACTGTAATTTGTGTGAAAAATCGTCATTAAAATGGACAAGATACATGATAACGATTGCTCTCTGGACATAGAGAATACTTGCCAATTTCAAATATCATCTGTGGTGGAACCTTGATCTGAAAAATCTGGGTGATTTGGTCCATTTCTTTGGAATATTGATGTATGTGGAGCCTCAAAGGTGTTGTAGTGTGCTTTGAAAAATTTGAATTACATCAATGATCAGCTTGAACCACATTCTATCACATTTGATTAACCAGGAATGAAGTGATATATTGATCACCTTTATTGTTGCCATCACAATGACTATCTATCCCTGTATATGAATCCCACTGGCTGATAACCATGGGATCATTTTCCACAGCGATAGCTTCAAGTTTAGGCTTTTTGAGTCCAGAGTTGTTTTTTTGAATGTGTACTTTATATCTATTTGCCTCTTTCTCAGACTCTAATTCTTGATTGAGCCCCAGCTTGAAGTGGATCTTATCTACTGGAAGATAGTTACTATGTCCATCATTTGGAGGAAGAGGTCTTTTGAAACCCTCTGGAGAGATAAGTTGACAGATTCAGCTATTATTGATCTCTCCACAGCAAACATAAAAATTCCAATGGGAGCTCTCACGTAATTCTTTGCTTTGTGGAGTTATCCCTAGACTGAGGACCAGATCTTCTTTAGCACCTATTGCAAACTGGTCTTCTTGATGATTGATGTGTTTACCTAATTTGATTGTTCCAGGAGAGTTGTGGATGTCTATATTATAATTTCCTGTAAAATATGTTTTTCAGAAGGAAAAATTGAATGTTGAATTTTGGAATGAAAAAAAGACTGAAGGATTGAAATGCACACCTCTCAGTGACTTCTCTGGATAAAGAGGGAAGAACTCAAAGCTATGTGGTTCTCTGCTGTCTCCCTCATATAGCTTAAGCCAACTGTTTTGTCCATTTTTTCTGCCAAGAAACCTTTTGGCCTCTGGGTATCTCTTTCCAGCAGATCCTGGGTATAGGGATAAGGTAGTGTCAACATCTTCCAGATATTTTTGAGGAATATATTGTGATGATGTGGTTGAAGCAGTTGCAAGCTCTTCAAATCTGCACCAGATTGGTTGAGGAAGAATAGCCTGTGAGACTAGTATCAATGTAAATAGTGGAAACATTAAGAATAATTGAACAATTACACTGCAAATATAATGTGTTTCTCCGCGGTGAAAAATGATTACATTTAATTCAAAAAATGATTAAAAGTGCATTAAATCTACATTAAATCTGCATTTTTCTGCATTAAATCTGCATTATTAATCATTTTGTGCATTAAGTGCAATCATTTTTCACTTCGGAGAAACACATTATATTTGCAGTGTTATGAGTGGAAAATGGAAGAGTGGTCACAATACTTTTTGAACTTTGAGTTGAAGCTTTTGAGATGCATATTGAGATACATAATCAGAGACATGTGTCCTGAATACATCTCAAACTTAGATACTCTGTGTTGCAGCATAGCAGCTTGACTCCCTTCAGACAAAACTTCAGAAATTGCAACTTCATGCATGTTCTGTAATGACTTCAGTCGCAAATCCATATGTGTTTTCAACCGTATACTAGATTTATCAGGACCCTGGAAAGATTCTATGAAACCAACCAACAAAAGATCACAAAAAATCAATTGTTTGATGTGTCAAAAAACAGACTCTCAAGGCTTTTGATACCAATGCTCTTGGTAACACACATCCACAAGTTTTGGTTTCACTTTTGCCAGTTTTGACCCCTTTTCCATAGTTAGCATGCTGGTTTTCCTGGTTCTTGCTCTGTGACATGCTATGTGATACAGAAGTGATGCTTGTATTGGTGTTTTTTGTGGGAAGTTTTTTTCTTCAAAGTTTGCCAATTGACATGTTTTCTGTTGGTAACATGCCCAAAATCATGACCTCCAATTAATATGTTTTTTTGGTTGGCTCCATAGGTGCTTTCTAGGGTCCGCTCTATGTATGGTGTAATTCAAAATACCAAGGCCTCTAAAACAGGAAGACTTCAATAACCATGTCCTGTGGTATAAGCCTCCCAATTCCAATGACATCTGGCCATATACCTGTTGTATATCTTTGGTTATTTTTTGCCTGTTTGAGTGATTTGTCTATACAATGAACAATTTCTGATACCACTGACATTCTGAAGAACCTTGTGCAGTAGTTCACTTGTTTTCCTTTTCATTAATCTTTTTCTAGAGATTCATATATTGTGTAGACTGATCAACCAATTTTTCAATCCATTTTAAACCCAATTATCACCCCACATGCATTGACTCAAACCAACCAACTCTAAACAAATCTACATCTTTGTTTAGAATTTTTCACTCAAGCTTTTTTTGAAAAATAATGTATTTCATTCTTTGAAAATAGGTACCAGAATTTCCCCTGAATTCCTTTACATCTAAAGAATCAAATGTGGTGCTAAAGGTAGACCCGGGTTCAAAGAACCCAGTGTACTTTTAGGCTGTGAGCTGTCAACAAATGGCAACTTGATACACAAAGTCACTGCCAAAAAAGCAACTGGTTCAACCGGTTTTTCTTGAAACCGGGTCAGCTTTGAGCACCGCCAAAGTTGAATCTATTTGATGATAGATAATAATTCTAAAACACATCAACTAATGGAAGGTTTCAAGAATGATCAAAAGCTCATAAGACTAATGCCCTGAATTCCAAAAAAGAACAAATGAACCTTCCAAATTTTCTTATCAGAATTTGCTGTACACTACATAGTCATGGATTCTAAAAAAGATAATTTTTTAGTTAAACATGGTAATCTTCAACCCTTTCCAAGTTCACTAATCCACACTCTTTGTGCATCTTCATGCAGCTCATTTTTATCTCTGGACTTTTTGTTTTGTTAACCCAAGCAAGACTTTTCAAGGTGCCCATTCAACAACCCACCATATTTGCTTGTTTGAGCCCTGAATAAATTCTTCCTTGGAGTCAAAGTGCATCAGATGTGTCTCTTGAAGTGCATGGAATTGTTCAATCACAGACAGTCTTCAGTAATAGACCCCCACCTCAATATCAATCTCCCCTTGTCAACCATATCAACCCATTGACATTGCAAAAGTCAAACCTGTTTGGCCACAGAACCCTAATTGTACCTAAAAAGTCAACCACAACCATCCCTTGAGGTTTCATCCTGGGTCCTACTTCTGATGTGATCCATCTTGATCAAGATGAAGCTGACATAAGATACATCTGTCTGCTTTTCAAGAATGTGTATACAAAATTATCACTCATCAATATCCTTTTGTTTCTCTTATCTTTTCACCCCTCTTTCTGCTGTTCTAGATTTACCTGTGGATATCATTGCCCATTGACTGGTTAATTCAGGTGACAATTGTCAATCAGTGACCCTTCTGGAATGTACCTTTCAGATCTTGTTCAATGTATACCAACACAAGGTTGGAAAAACTACTAAGAAGAATCACAGATGGGCTGTAAAGGAGACTCCAAAGGCAGCTAAGGCCCAATGGAAGAAATTCAGAACCTCTCCCCTCCACTGTGCTCTACCTGTTGGATCATTTAATTGGACTGCCTATGCCAACAGGTTGTTTGAGGTTTCCATTTTCCACATGCCTGGAATTCCTGAAGCTCTAGCTGCAGCTGGAAAAAGGACTAGACCTTTTGAGATAGATTATGACCAATTCTCAAGTTTTGATATTTGTGCAGGGTCATTAACACCAATTTATAAACAACAAACAGGAGAAGGAGGGTTTGTAGAAGATCCATTTACAGGAGCCAGATATCTAAGTGAATTCAAAGGAACAGTTTGTAAAGTTTCTGGAATTACTGAAGTTGGGAAAAAGACTAGTGGATTAAGATCAAAGATTTGATGGATATGAAATTAGTATAATGTGTTTATGAATAAAATTCTTCAAGACCCAGATTATATAGATGGTTCAAGAGAGAGAGAGGATGTGAGGAGAGTAGGACATTTTGGAATAGAGAATGGTAGGTGAATATAGTGTAATGGTCAGTAGAGATGTGTAGACTGGAGCAATTTGATTTGAAATCGTTTGAAAAACACTAAAGCTGAGAGTCAGATAACAAGGTTCAAGTTTATCACATTTCTTGTTACCTTTTGACATTCATTGCCAAAGAGATAATGAATTTAAATGCATTCTATCTAAAGATCAAGACAGATTTTTAGGGATGGAGGAAATTTGTGTGAATTTGATCAAAGCTGTCATAGTGCTACTTGTTCATTGTATGATGAAGTCATTTATTAAGTTGAGAAATTCATCAGTTTCAATGTATTTAGATTGTTATCTTCCACAAGTCTTTGAAAGTTTTGTTTGCATGCTTCTTTTTTAGTTTTGAAATCTACTTTTTGTTTGGATTCATTTAATGACAAAAAAGAAGCAAAAATCTCAGAGAATTTCTTTGTACATATTAAATGATGATGAGTATAACAATTCTTTCTTTTCATAAGATTTCATCTGTAGAGTTCTCTTGTCCTATGTGTGACTTGACACTTGTGATTTTTACCATATGGTCAAACAAATGGGGTACTAAGAGCACTAGCAGCACCAACCCTGGGTGGCATTGGCATGTCCACCAAGAAGAACAAAAAACAAAAACTCATCTCCAACAAGGTGGGCAAATTGTGCAGTTCAGCTTGATCAAGTCCTAGCGGGTGGTAACCCCCATGCATACATGTTCCTCTGAATGTTGGGCTTGTGTCAAATAAACCAAGTGTCACTCAATGAAGTTGTGAAAATGCATGAGCAAGAGATAACACTATTCTTTGTGGAAGTTTTGCTCTACTAACTTCCACAACCTCTCACCCCACAAATACCCCCAAATAAACACCAAAGACAGTTGACCTAATGTGTGCTTTGATATGTCAGCCTGAAATCAGTTGAATGCATTACAAAAGTTCTTTCTGTGGCTAAACTGAACTTAAGTAGCCATTGGATCCACCTGAAGTTCAAAGATATCATACTATGAAACAGAGCAGAGAATACTTTTGATTTCCTGTGTTAATTTGACCCCTCCTCATACAAGCCATCACATGGAGAAATTCAAGGGCTGTAACATGAACAGGCATTTTCATCAAGTCTCAAGGCACAATGCAGTTAAAAAACAACTGAACTATCACCATCTCTCATTCCTGGAAGTTCTGAACCACAAATTTATCAATCTGAAAAGCCACTAATACGACAGAAGAAGAGAAATAGAACCTGTAGATAAGCACAGGTAAGAAGGGAAAAGAGCTGAAACTCATATGAAAATCATGTAATAACACTGTTTAACACTGAAGATACTCCTCCACATTTTGACCCATAAACTATGATTCTTTCTTGAAAAGTCTCCAACAGAGAGCCAGCCTGTAACCTACTTTAAACAATCTGGAGAATGACTCTTACATTATCATCACAGTCCTCAAAAATCATAATCATTTTCATTTAGGAGGATGTCTTGTAATTTGTTGTCATTTTCCTTTGAGAGGGATACTTTGTCTTGAGGTTGAATGTGGTTCCACAATTTCAATACGGCGGTTTGAATACTATAGAATATTAATCTTTTCCCTTTGGTCTGTCTGGAAGGATTATGAACAAAAGCAAAAATTCTGTAGAACTCATTTCTATGTCTAGAAGTCTTTGTGTTTTGAAATTTGTGTGATTGGAATTCCGGATGATAAATGATAGAAGCCAATGATTCAAAACTTAGTATTTGTAATTCATATGTCCTATGTTGCATACCATAGATCTCAGCTACTCTACTCTGCCTCATCCATAATCCTACAAAAAGGACTACCAAGTTTCTTATGGCAGGTGTGCCAGTGCTAGATGTAGGCTGTTGTTTGATTAGGCTTTGAAGATTGGAGACTAATTCAGGATAATTTGAGAGAGCTCGAATTGAATAACAATGGAGGCCACTGACTTCCTTGAGGAACCTATATGATTCTGGTAACTCTGGTTGCATCAGTTGAAAATGTTTGAAGTTCCATGTGATTCCTGGTATAATTAGTTTTCGAGTCCCAAAGGGGTTAGAAAGATTCATTCCTGTGTGGAAGGTGCCAAAAATCAATGAACAGTTCAAAGGAGTGACATATCTCAGCTCAAAGGACTTACCATCAAAGTGTTCAACCTCACTACCATGCAATTCCACATCATTTGGTGGGCTGTGTGAAGTAGTCAAATTCACTGTAATTTGTGTGAAAAATTGTCATTAAAATGGACAAGATACATGATCACAATTGCTCTCTGGACATAGAGAATACTTGCCAATTTCATGAGGAATATCATCTGTGGTAGAACCTTGATCTGAAAACTCTGGGTGATTTGGTTCATTTCCTGGGAATATTGATGTATGTGGAGCCTCAAAGGTGTTGTAGTGTGCTTTGAAAAATTTGAATTACATCAATGGTCAGCTTGAACCACATTCTATCACATTTGATTAACCAAGAATGAAGTGATATATTGATCACCTTTACTGTTGCCATCACCATGACTATCTATCCCTGTATATGAATCCCACTGGCTGATAACCATGGGATCATTTTCCACAGAGACAGCTTCAAGTTTAGGCTTTTTGAGCTCAGATTTGTTTTGTTGAATGTGTACTTTATATCTATTTGCCTCTTTCTCAGACTCTAATTCTTGATTGGGCCCCAGCTTGAAGTGCATCTTATCTACTGGAAGATAGTTGCTATGTCCATCATTTGGAGGAAGAGGTCTTTTGAAACCCTCTGGAGAGATAAGTTGACAGATTCAGCTATTATTGATCTCTCCACAGCAAACATAAAAATTCCAATGGGAGCTCTCACGTGATTCTTTGCTTTGTGGAGTTATCCCTAGACTGAGGACCAGATCTTCTTTAGCACCTATTGCAAACTGGTCTTCTTGATGATTGATGTGTTTACCTAATTTGATTGTTCCAGGAGAGTTGTGGATGTCTATATTATAATTTCCTGTAAAATATGTTTTTCAGAAGGAAAAATTGAATGTTGAATTTTGGAATGAAAAAAAGACTGAAGGATTGAAATGCACACCTCTCAGTGACTTCTCTGGATAAAGAGGGAAGAACTCAAAGCTATGTGGTTCTCTGCTGTCTCCCTCATATAGCTTAAGCCAACTGTTTTGTCCATTTTTTCTGCCAAGAAATCTTCTGGCCTCTGGGTATCTCTTGCCAGCAGATCCTGGGTAAAGGGATAAGGTAGTTTCAACATCTTCCAGATCTTTTTGAGGAATATATTGTGATGATGCTGTTGAAGCAGTTGCAAGCTCTTCAAATCTGCACCAGATTGGTTGAGGAAGAATAGACTGTGAGACTAGTATCAATGTAAATAGTGGAAACATTAAGAATAATTGAATAATTTTGAGTGGAAAATGGAAGAATGGTCACAACACTTTTTGAACTTTGAGTTGAGGCTTTTGAGATGCATTTTAAGATACATACTCACAGACATGTGTCCTGAATACATCTCAAACTTAGATACTCTGTGTTACAGCATAGCAGATTGACTCCCTTCAGACAAAACTTCAGAAATTGCAACTTCATGCATGTTCTGTAATGACTTCAGTCGCAAATCCATATGTGTTTTCAACCGTATACTAGATTTATCAGGACCCTGAAAAGATTCGATGAAACCAACCAACAAAAGACCACAAAAAATCAATTGTTTGATGTGTCAAAAAACAGACTCTCAAGGCTTTTGATACCAATGCTCTTGGTAACACACATCCACAAGTTTTGGATTCACTTTTGCCAGTTTTGACCCCTTTTCCATAGTTAGCATGCTGGTTTTCCTGGTTCTTGCTCTGTGACATGCTATGTGATACAGAAGTGATGCTTGTATTGGTGTTTTTTGTGGGAAGTTTTTTTCTTCAAAGTTTGCCAATTGACATGTTGTCTGTTGGTAACATAAAACTACTAAGAAGGATCACAGATGGGCTGTAAAGGAGAGTCCAAAGGCAGCCAAGGCCCAATGGAAGAAATTCAAAACCTCTCTCCTTCACTGTGCTCTACCTGTTGGATCATTTAATTGGACTGTCTACGCCAACAGGTTGTTTGAGGTTTCCACTTTCCACATACCTGTAATTCCTGAAGCTCTAGCTGCAGCTGGAAAAAGGACTACTGGCTATTCAAGGGTTCATCAATGCCACAGATTGCAATAACAAGGTTCACCACCACTTTATTACTGATGATGTGAGTTTTGGTGGGTTTGTTTCTGCTTTACTGGATGCCCTATCCAAGGCAGTTTTGGGCTTCAGTATCACACATACAAACCCCAAAACCAGAAAGGATGTCAATTGGTCATTGGTGTCGAATTTCAAGCCCAATGAGTCATCTGACCTTTTTCTGATATGGACGTTTCTTAGTCCAGGGGGGTAAGATATCTCCTTTTGTATCTTATTTGGTCCAATTACCTCACCACTGCTTGTAGAAGATAGTACAAATTCTCAATGAAGAGTTTTGAAGACAAATTCAAGGCTGGCAAGGAGTTGGTGACAACTGTAAATCCCAAGAACCCTTTGCAAGTTTTAATTTACAACCCAGCTTACATCCAAGTTCGTGCAGATGACTGGGTCAGTTTTTGTTCTTTATTCTTTGTCTTTTCACCTTGCCAAACTTCCACCTCACAAACCCATTTCCTCTTGTAAGCTGGTGGGATTGCCAGTACTGACAAGGTCAGTCCACCAGTGGATCTTGGTTCCTCAGTTCAAATCATAGAAAGCCAAGATCCTAGGATTAGCATTCCCTTGAACCATGGCTGCTAATCTCAACTCTTTGAATCCTGCGGCCAATGTCATTCATCATAGCTACTAGGGCGAAGTTCCTAGTCCTGGAATTCCACATGTTGCCCTCTTTGCCACTCCTAACATGATGTCTGACTGGCTTATGCCCAGGTCTCAACCCTCACCCAGTGAAGCTAGCTTTCAATGAGCACCTCCCCACCCAGAAAACAACCTTCCTTTGAGCACTTTTTGGTGTCTGCTGGGATTCACACAGGTATGAGGAAGTCACACAAAGATTTAGAGAACAAATGCATGTATTACTTTGTTTGTGCACTTGACCCCAACACTTACTTGATATCCAAGTTGCACTCTTTTGATATACCTTTTGCTTGTGCAGATGGCATTTGGAAAGCTGTTTCCAAGTTCCTTCAACAATTAAAAATAAAGAATAACCATTGTTTGTAATTCTTTTGCCAACCACCCCAAAAAATGTGACAATCCACCTTGTATCTTAATTTTTCATGTCTTATCATTCCCAACGCTGCCACAAATACGATACTGGTATCGTATCGACGATACTCAGTAAAGTAACGGGTCTACAATACTAGAGAAACTGAGCCTCAGTAACGTAGTTGTACCCACAATACGATACTCAGTAAAGTATTGCAATGGCAATACTGTGCCGCCCAATACCTAGTACCGTATCTTGTCACGATACCGATCAGATACTAATACTGTATCGTAGTATCGCACTCCCAGACACAAAATCAATAGAGATTTTGTACTCAATACTTCCTTGGGCCCATTCCAGTATCGTACTCGGGGGGCGATACGATACTAAGTAAAGTAACGCCATACACGATACTGCCAGGAGGATCGGGCAGTACCGTATTGTGGCTGCGATACTGATACTGACAATACGATACCCAAAAAAAAACTACGATACCGTTACGATACCGATACTGAATTGTGGCAGCGTTGTCATTCCTACTCTGAGCTTGTTGATCTTGATCATACATGTTTGTAGTCATCACTTTATTTGTTATTTATCTTAGTTTGTAGTCTTCAATTTATGCAAACTTTGTTTATTTGCTTGACATTTACTCATGCTTTGCGTATATTGGTGAGTATGAGAGATGTACTCATTTGTAAGGTGGAGAATCTCCAATTCTTCACCTTATCTCCTTATTTCCATGCAACCACCACTTGTTTGATCTGGTGAGTTTGATCAATTGCAGGTGTATGATCAATCTTCAATGTTTCAATACATTCAATGTCTCAATCCAATATCTTGACACATCCATATGAGGCCTTTGATTGCCCTTGGTTCATACAATAGTGTAACCACCCACTCCATGGAGCAAAACAGTTTCATAGTGGTTTTTTTGCTGCTCTCTACACTTCAATATATAGCAGAGCCTCCAATCTGCTCACTGGAGCCAGAAATTCCCAGAGTGGAGTAATTGCTGCACAATCTGGCCCAGTTGTGCACTCATCACTATATATCAGACCAAGAACCCTGTATCTAGGGGCAAGTGTACAGGCTGGTACATGTTGATAGTCACCCTCATCTTGATCTGATTTTCACCTCCCTTAGAAAACTAACACTGTGACCTGATCAGTGCAGTTGGACTTATTTGGAAACAATGGAACGTCCCTGGCAAGGTCTTTGAATTCTTGGCTTAAGATTTTCTTATGGTCAGTCCCAGGGGACAGTCCACAATCAGAATTGATTCAGCAATAATCAGAAGATAACACTCAACTTGCATTTGTTCTTTTTCTTACATTTCATTTCCAATGATCAACTCCAATAGTCCCCTCCAAAATCATTTTGGCCCAAAGTTCACTCCAGGTCCCTGGTCAACCCTCCACCAGCACCCAGCTCAGCTTGAACACAGCCATGTTTTGTTGTACCTTCTGAATCAGTCAATTACAAATGTCTTTGAGTTTGATGAAGTGTTTTCCTTGTGTGGTTTAATTTGGTTATTTTTCATATAATCTCATCATCTGTTCATGGCTTCAAGGTGTCTAAACAAATACATAAAACCAAATGAAACAAACAGAAGAAGAAGCCTGTCTGCTTTGTATGTAAAAGATTTTCTTGGATTTTTTGATCTTCAAATGAAGAGGTAAGATTAGTATTTTAATCAAACAACAAGGGACCTTTTGATTAGATGATCCAAAAAGTCAATGCTTAAAAAATATGATTACCATTCTCTCGATAAATCTCATCTGATTGGATGTCTTTCAAGTTTATTTCTTATGCCTTTCAACATATAATTTCCTCATTACGCTTGTGTAAGCTGTTCTAGTGAGGGTGAGGGATGAACCAAATGCAGGAAGACGTCCAGTAAATTCTTTTGGTACTGTGTTCTTGCTTGGCCCATCTGTTTTGTCTTCAGAGTATATGTTCCTGAATAGTACATTCATATAATGCAATGATCAATGAGGTCAGATTGGAAAAATAAAATCATTAAATAGAGTTGTTTCCTGTGTACCTAAGAAAGACATCATTTCAAATTCAAGTTGCAATCCACTTGTTTCATATAAAAATCAAGCCCTTTGGTTGGCAGCATGGTTTGGTTAGACAGTCTTTGATTTCTTTCAAGTGAGTGACAAGCCCAATTTCAGATCCTCAGCAATGCTCCAAATCACCACCCATTTCCCAGGCTGTTAACAGATAGCTGCACAAATGTTGTCCAGATACATTGCAAGGTTTTCAAGTGACATCATGAGATCTCAATGTTTGTGATTCAATCTGGTAATGCAGCCAAGCTTTGGATATTTGTCTGGATTGCAAATCACACAGGACGTTTGGCAGTACAAAGATTTCTGTTGTGTGATTGTGTATAAAATGACTTAGGATCACATCCAGTGTTGAAGCTTTAATTGAGTTATACCTACTTGTAGGTACTGGATGGCCAGTATACCTTGATGCTGGTATCAATTCATACTATGCAGGTCATGCTGGTCATGTTCTCATGATGGTCTGACTTGTAATTATACAATAACAGTCAGTCAAATATTTTTGAAGGAAGACAAGGAAAACTGACATAAGAATAGTCAAAGACTGTCAAATCCAGATAGTGGGGAATCAGTGGTCGAACAAAGTAGCCAGGGAGAGGGGATCACAGGGCTGGTGGAAGGGAAGATTGTGGAGGATACATAGCCCTAACTGCTGAGCTTTTTAGCATCTGAGGTGGTAAGCTCAATGACAGATATCCTCAGGTATTGGCTTTATTTCACAAATGTCTTGAAAAGCTGTGATAAATCAGGAACATTTGAAAAAGTATAGTGAGTCCAGGCATTTCAAAATCTGTTATGAACAAGATGTCAAGTCATTTTTGTGCACAGTCAATTTAGACAACACAAAGTCAATCAAACTGGAATTCTGTGCAAAACGTCAAGAAATAATCATTGAATCAAAGTTAAGATCCAAAACACAACGATCAAGGTTCTCAAAACGTTGCGAACCCTCTTCCACAACCATAAAATCTACTCGGTTCAAGAAAAACCAGTCATCTAACAACTAATCAATCAACATCATGTAAATATATTCTTCATTTCTCTCAGCTTGATTGTATGAGAGTATGTAAACAGTACAACACATCCCCCAAGACACACACAAACTTTCGCTCGCCAAAAAAAAACAGTCACACCTATTATTCTTCAATTAAGAGAAGACAAGAAAAAACAATATCGGCTTTCTAAAAGAATGAGATCAAGTAAAAGAAATCACATCGAAAAAAAAGGAATGAATGAAGTCTTTATAGAAGTTTATATTCTTCAACAAGATGAAATAAACCGGACATACACACACAAACAAACAAAAAAAATACGCATAAAAGTTACAGTTCTTTTTGTTTTCCTTCTGGAAACCAATACCAGTGATAGAGGCAGAGAGAGACAGAGGAAAGTGAAAGACCAATAGCACAACCGGAAAGGGGGATGTTTAGGAATGAACTGCTTATGGATAGATAATCGGGCACAAAGACGTTGGATAAAGGGATAAAAGAGAATCAAATAAAAGTAATCATATCACAGGAAGGTGGAAGGATGGAGCGAAGTGAACCAGTTCCATTTTGAGCTCGTAGTAATGAGTCGCAATAAGATAAGATATTGGAAAAAAGTAAGATCTGAGCACTGAAAAGTGATATATGTATATGTATAAAAGATTGATGGAAAAATGGATAGAGATAAATAAGTATTCATACACAAAAAACAACGAAAAACATTCGTCCGAAAATAGCATCGTTCGGATCAACTTATAGCAGTAATTTAAGTAAAGCATGAGGGTGTAAATTAATTAAGACGGCATTCTATTCTTCTTTATTGAACATATAGCCACATTATACAAAATTATTGCATCGGTCTTTTCGTGGCGAAAGTTGGAGTTGCGATGTGATTCCAAAAGAGCGAAAAATCAAGCGTAGGAGAATTTGGGAGGAGGCAACGCGGCTGGGCTGGGACTGTTATGGAATTGAGGGCCCGCATACATCGTGACATTCAAATTGTTAGCTGATGGTACATTCACTTTGAGGGGTCCGGTTTCAAAAGTCTAAGAAGAAAGGCAAGAAAGATTAGTACTGTGGAAAGATACTGGGTGAGCGAGAGAGCCAACTCACCTGAAGTTTCTTGAGGGCGATGCCGCTCTCGTCGTGACTAGGCTTCAAGCCCGACATCGAAGGAATGATAGGAAGCGGTGTAGAGGAGCGATGGGTGAGCTTCTTTCCGTTACTGCGGGACTCAGCGTGAAGAGTGGTTGAAACAGTAGGAGTGGGCACAGATCCCGCGCGCCCTTCTCTGTGGTCCTCAATTTCGAATTCCGGTTGTTGAACCAAGAAGGGTGGCGAAGCAGTGACCAAGATAGGCGATTCATTGGATGGTGACTTGATATTACTAGGGGTAGAGGACATACTGTTCCTCCTTTTAGGGATCTTGGTGTTACTCTTGGCAACAGAACCAGATCGATTATTGGGTACATCATCAGCATTCATCATTCTAGGATGAGGACCGCTACGGCGGTAAGACAAAGTCGCAGACTTGACAGGCGTAGTGAAAGCAGAAGGGTTTGACATATTCTTTTTGCCACTTTTGAGGTTGTCCGAAATGGAAGATGAAGTGATGAGACTAGTAGGAGCAAGAGAACCATTATGATATACATTCTTAGGAGGGGATGATCGCATGATGGCTTGTTGCCAAGTGAGGGAAGAGTCGTCGGGATTACCGATATCGATAGGATGTGACATTCCGGTTGGAGTTGGTATTTTTCCAAAGCTGCTGCGATCTGGAGTAGGCGAAGGAGGGACTGATAATGAACCAGTGGTGCCATCACGAAGGGCAGCAGCAGGTCTCCCAGATCCAAAGAGGGTCATGCCACCTCCACTGGGGTTGGTACCAAACATACCAGGTCCGCTTTGAACGTTGCCTGCAGAAGGTGTTCGAGCCAATCCTGCACGGCCGCGGCGACTAGCTATGGTGTTTGGCCGGGTGCGGAGAGAAGTAGAACGAAGAAGCGGGGAGATTCCGGTGACCGGTTCGTTCTGCAACATTTTTTTGGTCAGGTTGCTGGCAGGTGGTGGGGTCATGTGAGGTACCTCGTGATCAAGTGCGCTAGTCGACTTGGGTTTCGGTTTCTTGCGCTGTTGCCAAGTAAGACCTGTACCGTCAGTAGAGGGTGGCATATCCCAATCGTCCTTCACAGACTTGGACGAACGCGAGTCAGCCTCGGTGGACTTAGCAGCATCTGCTAAAGACGCTACAGACTTGGCTCGACCGTGTCTGGAAGAGCCCTTCGATTTTAGAGGCTCAGGTCGGAGGGTCGCACCAATGGAAGGGGGTCGATTGATGGACTGGGCCGAATTGGGGAGCGCAGTGACGTCTTGGGTAGCAATTTCTTGAGGTGAGGTTACCCGGATAGGGTTCAAAGGTTGAGTTTGTTCGATTGGAGACATCTCTAAAGTAGGTGATATTCTAATGGGCTCAAGATTAATCATAGCGTCAGATTCATCAGACGAAGCGGTGCAAGTGCGGCGACGCTAGGAGAGAAAACAAAGATGTCAGGTGTGAAAGACAGAAGACAGGAGAGAAAGGATGTGAATCTCACTTCATTACGAAATTTAGTTGAGCGTTTGTTTGACTTGGATGATTTTTTGGGTCTGACTGACTTGCAAGGGGGATGAGCCAAAAAGTCAAGGGAAGACTGGGAATGATGAGCAGGCTGGGACTGAAATTTAACAAAAGTCGGTTGATCATCAAGAGTGACTGTCCTTATGCGTCGGTTTGGCGAGGCAGGGTGAGGGTTCAAGTCAGTCGGTTGAAGTGGTGAGCGTAATGTAGATAGGACAGGCAAGCGAGCCGGGCTAAGAGAACGAGCACGATCCCGAGGTTTAGAGCGTTGAGCCGAACGAGATTTCTTGACAGGAAGGCGATGAGGGGTATCTGATTGGGAGGCCTGCTCTTGTAATGCAGGGATTGAGACTCGTTGAACGGCGATAGAGCGGGCTGGTTCTAATGGTTTGTTTGATTTTGCGTTGACTTTGCGGCGAGGTTTGCATAAGGATGATAGTGGACGAGCAGGTGAGGCTGTTGATGAAGGCATATTGTTGTTTGAAGTAGGAAGCTGAGTAGTCGGACGAGGAGGAGAATAAGGAAAGAGACGAATGATGGATGAAGGTTTTGATTTAGAGGCACGACGAGAAGGAGAGGAGAGGGTGGTAGTAGAAGAGATGGATGTAGAGTGATGAGGCATTGATGTTGTTGAGTTTAATGAGGAGGATGTTGAAGGCAGAGAGGAAGTGAGAGGTTTTAAGGAGTTTGAAGTCAGAATTAAAAGAAAATCAAATAATGATGATTGGTGCTAATGAAGAAATCAAAAACTAGAAATGGAAGGTTGAAAACCACTTATTGGCAATCGTTGAAATGAAACAAACAGTTTTGTATGTAGTTGGATTTTAAGTCGACCGGCAGTAAATTTGGACTGTATCCTGATTTGGTAAAAAAAAATAGACTCAAACAAAATTCAAGTCACAGGATATTGGATAAACTATACAGCAAAGAACAAAAAAAAACACCAAAACGAAACTTGTAATACAGTTCAGAATAAATGATAATAAACTGGATTGAGAGAAGGTCTTTGAAGGTTTTGTTAAGTGAAGGTTGACAAACGACAGCGATGATGATTAATCCAAAAGAGAACAAGGTAATCAAGTGTCTGATTGTAATTATAGATAGATCGAATAGAATAGAATAGATAGATGGATTGCTTTACAACCGATTCACGAACCTACAGTCTGGTTAATCAGAAAAGGAAACGAGATTGGAATGAAACAACGGAGGATGCCTTGGAGATGTAGGGTAGGGGCGGGGCTGTTGATGGAGATGATGATGATGATGATGATGATGAATTGGGATGAAATTGAAAAGTAGCATGGACTGGATGAGACTGTTTTATTTTTAAAGTAGAAACCAAACTGTAAATATCTAATCGTAGTCAAAGAGACAGTCAGGTTTTGATTATTAAGTCTTTTTAAATCATTCAATTCAATTCATTTGATTTCAATCAAACATATCAATTTGGAGATCGGTAACAATGACGTGTAACATAAGACCTCCTAAAATTCTTAAGTCCTAGAAAACCTCTTTTTTTAGTGTGTGGAAATATTTGAATGTGGTATTTACAACGATGACAACAAGACTTGTTGATTCAGACAGACTTCAAAGGCTCAGCGACAACGTAAAGTTTTAGTTTGTACTGTGATATGGTTTCCATCTCTTCAACCAATTTCAATCATCACGCAAAATAGAATTCAAAAAACTGCCTTTGGTACTTTTCAAATCACGCCATTTTGTCTTTGGAATTTACAGAAAGCTTGCCATTTCGATATGGCCAGTTATCTGCTTGCTTTTGTTGATGTGCAATCGAAAACTAACTATCCGACTGATCCAGCTATGTATGCTTGGAAACCAAGTGAGATAAGAGGATATCTCAAACATATGTATGTATCAACTTAACGGTCATCAATCGTGTTATGTACCACCAACTCGCCGTGAAGTTAGTCAGCAGAGGTAGCCCCTAAACTGTAGACCATCTCGCAGCCTCTTTTGATGAAAAATTTAAATGAATCAATGATACAATTCTATTATCCCCGCCTTCGCTGCTTCCCCACCTTCATTCAAATATGTTTGACTGCTGCACAGCCTTATCTTGAACTTCGACTTGGTGTAAGTCGTGACGATGACACCGAAATGAACCCCTTTTTGATCATGGATGATGACTTTTGTAACTTGAACTTTGTGGTTTTAGACGGTCACTCAATTCATCGATGACCGATGAGGTTGGTTCTTTAATCAGACTATATGTATGTATGCAGTCACATGATGGTCTTCTGATTTGCATACCTTTTTAGTGGGGTTTTCCAAATCTGGAAGCTTTTTACCTTTTGGATGCATCAACCTGAAAACTTCAAAGCGTCTCATTAGGGACTGGGCGAAGCTCTGCAAAATTGCAATTCAACCGTAGTTGAAAGCGAGTTGCAAACAGCTAAGCCACTGTTCAATCAATATGAAATTTCCTTATTTTTTTTAGTAAGCTTTATGGCACTAAAAAAAATAGGGTGGCGCACAGGCATGACCCTCCCTAAGACGAGCTGTCTATTCAAAATTTCCCCCCCCACCTCAGCCAAAAGCCTATGGCAGAACGCTTCTGGATAGCCTGATATACCTTTCACAGGTTGCTCTCGCTCTGGTTTTGGTGAAATCATCTGACAGTCGGGTCTCTTGGGCTTGTAGGAGTAATCCTGACACCTCCTGTTTGCATAAATCGCTTCGGTCGACTTCCAGGGGATTCATGCGCTTATTGAGGTGGCTAAATCCTCTGTCGGTCGAAACCTCGCCCAGTCCCTATTTAATTCGATCCTCAGTTGATCAGACCATCAGTTGATAAGCAGTCTCATCTTTTTTCTTTCTTTCATCACGACGTACGAATGATACGATCGTGAGACTTGAACTATGTACGTATTCAGATCATGAGGAAAGTACAGCCATACTTGGATTAGGATTGGAAGTCACAAGTTCAGTAGAAGTAGTTTTGTTTGTTCTTCAACTCAATAGAAGAGATTGGTCTCCTGATCAAGGGACTTTTGCTTCAGGATGATCAGAAAATTTGATGGTTACAAGACGTCATCGTCATCTTCTTGATAAATCTCATCTGATTGGATCTCTTTCGGGTTCATTTCTTGTCCCATTAAGCTTGCACAAGGTTTCTAGTGACGGTGCAGGATGAAACAAATGCAGGAAGAGGGTCCGTAATCTAGTCAGAGGTCTTCTGGATTCAAACGTTTTTTATGATGATGACGATTTCATACAATCCGAAAAACTCCCTTCCGTACCTGGATCTCTTGCGGGTCTCGATTTTGGTTGTTAGGTTGGTGTATTAAATGTCAAGACGCCAAAAAGCAGATTTCACCTGGATCTCTTATTGCAAGACGGAAATCCAACTGGTTGTGGGACGCGTCACGGGAAGAATACTTTTCATTCTCAGACCTAGAGTAGCATAGCTCACTCGGAATTCATGATTGATTTGTGTCCACATAAAAATTAGACACCCATAGCATGGTTAATTTGATTTTGGATTTTTCCATACAAGTCATTCATAAGTCGGACACATTTATTGATTTCTTTCCAAGCATTATCACCAAAAAGTCATGGCTTCAAGATCTACAACTATTCCATTATAATATGTTGAAATTTTTAAAAAAAGGAATAAAAATCAAATTTCAGTTTAAGACTAGATTGAGAAAAATCAGAGAGATATGGTATCAGTCTTTTTTGGAGACTACCTGAGAGTGACGCTGAGACATACAAGAATAGCACAATCCCTTTTTGTGTGGTGTTTTTTTTTGGTGGGTTGCTTCCTTTTCTTCTCAAGCCTGTATACTCACAGCTCCACAAACTACATGGGACGTGTAGGCATTCATTGGTCAAAACTATTGAACACCAATTCTTTGGTTTGGTTGTAGCAATAAAACATCATCTATAGATATTTTAGAAAAATTGGGGTGAGTTGAAAGATTGAAATCTGTATAAATGTATCATGTGCATTAATGCTTTAACAAAACTATCATCAATCCTGGATGATGAATTTCTTGAAGTCTTGATGGCTCTTTTGAATTCTTGATGATCAAATCTAGCCACCATTTGCTGTACTTTTCTGTTAGTCTCAGAGAGTCTCAGAAGTAGACTGATACAGTTATGTTCATGAAAAAATCATATTTTTTTTATTTTTCATTGGTGAAATATGATGTTCAAACTTCCTTAAGCCAGTTGAAAACTTCATTATTTTGTCTCATGGTCCAATATATGATGTAATAGTAGTATTTGATCCATGATGAGGACAAGAGTTGACTGCCATGGGTTTAGACATTTTTCCAGGATCAGCACTAGTCCAGAGACCTTTTTCAGGGTCAGGAATATTGTTTTTGTCAACACCAACAATCTGACTATGAGGGGTGAGCAACTATTGGACTGACTCTTCACTGAAAAGATGAAGTGCAAACAAAAGATAGAGTCTTCACTTGGTATACCCAAGTGAAGACTGGATTTGAAGCCAGTGGGATGGCTGATCTGTCCTTTCTTAGGATCTGGCTAGAGCTGTCCTTTCTAAGGATCTGGCTAGGAGCTCTGGTTGACCTTACACCTCTGGAGCCTGAAGCACTTTATACTCTGAGGAGTCAGAAGTGCCGCAGGGTACTTTAGGCCATCCCATGAGGTGTCCTTTGTAAATTCCAAGCTTGATCTGTTAGCTGATAATCCCACAAGCTCAGAACAACATTTTTGGTTTTACACTGACCTAAATGAAGAGTAGAAGAGTAGAACTTTGATAATCAAGAAAACAACAGAATCACTGTACTCAATATTCTTGGTGAGGGATCAAGTAAGATTGGATGAAGAGTTGTATAATGATAATAAGTTGTTTCTTCCTCCAAAGTCAGAAGAGGAAGGGTTTGTATATTCCAAGACCTAGGTGTCAACTTGTGGTTGGTGCTTAGGTTTAATGATTTTCTTTGGGTTAGGTTTCAATTTACTCAAGTCATAGTCAAGTCTTGTTGCTTGAGTTTAGGGCTGTGACCCGGCCCTGGCCCCGCCCGGCCGAGTCTGCCCGACGATATCCATGAGGCCAGCGGTCCGCGCCGCGGTCCACGTTAACCTAAGCTAGTGATACTAGCAAAAACCCTGAGGGTGTCCCGGGCGCCCCGACCCGGCCGGGTGCCCGCTATATTTCCTCACCAAAAACACACGAATACGTGTTCACATTGACTTCACCCCATTTTTTTTCAGCTCCAAGTACAAGGTTGAACCTTGTTACCTCCATCACGGACAATCCGATTCCCGAATCCGTACCCTCTCTCCGATATCACCGTCACGGACATTTGTCGATTGATTCCTCAAGTTAAATAGATATCATGCCCATCAATTCCGCCCCAATCACCAGGCTTTCGTCTCAACTGTTCCGTCCAGCAATGTCCTCTACCCTTTTGAGTGCTCCTATTAGCCCAGCAAGTACCCACGCTCCCACTAGTCTTGCCCCATCCGATTCCATCTCTGCTGCTGCTTCAGATACCACCTCCACTGCCCAAAGTTCTTGGGTTTGGCAGTACTTTCGCCAAGAAGAAAAAGACGGTGTGACGAACAATATCTGCCGAGCTAAAGATGGCTTTATTGATAGCTGCCTAATTCCTGATCCTAACGAAGACTCCGACACGCCAGCTGCGATCTGCAACAAAGCTCTGGCTGTGGACAAGCACGCTAGCACAAAATCGATGATTCGCCATTTGTCCCGATGTCATCACATCGAACCGCCTATCCAAACCGAGCAACCTACTCTAGCAGCTCTCTTTGTTGATGGAACGGTGTGAAAGGTACTTTTTTTTTACTTTCATTTTATTATATCTTTTCATTAATCATTATGTTTTGTCCCAACAGGTACGACCTCTCAGTCGAGACAACCTCAAAGACGTGCTTGTACGCCTGGTTGTCAATCGAGAACTCCCAATGACGGTCCTTGATGCACCTGAATTTCGAGAAATTGTCACGATGATCAACCCTCAAGCGCTCCCGCTCCTATCCAAACGGACTTGTATCTCAGATGGAATCTTGGAATCATATCGATCAACCCGGAATCAAATCATCAATCTCCTGTCTTCTGTCACCCACATCAGCATCACGTGTGATGGGTGGACTTCACCTAGCAACACTGCAATGCTCGGAGTCACTGCCCACTGGATCGATCAGTCCTTTGTGATCCGTGGGATCACATTGGCTTTGAAGCCAATTGAAGGACCGCACACTGGTGCGAACCTGGCATCCCTTCTTAAGCACATCCTTGATCAATTCCACCTTTCCGAGCGTCTCTATTGCATCACCGCGGACAACGCCTCCAACAACACCACCATGGGCCAAAGTCTCTCAAGAATGGTACCCCACTTCGACTCTTCCCAAAATCTACACGGATGTGTAGCTCACGTTGTCAATTTGGTGGCAAAAGCTGGTATGGCAGTCTTCAACCGCAAGGCTGCTCCCCCTCCGGTAAACGCTCTCGATCCGTCATTACCACAAGACTCTTCAATTCCCCTCTTTATCGAGCCTACCTCGCACACTGAGATTGGCAGTGTACTCACTCGAATCCGAGCATTTCACAAGCGTATCAAGCATAGTAGTCAGCTTAAAACAGCACTCGACGATGCTATCAAGGGCTGTGCTGCTTTGAAACGCAAGGTTGGTTTAGTTCACGAGGTATCTACGTGGTGGTCTTCAACCCATGCTTCACTTGCACGTTTCTTTGAGCTCAAGGTTGTCTTACAATATCAATTTAACTGCGACCCTACTCTTGAACCTTACAAACTTGATTCAACCGAATGGGACTTGGTTGAAAACATTGTCCACTTCTTATCACCTCTGGCTCATGTAATCAGAACTCTTGAAGGTCATCTTTATCCGACTTTCTCCCAAGTTATGCCAGATTATCAATGGCTCGTGGAGCGACTTGAAAAGGTAACTTCTTAACATCTTGTTCTTCCATTTTTAATTCAATTTTTATTACATACTGATATCTCTGCCATTATCTAGGCCTGGAACGAATCTACGTGTCAGGAGTTGAAGGTTGCGATAATGCCAATGATACGGAAGGTCCTCCAATATCAATCGGCTGCCCAAACAAAGGCAGTCTACATCTGCTCTGCGATACTCGACCCCCGTCTTAAACTCACTGCTGTCAAGGCTCAGACAATGGAATCGCTAGGCTGGGGTCATGAAGACTTAATTGAATACTTTACCAACGAAGCAACCAAATTTAAACTTGCTCTTGACCCCGAAATCGAAATCGTTGAACCTGAGGAAACCATCACCCCCGATCGTCCTCAACATTTCATCAAGCGCCGAAAAACCGTTCCGATTGAAGATGAGGTCAAAGAATATCTGACCGCACCTCAAGAGGACGAGTTACGTGATCCTATGGACTACTGGAAGACCAGCCAACGTCACTGGCCCAACTTGACTTGCATGGCACTTGCAATGCTTGCAGTACCAGCTACCAGCGCTCCCTCCGAGAGCACTTTTTCTAATGCATTGCGAGTGATGAGCGACCATCGAGCATCTTTTACCTCCTCCAATCTCGAGGCTCAAGTTTTTCTCAAGAGCTGGCTTAAAGTCTTGAATAAATAATTTAGTTTATTATATTTTAATCAGTGAATTAAAGTCTTAGTAAATTGTTTTCTTTTATTTCTATTGGTAATTTTTTTTGTTCAGTAGGCTCTCAAGAATTTTTTTTTATTTTTGAGTACACTCTCTGGATTACATTAAACTGGATTACCTTGAATTGTTTCTTGAAATTGTTTTCACTTTTTATAATAGGCTGTTAAAGTCTTATAGTTTTAATTTTTAAAACTGCTGAAATTAAGTCGAGTTATGATGTCTTTTACCTTGTTTCTGCCCCTGCAAGTGAGCCTGGCCCCGAGGTGTCCCGGCTCCTGAGGCTCAGGGCGTGCCTTGCCCTGCCCTGCGCGATTTTCAAAGGCCCTCGGGTCCACACAGGGCCGGGCGGTGTGACGGGGCGGCCCCGTCACACTCAGGGCCGGGTCACAGCCCTACTTGAGTTACTCTTCATACTGAACCCTGAGATTCAATTCTCATGGTTTTAGACAAGCTCCATTACAGATGCATTACATACATTTGCATGCAAGTTTGTTGGTCTCATGTGGGCCTGTACACAGGGATCAGGGCTGACAGTAACTAAAGTGACACTTTAGAGCCACCATATTTTCATCAGATAATAACTAGTTACCAAAAACTAACACCACAAGTAATGATGAGTTGCATTCCATGATCCAACAGGCTGACAAATCACAAGAAGTGTAGTGGGTCAGACTGTGACATACAAGAAGTTGACAGCAAGAGTCACTTCAGGATTGAGGTAGGTCAAAGATACTCAGCAGTAAGATTTTCACTGAGCTCAGGGATCATAACATGGGTTATTTTTTTCTTTTGTAATTTGTCTTTCAAAATCATTCTTCTGGTTAACTTTCTTCATGTAATATGAATTATATTGAACTTTTATACTTTTTGTCTCCAGAATCAAGATGATCTCTGTTGAAAAAAAATCTCTTCAAGACAAAACCCCACATTTGATTTGATGCTAAAGTGTCTCACATCAGTGAGATTTGATAAAAATTTAAGTAGGTATTCAATACAGATCTTTGGACTTCAAGTTTGTTGTTCTTAGAGTATCCTACCTCAAAAGACCAATGCGAGTTTCTTTCTTGGTTAACTTCAGTCAAGTATATAAACCAAACACATTAAACTTGTTCAATTTTATTAAACTTTCTCAAAATAAATCATCATGACCAAACCCCCCAAAAAAATCAAAAACCTTCAAAAAGATCATTAATTATAAAAAAATCGCATTAGGAGCTTTTGTATATACATATTATATGAAGTAAGTCTATCTCATCTATCTACAAACCAAAACATCACATGCAAACCAAAAATAAAATGAACCAACTTATCAAACTTCATCAAATCGAAAACCTCAAAAAAAACCATAAAAGAATCGAATCGTAAACCAAACCAAAAGAAAAGAAAAGAGAAAGTTCTAATGAACTAGATTTGATGATATATTAATCTGAATTATTCAAACCAAAATCCTCCAACATTCTAAACCTAAAATATCAAATGAACCAATCTCTCTACCCATCAAATTAGATTCCGTTTTAGAATTAGAAAGGATTTCATTATTAAAAGTAGAACAGTTTGTTGAAATTCCTTTTTCTAAATTCGAATCGATCCATAACCCAAATTTACCATCCCTTTAAATCCAATCGCAAAAGAAAAAGAATTAACTGAGAATCAAGAGTATTGGTCGGGCGAAGGGGGGTGATAGACTTACCCTCCTCCTACACTTAACATTTCATGATCACTTAAGATCATGTAATCATTTATACCTGTCCATTCATATTTCTTAACACAAAATCCGATTCTAAAATCACTTGGATCAAACTCAATTGATTTCCATAAAAAACTAAATCCAACCGCACCCAACAGAAAGAAAAAAGAAAAAGCGAAAGAAAAACAAGAAAAAACACATTAGCTTTCAAGAAAAAAAAGACAAATCGATTAGTTGGAATCTTACCATTCACCAGTTCCATAATATTGATTTGAAACTTTTAAAGATTCATTAAGGAAAGCACCAAATCGATGATCAGTATGATCTTTTAAAATTAAGATACATGAACCTTTTTGATGATTTGATTGAGTATAGAGTGTAGATAAAGAAGTTCCATGTTGGTCTATAGAATAAATCAATTCCCATTTAGATGAAATCTTTAATCTTGTAGGTAAATGTAATCTGATCTATAAACAACCAAAAAAACCCAACGTTTTTGGGTTAGGTTTGATGGGTTTTTTTGTTGCGGGAAGGAAGAGGAATGCTTACACCTTCGGCTAGTTCTTCATCCATTATTGATTGGGCAGTTGGGTTGATTCCGATTAGTTTGATGGGGATGGGTCTTCCTTCTGGTCCATCAAAACTCATGGAACTAAGACTTTCACTTTTCATCATCTCGATCTCTTTCATAGGTTTTGAAATCACGGGAGGCGGATGGTTCGAAGAACTGACGAACTCATCAAAATCTTCTTCTAGAGCAGCTGCTAGTTTTTCTTGATCTACTTTTGTTTCGGGTTCAAGACTTTTGAGGATTTGATGTTTAGGTGAATTCGGATTAGAGTCAAGTTTTTTGATCGTATGTTTGGGTGAATTGGATTGATTAGGTTTAGATTTATGTTGGTTTTGAAAATATTCGGTTGGGATCTTGATCGAGCTTGATGATGAAGGCTCTAAGTTTTTGAATGAATTGGGTTTAGGACTTTTGATTGCTTCATTGGTTTCTAAGTTAGTTAAAGTGATCAATGGACTTGAAGGTCTTGAGATCTCTTCAAATGGAACATGACTCAAGTGTTTCTCTAATGCTTCTTTTCTTAATTTGTCTCTTTGTTTTGCTTCGATTAAAAGTTGATCTGATTTACTTAAAAGAGATGAGTTTGATGAGCTTTGATCGATGGATGGTAAACAAAATGCATCTAATGGATCTGATGATGAGATGGTAGTGGATTGAATGGTTTTGTTGTTCGTTAAGATTGATGTTGTTGATGATGTGTTTGAAACTGGTGCTGGTCTTGTTGGATTGAAATCGAATAATGGTTTGGATGATGATGATGATGATAAAGTTTGTTGTTGTTGTTGTTGTTGTTGTGATGGATTGATTGGTTTGATTGAGATGGTGTTGAGTTTGTTTGTTTGATTTAATGATAATGGATCGAATTCGTCTAGTAAGTCTTGCATCCTTCTTTTCTTTATTCTTTTCTTTCCTAGTGATGGTGATGGTGATGGTGATAGTGAGATGATGATAATCTTGAATGATGATGTCGATCTGATCAATCTGACCAAAACTTGGCCATGATCTGTAGTCGAATGGCCCCGCCCCTGAACAGCTCCAGAGGAGGGCCGCGCGGTCCCTCAGGGCTCATGACCCTCGCTCGCGGATCGAAGCCTCAAGTTCACTCGCGTCTTTTGTTGCTCAGAGTGTAACGGGACAAGGGCACCCACACTCGTTTGTGGTTGGTAACTTGCTCACATGCGCTACCAACCGCTAATCAGCTCAAGAATCATCCAAACTTCTTCATGACCATCTCACTCTTAATTTCATCAAGTCATCGATCAATCCAACCATCAAAGGCATGTCGACTACACAACCAATTCAGAATACCAAAACCTATCATTTCAATTACACCCCTTAGACTTTTCTCTTCATCAATTCCATCAAATTGGAAACCAAGTTAACCAAAAAATAAACCAAATCGATATAAACTAAAAACTCATCAAGGTACATCCAAACGATTCTTTGTGACTGGTCATGGTCAATTCAAACGTGTAAGTTTTTGTTTCCTTCTCTTGACTTCGAAACCAAGAATGTTGATGTTGATTTTGTTTTGTTTTGGTAAAAGTCACAAGCAGGTAAACAACATTTAATCACCGGTACATCTCACATTCGAAAAGAAGAAAGTTGAAACCTATGATTATAGTCAATAAAACTCATACTACTAAATTAAGGAAACTTTTACCTTGTGTTGGAAAACGAGCTGGGTTTAGAAAATTTAATGAAATCAATTCGGTTTGGTGGTCAACAGGTAGATTACAAAAATCAGGAACTGCTTTGGAATCGGCTATTCTACGGGATAAAGAGTTTGAAAAATTAAACTTTCGGATTCTAGGCTGAATTCGGATTTTATTTCTAGTTCTAGTTTTGTTTGAGTATTGGATTATGGATCTTGAAATGGAAAAAAAAGTTGGATTATAATTTGAAGGTGATATCATACATCTTCAGCAATAAAATTATCAGGCAATTGAATTTATATAAATCAAGGGAGGTGAGGTATAAGATTGACTCATAAGAACTTCATTTGGAACCATTCATAGTCTGACTTCTGGGAGTTGACAAATCCTAAATATTTTTAAGATAGATTGAACCTTGACATTTAACAGAAAAGGACTAATATTGAATAAACTCCTTGACATGCCTATCAACATATGCTGGTCCCTTCTGAATCACATCAATGGCCATCTGGCCTAGAAGATGCATTGGCCAAGAATCCCTGCAAAGATGATGTCAGGGCTCTGGTGTTTTCAATTTACATTCAGCTCACAAAAAAACTCACCTGTAATATTTTTTATACAAAGAATACTCATTTGGGGTACAAACTGTTGGAGTACTTGATGATGAGAGTGGTTAAACTTGAGATTTATGATTACTGTTTTGATTTCCAATGACAAAGGTAAGATCATGTTGAGCTTGTATAATATTGAGATCAGCTTGATTGGGTGGAAAACTGACTTCTGAGGTTCTGGAGAAGAAAGCATCATTTCTTATACAATTAGTATCTTCAAGAAAGGCTCTGATATGACCCAAATGTGTAAAATCTTGCCTCATATATTGGTCATTGAGAAAGAAAGTCAACTTTTTTCAAATTCTGATGGAACAGAGTTGACTTGAAAAATGTTAGGTGGCTAATAATGACCTTTAAAAGGATTCTTAGGGTATGACTTTCATATTCTTACTTTGTACAATTCTTGTTGGAAGTGGTTCTTTGTTGAGCTTAAGCAATATATGATTCTCGATGGTATGTACTTTTGCTGGTTCTTGTGCGTGGTTTAACTTTGAAGAGATAACCAAATGAGATGGTCAAAAAGGAAAATATGTTTTGTTGAGGAATTGTCTTGTGAATTTTCAGGTGGGTATTACTATTATAAATGAGATGTTTAATGTAACATGAACAAGACGAAACTCAAACCTGGTGTTCATCAATGAATTTTTTTTTACCAAAACAAACATCAACATTTCTTAGCTCTAAATTGTGGAAATGTATTTATCCTTAGGATACAAGAATCAAGATACTAATTTGATTTCAGAGTGTACAACATTTCAAGAAGATTGATCAACAAAAGATATTCAAAATAAATGAGTTGATCAAGAAACAAAAATTCAAGGTTCTTTAAGTAAGTAATTAACAACAATGACCGCTTCTTCCTCTGGTAAACATGTAAAAAGAGGAACAAGTTCAGAACCTGAGAATGTGCGCCAATTCTTTTGCATCGATTTATAGGCTGCCAAACGAAGTTCACGATGTTGCTCAAACAATGGACTTTGTAATTCAGCTATCACAGTACTCTTTTCAAGGGACTCGATGATTTGTTTGTGGCAGATCTCTTTCAATTCGGGAATAATCAACACTTGATTTGCACAGGATCAAAGTGCGTCAGTAATGCTTTAGAAACCAGGGCTCGAAGAAATACATCAGGCTGAGATTTGCTTACTATCGGCTAGACGGTATAAACTCTTTGGGCTTGTGAAAGTTTTGCAACCTGTTACATCGGTATGAGTAGTGGAGTGAGCTTTAGCCCAAACAGGCCAAGAAGTTGGTTGCTTCTTTTTCCCAGTTTTTGCAGCTGTAAGGGAAGTCTCTTGGTAGTATTGTCCGTACGCGGACAGAAGGGGTGCGAAATGCAGAGCTCTAAGTTTGTGACAGACAAAACAGATCTATAAGAATACGGGAGTGATCACAATCACGTTTTGGATTGAAAATAATCTTTACTGACCCGCATATCGCATAGTCGATAAATGCTCGATATGTTCGTCGACTACAAGATTACGATGAGTTTTCTACAAGACAAGCATGTAGGTTTAGAAAGCATCACTAACGAGACGTCTTTCACATGAATAGTTGCTTTGAATGCAGTGTTCTTTTATAACAAATCAGTTCGACTTCATAAATTGCTCAAAGAACCATGAGATCTAAGTACCTTTTCGGGTTCGAAATCCTCTTCTGAATCAAGATCCCATTCCTCGTCGGAATCGCCACAGTATGTCCTCTCATCATGGTCTGCCGACCTATCCAAATGTTGAGTCTCAGAATATTCTGGGGAGTGGCCTAGGTGAACCATGAGTCAAAGCGGCGGAGGTATGCAAATTTGTTGAGTAGATAAGTAGAGTAGGATGGAATGAAAGGCTATAGACTAACATTTTTCAAAGTATTCAAACTGTCTGAGTACGTTACTATAGACATACAAATGCTTAGGAGTTCCGCTACGTTTTGAATCAAAAACCAAACGAGTGATATCAATCGAGGGGGATTTAAAAGCTTCAACCATTTTGGCGCGCGTTTGAGCCATCAATCTCCTCAGAGCAATCAACCCTGATCCTGGGTCTTCACGAGTCCATACTATTTGGAAGTAAAGCGTCTGAGATCTCGCAAGTCGTGATAAAGCTTAAGTGTTCAATCAGGATTCGTATCTATAGCGTGCAGACTTACAGTATCAACTGCTTCTTCGAGCAATTTCCTTACGACCATCGGTTTTCCCACAGTGAGAGTCTTCAAATCGAGTGGCTCGCCGTGTAAAGTGGTCATACCCTGTTGGATGACCTGAACAGCGCTTCCGCGATTTCTGCCGGTAGCAGTTTGAAACTAGATGGCACCCATGTTGTATCAAAATAGTGTTTTGCACGAAGATTAACGTCACCTCTATGGAAGGAAACCAAGTGATCGAGTGATGTTCTTAACTGACCTCCCATTTCATGCTCCATCCGGCATACATAGTCCGCACCGAGTCACTCAGTTCGACAATCAGCTCGTCCGCGTCCACAACCCTTCTCTTTCCCACATTGGTAGTTTCCGTGGTTTCTTTTCTGCGCATATGAAACTCATGAGGACACTTTGACTTGAAGATATGCTTTGGTGGGTCTCGATGTGGGTGATGTAAGTGATGCTCATCATAGTCAGTTATGACGGCGATGACACTATCACGCGTCAATTCGGACATCGGCAGCCAAGAATAACAATTAAATTTGCCTTGAGTCTGGAAGGTCGAAATTAATGGAGTGTGAAAAGAGAGTTTGAAAAGAAAGCAACGGCCAAGAGATCGCTACTGTGAGTACTTGTTCATCTGAGGTTGATTCTCTGTGTACTCACTGTTACCGTACGGTGCTCAGCCATAACTGCCACGATCGAAATGGATAGTCCGTCAAGAGTTTCGAAAAAATAAAACAGAGTCCCTAAGTAAAGGCCTGATACGACCAGGTCTGTGGCTGTTGTTAATGACTGAGTTTAACAATCTCGACAATCTTGACACTGACTAACCAGTACACGCCGGAATGAAAAGTGATAAAGAGATGAAAATGAGAAATGTAGTAAAAAGAATCGGATATCTGACTAGTTGGCAAATAATGAAGGATTATAAGGGTGGAAGAAGCGAATGGGCTCGCGCTCTGTGATCCTCTTGAGAAGAAAACAGACGATAGCCTTTCATCGAGGACAAAGGATACCCTTGCAAGAAAGACAAAGAGAATCTGAGTACATACAGTTCATGAGATCTTGGTAAACAAAATCAAAATGTCTCAAACTTCTTTCAATCTTGCTGGTGGTTCAACCCCATAATCAATTTACCTTTGTGCGTGCATGCAATTGGACACAAATCCTTTCAATTGATACTTTGACTCTACCGTAACAATCTCGGCTTTGAGACATCACATTGTGTTGATGGGAGTTCAACTCGGAAATCCCAAGCGGTACGAAAACGCGTCCAAATATAAGTTCTGGTGACTTATGATAAAAAAACACCTGTGAGACAATGTACCAAGGGTTAAGAAGGAATTGAAACTAGATCAGACCGGTGAATTTTGTCCAAAGAATCAGAAAATTGAGCGACACCGGTCGAATCTGTGAAAAGAACCAGACAAAAAAACGTCTCTTCTTGCTTTTTTAACAAGACCTGAATGCAGCCAAAAAAAAAGGGTACACCGTCTCTTTTCTTTTACATAACAAGATGTATGTACATAGCCCATACAACGTCTTCTTTTTTTGTCCTTTTTCTCTGTTCGGTGTGAAAAACACTGGGAATGTGTCGATTTTGGGTGTATTTTTATCATTTTAATCCAATTACCTTGTCACTGACTTCACTCGAGTAGCTCATAGGAATTTTGTTGTGCCGAAAATTGTTCTGAAGGAAGACCTGTTTCAAGAGATCTTTTGAATGACATGAATAATCAATGAATTGTACATTTTATTTCTCGATAAGTCTGTGTTTGTGTTGGGATATCCATCACAATTTAGCATGAACACAACAAATGAGTTGACACAGATAATGAAAGCAAAATTTTAGGAAGAAAGACGCATAAGTGTATGTTCTACAAGTGCTACAACAGGAGACACCTCCTCTTGCGAGAGAAGTGCGATAAATGTGATAAGTTCAGATTTGGTGAGTGAATTCCAGTTCTTGCGGACCAATTTATAGGCATCCACACGAAGTTCATCGTGCTGTTCAAAAAAGCGGGCTCTGGATTTCAGGGATCAAATTTCTTACACAGTGAGTCAATGATTTGCTTGCGACATATCTCTTTGAGTTCGCGGAATATCAACGCTTGATTCTATCAAAAAAATGTACGTCAGGGATCCTTCATATAAACTCACTGCTCAAAGCAACATGTGATGTTGAAATTCACTTACTATTGGCCAGGCGGTACATACTCTTTGGACTGGAGCATAGGCATTTCAACTTTGACCACTTTAGCCCTTGATATTCAAACAAGATAAACCACACTCTTACTGATTGAGAAACAGTGCTAAGTCATGCACTCTTGACTGAAAATATAAGTCAAGTATTATTACGAATAGAATCAGTGTCCCATTTTGGCAAGCCGTCCCCCAGGTTTGCAAATTTCCAATGGAAAGTTTAATCCTGAGAAGCATATACAAACCCGAGTTTCATACTAATTGTGTCAAGGAAGGAAATGAAGCACAATTCACAGCATACCATGAGACATCCAGACCTGATCCAAGCAGTGCATATTTTGTGACAGAATCATCTTGATGGTAACAGGCAAAACAAGAGTCACTAGCAGAGATATTATCAAAATCAAAGATGATTAGAATGATTTCATACCATCTCTTTTGGAAACCATGACAGATATGCTACAAATCACAAAGAATCTATGCTTCAGTATGTTGGTGCAGCATAAAGCATTAAAAAAAGGCAAGTCCCCCTAGTCATGCTTCCACACTCAAATTTTTGAATCTTGAGGTATCACCAAGTGATTCTGGCAGCATGGTCCAAACCCAAGGAGCACTTTCTGAGGCTTATGTCCAGTGGGACCAGGCTATCACAGGACAGAAGTTCCACAAGACACAGAATTTTTGACTGATGTAGGCTTTTGCCCGACCCCCACAAGTCCAGGGACTTGCTTACTTTTAATCTAGAAAGGTTGGAAGTCAGGATGAGTTTTGGCTAAACAATCATAAGGGATTGTGGGAAAGTGCTTTGGAAAAGGAGGGAAGTTCCAGGAAGGCGGTGGGGAACAGTTCTAGACTGTTATATGTTGAAGTTCCCAACTAATTCACCCTCACATATCTCAGCTCTGGTCTTTGAGCCAAGATGAGCATGGAGGTGAATTTGAAAACATTTTACTGCACCTATAGCCTGGTCTATGCTGCACTGCTACCACGAGTTTACAAATTCAATCCAACACTTTAATCAGGTTCAAACAGATACTCATATTTTCAAAGACTTACAAGGTTTTCTTATGAGAAGATGCACAAAAAATATGAGTAAGTCAAAGGATTCAAAAATCTCATTGGAACCACAGAAATCTGTGGTCAAAAGATCCATCAGAAGATAGCTTGTATTGTACATTTTTACCCACGTCTTTGAGCACATCGGTATTTAATCCATAAATGAATGAATGACACAAGAAGCACAAAACATCAAGATAGAATGATAGGATACTTTCATTTTTGACCAAAATTTAGTCTTGTAAACAAGAATTATCTCTTTGATCTTGCAATGTGAGAGCTAATTTGTTTGAGTAAGGATAAATTATGAACCTTACTTTTCACGGGAAGGTTAAGTTCAGCTTGTGATACTTTTCCCTCTCCAACACTAGAACATTTTGGAGTAAAAGAAGTACAACACAACTGCAAAGTTGAAAGCCACATCTGAAAAGCACCTGCTCCCATGAGTTTTTTGAAGAATCTCAAATTTTACTCTGCTGGAGGGCCAAGGGAGGTGAAATTGTACATAATCTTTGTGCAGACTTGAGACTCCTAACTATTTTTTCAACTTTTACAACCAATTATTGGTTTTGGCATGTTTGTAACTTTGAGCAAACATATCCCTTGCCCATTAGTGAGCTTCTGACTTTAACATGGACATGCTGTGTAATAGTTACAGTTCAATCTGAACAAACAAAACAGAACACAAACAAGGTGGTCTTGGTAAGAAGGGGTCCCACATGTCCCTAACTCAGTGCCATAGTGATACAGCTACAAATGAATCACAATAGCATATTGGGCATTGACTTAGATCTTCCTCCTCTGCTCATATGACTGTCTGAAGTGGTATCCATTGAAGTTTTTTCCATTGGGATCCTTAACTCCTTGAAACTTTTTCTTCCAATTGATCTTTTTCTTTTTATCATTCATACATTGAATATTCAACATCTAAATTGATCGCTGTTGCAAGTTCCCTTTTATGTGAACCTACTCATTCATGATTTATCTGACCAGTGATGATAGATACACATCAAGTGTTAATATTTTCAGTTTTCTTAAAAGCCAAGTACAGATGTAGATACGGGGTTTCTTTTGATTATCTATAACTGTCTTTAATTACCTTGTCACTAGCTTTGATTGAGAATTAACAAAGAGGAATGTACATATATACATAGAGATTTTTTTCAACAAGAATTGCGCTTGTGTCAGGATACCTCTAAGAAACCAGAATTTGAAACAAAAGGGTGAATGTCAAAATAAAAGTAATTTCAGGGAGAAATATGCATGAGGATGTGTTGGTCAACAAGAGTGGCCTCCTCTTGTGACAGATGTGTGATAAGTGATATACGATCAGAGCTGGTGAGTAACTTCCAGTTTTTGCGTATAAATTTATAGGCATCCACACGAAGTTCCTGGTGCTGCTCAAAAACTGGGCTTTGGATTTCGGTGGTTACATTCTTCACATCTAGAGACGCAACAATTTGCTTCTGACATATAGCTTTAAGTTCAGAAATGATTAGCACTGTTTTCATCAAATCAATTGTGCATCAGAGATCCTTCAAAAGTCATGTTATATCACCCCACTTAGAATATTGAGATCTACTTACTATCGGCCAGACGGTACATGCTCTTTGGGCTTGTGAGAGTCTTGAATCCGGCTACAGCGGTGTAAGAGGTGCTGTGAGCGTTGGCCCACTCAGACCAAGGAGTACAATTCTCGTCGTCAGAAGATTCTTCCTTCTCTGAAGACTCTTCTTTCTCTGGAGGCTCTTCCTTCTCTGAATCTTCATCCATCTTTGAATCTTTGTCTGTCCCAGAAGACTCAGAAGATTGTTCAATTCCTGGGCCTTCGACAGCCTGCTTTTTGCAGTACTCTTGATATGTAGATCGCAGAGGCGCAAAGTAAAGAGCTCTAGTTTCAAAACAAAAGATCAGTTTTGCGAGTTGGATTGCAATGTTCATCCTCACATTGTGCTGGAAGTAATAAGTTCACTGACCCGCAGACTGCATAGTCTATAAAGGCTTTATACGTTCGTCGACTGAGGTATTGAAATGAGTTTCCTACAAAAGGAGTGCATAAATGAGAAGAGCGTCACTGACGCGGTGTCTGCAACATGGATAGTCGCTTTGAAGGTAACATTCTACTATCACAGATCAGTTGATCTACTTCGCACATGATCTGTAATGAATCACTGAAAATTCCATGAGATCTGATTAGGTACCTTCTGTGGTCCAAAATCATCGGGTTCACTATCCCATTCATCGTCGGAATCGCCACAGCCTATCCCGTCACTGAGATGTCCCGTCCCATCCAATTCAAGCAACGGTTCATCCACACCTTGAGTCTCAGAATATTCTGGCGAATGGCCTGGGTAAGCTCACAACAAGCCAGGTAAGTGACCTGCTTATATGTATAAGATAGGACAGACAGCTAAGACTGACATTTTTGGAAGTATTCGAACTGTGTAAGTATGTGACTTGCGACATACAAATTTTTCACGGTTCCACTGCGCTTGCAACGAAAAACTAAACGAGTGATATCAATCGAGGGGCGGCTGAAAGTGTCAATCACTGTTTTGCGCATCCGCGCCATTGCTCTTCTCGCATCATCCAACTCGCATTGAGTACTATGCAACCTCGACGCTGCATCTTCACAGGACCAGGATGCTACAAAGTGGAGTTCGCCCTGTGATTGCAAGTCGTGTTAAACTTTCAGTGTTCCGCACGGAGTCGCTAGCGTACCGTGCATACTTGCCTTGGAACCTGGTACTTCGAGCTGTTTCTTGACGTCCATTGTTTTGGCCACGGTGATAGTCTTCCACTTGAATGGGTCGCTGTGCCAAGCGAGCCGACCCCTTGTAATGACTAGATTTTTTTCTTCGCGAAAAAATGAAAACTGGGTGTTTCCCACGTTTTGTCAAGGTTGTGATTTGCAAGGATATCAATGTCACCTCCATGAAAAAATCTGGGGATTACAGCAAAGATCTGAACTGACATTCCAACTCATGCTCCATCCGGTATACATTGTGCAGACAGAATCACTCAGATGGATAATCAATTCGTCTGTACCATGTATGTTTCCTGTGACCGGGAGTGATTGTGCAGTCGGCGGCGGGTCCGACAACTTGATAGTCTTTTGTCTGTGCAGGCTGAATTCATGAGGACACTTTGATTCATAGCGTTGCTCTGGCGGGTCGCGAAGTGAGTCGTGCACGTGATGTTTGTCCAGTAGATTGCAGACCCCCACAATTCTGTTAGGCGTCTCGGATTTCCATAGTCCATCAGGACAAGAAAAGTCAACTTGAGTCTGGAGATTTGAGAAAGCATCAATAATGTAAGCAGAGTTTGAGGCATTAGTACTGGTTGTAGTAATTTGTAGAGGGAATCTCTACTGACTGTCACCGTGCGTTTCTCAACCATAGCTGCCACAATCGAAATGAGTAGCTTTCTGATACGGAATCTCTGAGTTCTTGCAATCAAGTTTGTTGGTAGGAATTGAGCTGGAGGTAATTTAAATTTTCTTCCAAGTTCATATGTACATACATACTGCGACTATCTGTAGCTAGGATCTTCACCCGGGCCGCAGTTTCTCGGGCCGCCCGGCGGGCGGGCCGGGCTAAGCCCGAATTGCCTTCAAAAGGGATGAGGCCCCGGAGCGCTTCGCATTCCGGCCCGTCGACGGGCTAGCCCGGGGACAAAATGTCCAAATATGTGTTCAGAAAGCGTGATTCATTTCTTTTTTCAGCACAACTCATGTATTTTTTCAGGCTGAAATACAAGCAAACATATATAACAAAGTTTTGTAAGTAGAATTTAAGTAGTTTTGATTGAGTGAAATAAGGCCATCTTGTCCCAGCTTTTGAGGCAAATTGATGCCTCAAAATTCAATTCATCCATAGTGGCCTGTTCATCTGTCCACACTCTCCTGCCAGCATAAAATGACTGTTCCGAGGGTGTACTGGTAGCAGGAATAGAAAAGTATGCTGAAGCCACCCTTGCCAAAATAGGAAATTCACCTGCGTGAAGTCCCCAATATTCCAAAGGAGCAACAGTTTTGTTGGCACATCCACTGGATCAATATATCTCGACTTCTTCTTCAACCGTGAACTTTTTTTACGTGAGATGAAACAATTTGGACCATCTTCTTCAAGCTCTGAATCAGGATCTTCAAAAGATTTGTGTGGTTATTGCTGAAAAGTGGCAGCCTCCTTGATAAATTTTGATCACAATTCCTGTTGGTCATACAAACCAGCCATCTCTATTGTTGATGCTGACAATTTGAGGAGTTTGCTTCGAGGATCAAGAATGTTGGCAAACAGATAGATGGGCTTTTTGAGCGCAGCTTCATGGACTCCTGGAGCTTGATCCTCATAGGACCAATCACAGCTTGAAGTGGTTTGTTTGTGTTGCCTTGCCTGCTCTGTGGACGATCATAACCAGTTTTGTAAGCAATATGTAAAACATGAATGAAAAGTTAAAAGAACAAACCTTGTCCAATTTTTCCAATATCCACAAATAAACTGGTGCAGCGTCAGCAGTTGTTGGGTATTGAGAACCCAATAATATCTTAGTTGCTGTGTTGAGTGGCGTAAGAAAGTCAACAAGGTGGGAAACTAAATCCCATTTGCTTTCAGTGAGAGCAAACTTGGCGTAATCACAATTGTGTTTGGTTCAAAAACCAATTGCAGCCCTGAGTCGGTAAGATCACGTGTGAGGTTCACAATCAGAGTTCCAATGTGTATCAACCCGTTGGATAAGTTGAAGATGATCCTTTGGTGGGAGCATTCCCTTAACAAGAAGTGAAAAAGATTCCACATGTTGTGGAGATGCTTCAACATAGTTTGTAAAAGCAATCAAACGAGATAGAGCGCTACTGATTTGATTGGTGTCTTTATTGAGCCAAGCAGCAAGTGCAGGTGGAATTGACGGAGTTTTGTCACCTAGTTTCTTGGAGAGAACATGGAGGCCAGCTTTAGCAACCAGGTTAATGACATGTGTGATACATCCAAGGAGATGTATGTCTGCCTTGAATTGGGGAACTGCTGCTTCCAAATGTCTTCCCATGACAGTGTTAACAGACATATTATCGGCAGTGAGACAAAAGAGCTTATCAACCAAATCATACATTTTCAATGTTTCAATTACATTTTCACATAGATTCTCCCCAGTATGTGACCCTTTGATCATCTTCATCACAATGATTGCTTCACACAGCTTGAAGTCCTTTGAAAACCAGTGAGCAGTGACTCCAAAAATCAATTTATTATGCTGACTCCAGCTGTCGCAAGTAAAATTGATGTGTGAAATGTCCTTGAGGCAATGAGTAAGTAAACGTTGAACTTTGATGAATTGAGCCTTGAGGGTATCAGTCAAGGTAGTATGACCAAAAAAGTACGGCTGAATGTGTGGATTGACCAGCAAGAAAGTGTTCCTGAACTCCTCAGATTCAAAGAGCAAGAATGGAAGTTCCTCATTGACAATGAGACATAAAATTGCAGACCACAAGGTTGAATTCAAGAGCTTATCATTCTGGGATGAAGTATAATACAAAGAGAAAGAAATCAGATGAGAAATAAATATTGGGCACTAGGAGGATGCTTCTAGAGACGAGAATTGGTTACAGAGCCAAGTGACGTAGCTTGACAAAATGATGAAAAAGCCAACTCACGTTACGATGATCACTCTCACGTGTAATCTTACTAATAACTCTCATTACCTTTTTACAGTGATGAGCTCTTTACCTATGCTATATAGAACCCTCCAAGTGGATTTTCGGACTCTTGTTCCCACTTCTTTATCTCAAAGGTTTTTTAGTACCTTCTGAATTACTCGATCTCATTCTCTTTTAGTTGTTCATTTTTCCTAGATCTTCTGATCCATCTAAAAAGATTTTTTCGACCCACCTCTCCTCTCCCTTTTTTATGAGATTGTACTTTTTAGTTCCGCCCCATAGCGGACCTTTTTATTGCCTTTGAGTCAGTTGTACTTTTCTAGGACACTATCCTGTATAGTTTTATCCTTTACATTGCAACTAGGGCTCCTGCCCCGATTCAAGCTAAACACCTCTATCATGAGTTTTAGCTAGAATCACCCAGGCTCCATACCTATTCTGTACAAATCAGGTGGGAGGCACTTACCGGAGCAATTTGGCCCGCTGTAAGGTACTTGCGCATATCAACCGCTCCTTCTTCAATGTGGGAATCTTTGTCAAGGCCGTGTTTGAGCAAGTGTTGACTCATAGATTTTGTACTTTGAGTTGAATCAACTTTATAGTTGCTTCCACACTCCTTACCAGGCTCAACTTCAAACGTGCAAACTGTCCTGTTCTTGTTTTCCTTGGTGAGTGGATTGACAATTGATTCAATCTTGAAGTATTTCCACACCCAGGACATTTTGCTGCCTGTTCTAGAGTTGATTTGATTAGTTATCTTGGAGCAATTGGAGCTGGTTGATTTGACAGTGACACTGATAGTGTTAGGAGGATGAGAGGAATCCAATTTGGCTTCAGATAACATGATTGCTGTTTGTGAGGTACTTTCTTTTGTATTCAAGAGACAGCTTTGCTTGGTTTTCAAGGTGAGAGGGCTGGAGGCGCCTCTCTTCCTGGTTGATTCCATCATAAACACGCTTTATGATATAAATAAATCAATTTCAAGATATAGTTCATGTACACAAGATGATACGGTGGCAATATTGTTCTTTCAATTGAAAAATTTCTTCCTTTTTTCTGATTTTTTTTTAAAAAAGGAAAATACTGGGCAGCCCGAGGCCCGCCCAAGCTTCCCGCGGGCACATTGCAGGCTGGGAAAAGCCGGGGCGGGCTGGGCCGGGTGCAGATCTTATCTGTAGCGTGGGAGCCTGTGGACCGCCACAACAAAAACTGGTACTGTACCACCAAGGCACCCAGGCTTGGCCCTCAAGGGCTGTCTTGGGGCCGGGCCAGGCTTAGACCTGGGGTTTCAACTTTCAGCTGTTGCAGACTCCAGAGAACAGAACATTGTCGCATATGGTGTACATATAGACTCATACCAACATATAAACACAACATGGGTTAAACATGTAAATTTTCCATGTCATGTGTAGTCAAAATTCATATCTGAGCCAAAAAACATCTGACATGACTCATGCCAACACACATTGACATGGATTTTCGATTCAAAAAAACCATGTCCTGATGTGAGTCATGGCGGACAGTCTGAACGCTGACAAGTGTCATACCAACAAACAACATCACATCAGAATTTTGGTGGTCTGACAGGCAAATGGCCCACATCATACATGATATTATGTTGAAGTCATTTTGAAATCTTTCTGAATCTTTCATGAATCTTTCATGAAGCTGTGGTAGTCACTGGCCTGCCAGAGCCTAGTAGCTGGGGGCTGTGAATGAAGCCCATGATACCTTCCTCTATGCTTCCTTCATGCATGTTTTTCCTTCCAAGTAATCCGCACTTTTTTGGGCATACTGATATGTAGTGTTGTGAGGTGGATTGGTAAGGAAGACCGACAAAGGGCTCTCAAGGTTACCCTTGATCCATACCGTATGAGCTCTGTTACATATGTAGGTCAGGTGTACTGTGGTTCTGACAACTCAAGGGCAGCTTGAGGCGAGCTAGCAAACATATGGCAAACATATGGCAAAGGAGATCCACAATTGAAGAAAGTCGCGGACCCGGTCACCGCGACTTTGCTCAATTGGGTTTGACACTTGATAATTCCCGCGATGTCATTTGTATAAGCCTGAAAACAGTGTTATGATCCGCATGTGTCACGAGATCAGTACTTACATGTCACGGGTAGCAAGACAGTCTAGGGGTGTGACCCGGCCCTGCAGCTTCAGAGCCGGCCTCGGCCTCGACACCCTCAAGGATGCTGCCGAGCAGCATCGGGTAGGCTCCGGCTCGGGCCAGCACTTTTTAAGCCTGTGCGAGAGCTTAGGACGGATGCTTGATGACATCAATTTTTCCAGAAACTTGCCTCAACAAGCCTTCAGCAATGCCCCCACAATTTTTTTTGACGGCCGGGGCCCCGAGTAGCCCTGTAACGAGCACTTTCTCACTGCCGCCAGGCTGGACTTAAGGCCCCCGGCTCGGCCTCGATCTGGTCCATAAACATCTCGGGTAGACTCGCCGGAGCAGGGCCACGGCCGGGACATAGCCCTACCCCAGTCCCTCAGTTGTAAAGCCCACGTTGAACTTCTCCCTCAATGGTCAATCGGCTGTTTCTGATTTGCGTACCCAGAAATGCACCCTCATCTTACGGGAAACAAAGTCGAAGGTTAGCACCAAACGAATCAAATCAATACGCCCTTTCATACCGTCTCGACAGCTCTATGGCTGACCTAGAGGCATTTTGACTTTTCAGCGTGTGGACCGATTATCGAAGCTTTACATGAATGTCATCAACGAGGGTTTTGGACTTATTATACAGGAGGTTGTAATGATATCAGAAGACAATTAGATATATGTTTACATGCAGAAGTAAGTTAATAGAAACTATCTCATTTCAAGACTGATTTACTTATCATTGATTTTGATTCATGATCTTTGTTTGTTTTTTCTGGGTGATTAGCGTATGAAAAGGTCTTCAGATCATGTTCGTGAAGGAAAGCAGAAAAGGAAAGAATTAGAACAAGTTTGGCGTGAGAATGGATCGAGATAGGTCCCGAAACATATCATTCGATTTGATCACTCTTGCACATCTTCGCGCATCGGTGTTGAATTTTTCTAGCACATGGACTGGAGCTGTGAGAATGGAGCGGAACACTGGTATTGGGTGAGTCTCTATACCTTTTCGCATCCTACGTGATGTTTCATTGAATACTTGGAATTGAAACTGATGAGGCAAGGTGGTGCAAGTTCAGGTTGGTTCACGAAAAGTAGGAGTCACACGTGGTATTCCCTACCCGATGATTGTAGCTTCGAGTTCGTTGCCCGGAATTCTGTCAATGGTAACACTGAAAGTGTGATTCGAATACCAACAATTGTCCTCCTGCTTTCCGAGCCCTTGGAGCCTTCCACAAATCATCTTTAGCTCTTATTGTCTTGATCACATGGGTTTCTTGCCGCGATATTTCTTGATGAGTGCGTATTTTCGCGACAGTTTCGTTGAAACTTATAGCCTCACCTTGCGTCTACAGGATTGAGGTTCTTTAAATAGATTTTGTTGATAGTCTCGAAGACAAAGGTATTGCCATCCATCAAAGTGGGTTCTACACCCTGGAATCCAAAACGTTTCTTGAGCCAGATTTTGTCCGCCAAAAATTTTTGTTCGACAAATGCCTTTATATATGAGCTTCTGTAAGCTATTCCACCTAAACCCCAAGTCAAAGCTGTTGGCCTAAAATTCGTAAGTTACTGAGTTGATAAATTTGCTATGGTAGACTCTTGAGTTTCTTTCATTTTAATAGTATACATTGACCGAATAGAAACAAGCAAAAGACAAAAAGTTACAGGGGTCCATTATAAACGATTTTTGTGTGGAACGAGGTTTGCTGTATGTAGAAAGATGTAGAGAAAAGGTGAAGAGTGGAGATTGAATCAAAGCGGAAAAGTCAAGAAGATACTAATTTTAAACACAGATGAACAAATATTTACAATCATAACTCGAGTGTCATACAAACCGATCCAGGATCAATCAACCGACATCCTTACTCCGAGGTGGATCATCAGCTCAAAGTTCAGTTAGAAACAAAAGTATTTGAGGAAATCAAAGTTGGAGAAGGGATTATTGGACTTTGTTGTGTGGAAACTGAAGATAAAGAACTAGATGATCCAATGGAAGAGCATAATGACAAGTTACGCTCATGAGAAGGAGGAAAGTCAGGTGGTATATGAGTCAATCCCACCTCTGGTTTGTCCGATGGTTGTTTGGCTGCATCTTTCCATTCTAAATCCAACAATGCACCTATCGACGAGGTTCTCCAGTGAGATGAATTCTTTGCATCAGGTGATTTGTGGAAGTCTTCAAACTCTTCTTTGAAATTCGAGATTCCAGGTGGTTGGACAAACTCAAGATCCGACTCGGCATCTTCAGACTGGGATTCGAGAGCTGCGATAGTCGAAAAGGGATCTGGAGAGTGACCGGGTTCGTCTTCTTCTTCTGGTCCCATTTGCATTTGGCGTATGTTTTCATTGAATCCTGCGTTCCAATGTTCTATAGTCTTCAAATGGTCCGGAATCGATCTCCAGCAAGCCTGAGCCTCCTCTGATACGACGTTGAACGGAGCGAACGGCTGTGCGGCAGTTTGGGACTCATACCCTGGATTGAGAGGAGACGATGGGGCGGAGAGGGACTGCTGGGATATGGGGTCCAAACTAGAAAATGACAATTCAACTTCATCGCAGTTTTGGTATTCTTGATCGTGAACCTCGTGTTGGAATTCGCGCAAAATCTGTTGGTACGCTTCATTCCAATTCTCGGTAGTCATGATGCGATCAAAGTGTGTTTTACGATGTACTTTGAGTTGTTCTGGGCTCGTACATGCTGGTCTGATTGAGAGAGGTACGTTGCTAGTGCTGCTTGAAGGTTTGCGGTTTTTCATATCGTTCATGACATCATCAATAAATTCAGTCCCGAACTCAGATAGTGGACAGTTGTTCTCAGAGACACGGTCGAGACTTCCGAATTCAAACTGATCATAATGGGATGGGGTTTCCTCGACTTCAGGGTGCGCTTGCTCAAGATTACCATCGGGTGAAGGGGAAGCTGTGTTATCTTGCAAAAGTTGACATTGGAAGGTTCTTCCAGATTTCCAAAAGTAAAGCAAAAGTTCTGCGTCTTCTTCTCTTGCGCCCAAATTATTGTCCTGAAGAGTTGTAAACAGATTAGCATTCAGTAACAACCTAATATTTTTGAAGCGTAAGTAAGGAAAACTCACACTACGAGAAGAAGCCGATGTTGTTGCGGGAATATCACTTGGAGCATGTTCTTCGGTTAAGGGCTGGTTTGAGATTGGAATAGGAGGTGAAGAAAAGTCAACGTCACGATTCAAGATAGTGTACACGAATGACAGCCTTACCTGCTGTGGCTTCATAGAGATAGACTCGATGATTGATGATGAATCAGAGATTTTCCCATCGGTGAGAGATATATGTCTTTCGGTTTCGTGGTTGACGCGTCCAGATTCCCAAAAATTGAGGGCTTCTTCATCAGTTGTGCTTAGGTCGATGAGCTGTGATGAAATTGAAACGATTCGGTTCAGTTCATGAGTCTCGATTCCAATCGTCAACGGTATCGAAATGACGCACCTCAACATCAGCCACTGAACGTGAGGAATTATCGTCCTTGCAAGAGTCATCAGCAAACAACGGTAGCTGACTCTGAAGATATCAAGAAAACATGAGTAAATAAGATGCTGCTGGTATATCGGAATCAAACCATTCAAACGACCTACATTCTTTGATTGCGGAGACTCATCCTCATATGAGGATGAAGACTTATGATCGCATCTGAGCTCAGGGGTTGTAAATAATTCAAGTTTGATGTCAACAACGGACACAGTGTACGTAAGGTCCTGCTGAGGTACGCGGGTAGACTCCAAGAACCACAGGAGAAGTTGCACAGTCGTTTCGACAGAACTGGTGATCTAAGCAAACAAGGGAAAGCTCAGCAGCTGAGATTTCATGCGCGATTTACCGAGCTATGCAGAGCAAACAACACACCTTGGAAGTAGGTGCTACTTTTTGAGTGATGAGCTTAAGGCTCGTGGAAAAAATCTTGACCGAAATTCGATTGAAAATCTACACGAGAACATGATAAGCAGAAACAACAGCGAGCAAAGTTTTATGACATCGAAGAGATAATATTTCAGGCTTACGTTTCCAGGTGCCAGCAGTTGAACTTGATGGCCGTGACCAATGTGTGCGTAGCTGTATAGCACGATTTTTTTGACGATGTCCCAGACTTTCATAATGAAAATAACAAGCAAATGCAAACCGAGAAAAATGAAAGACATGGTGAGGATAATTCACGCGAAAAGAGCGATGATAACCAAGGTTGTTGTGAAAGAAGTCCAGTACACTGAGTATTTACGTGAAAGGTATGAAGAATTTTTGATGATAAGAATATAACGCAACTTACGCAAGGGACGAGAGTATTTGTTAGGAGAGAAAGTCTGAGACGTGGAATGAAGCTGGGACAAAATTGGTAGGAGGAGGCATTGCTTTTGATAGTCTTCCGGATGATCTTGGTGACCACTTTCCTTCAATCCTGTTTTGTGAATTCGAGTCTTGTGACCCAAGTCTGGATGGAGACCAATCAGCATGAATGAGACATTCCACCCTAGCGTCAGTCTAGGTAGCACAATTTCTTTATGGCTTGCACTATTGAAATTCTCTCTCGGTCCACCATCGACACAAAATCGGATCCGAGTGCTCAACACTTCATAAAACCCAGACTTTTTGCAAACACAACTTCCCTTTCATGATCAAAAATCGTGAGCAGTTGCGCAAGTCCCGCATGTTAAGGTGAAAGGCCATCCAGGGATTTGCCACTCCATCATCCTGAACATCGAAGTTATGATCAGTACGGCCAGCGACTTAATGCCGATCATGAGCCTGGCATCGGTAGGAGCACACTTTTCGTCAAAGCACAATGTCCTTAGTTTGTACTTGAGCCTGAGCGTCAAACTCATCGGTCCGATAAGCAATTGGATTAGGCGTGCCGTCTTGTGCCTTCACAATGACACAAGACTCACTGACCAGCGAACAAGCTTAGGTATGTACATATACCCAATTGTAAGCTTAACCTAAACGGCAGTTTGCAGACTGTGGTTGTGGTTTCTCATTCTGCCTTTCATTGACATGTCTGTGATGAAGATGGAAGTGTACGTACCTTTCCGTCTCGCCAGAAAATTGAAGCAATGTTAGGATTGATTTCTTTCCTCCAGATATCGTGTATGTTGCCTGTAATGCCTCACAAAGCCTCAAGGTCAATCAACAGCATCTCCAATGTGCCCAGATGTACCCTCTTCTTGAGACCGCATGCCTTGGGACTCCATTTAGTCCTGCAGGGCCTTGCGCAAGCCTTGGACCAACTTGCACCCCGTGTCTCAAAGTAATTGTCATATGAGTACTCAGATCTCAGATGTCTAATGCAAAGCCTTTTTGTTGACAGTGTAATTCTGCAGGTGTAAGTCTCAAGATCCGAGTCTTCAAATTTGTTGTAATTTCAGCTTTTCTTGTATAAAGCTTAAGAATTAGTGTACTTTTCATGTCAACTATTTTTGGTTTGATGGCTTCAACATTTTGCACCATTTCATTTTTACAAGTCCCCCGCTCAGACTTGTCTGAGCCTCAGACTCGTCTGAAAGGCAGGGTCAGACGCATCTGACACCCATACCCCCATCCCTCGTAGTGGACAGACGAGTCTGTCCGTCGATTCCCCTACTACATAAACGCATAACACACACTACGCTCATACCCTCCTCACCCTCTCCTCCCCTCCATCAGGTCGTAAGCTATGGATCCACCGATCTCACCACCTCTTTTCAAGTCCAGCGAAATCCGGTTGGCTACAACATCGGGCTGGAACAAATCCAAACTCATTGACAACACCCCATCCCACCTTCCCTTTCCTGTTCATCCGAATCACCTTGTTCATTCTCATTCATTCTCATTTCGAACCTCCGAAATTGTTGTTCCCTCACTTTTCTCTTTAGACCGCATCGTTATTTATTGAAGCTCCTGAGTCCACCCTTCTCTAGCCCTGTCACTGTCGGATGAAAAAGCTCACTCTCGATTTGTGGTCGATTTAACTACTTCTTTTTTATACTCTAAACATTGATGTTTGTATTTGATCTTTTACTTACTCACGGTTTGAAATTGATGGATTTACATATGTACCTCCTTTCACTGTCAATTTGAAAATGGTGAGTGGTTTGGTTTGAACGACAATAGAGAGGCTGAACAATTTGATGTGAGAGTCACACTCACACCTACTCGAGGTTGACCAGTCATCTCAATTTAATATCACGGTCGAGGTCGAGTGATTCAATATGTTCTCCTCAACTGTTGAGGTCAAGGGATCTCGATATGAAGTGACAGTACATCGACGTGAATGTGATACAAAATGATCGAGTGAGATCATGACTCATGAGTGATCTGAATTTGGTTTTACGCTTGAAATTGGGTGATACGAACAAAGAGATACCAGATAACGTATCAATTCTGCTTTTCAATTCCTATTGAATGTCTCCTATATATATGTATTTCCAAATCGATCAAGTGTCTTGTGTGCTCATATGTAAGTAGTACTCATAGTTTACTTCCTATCAACTGCTCACAAAGCAAATCATGTATGATAAAGAACTTTTTAAAGAAAAGTGCCTTGGATGTGACATGCAGAAGGGGTCGGATTGTTCTGGATGCAATCTGGGTTAGCATCTACAGCAGTCACAAAACATTTAAAGGTTGGATTTGGAAGAGACAAAAGCTTATAAAAACATATTGTAGACGATGTTTTCTTCTTGAAACTGTAGAGAAATGTCATAGAGTTAGAAATAAAAAATTGAGAGATCTGTAGGTAAGAAGAGACAATCAAGAAATTGTAGAAACTCTATATTGGACAACTTTTTTGTTTTGTTTTTGGTTTGAATGATATTTCCAATCTTGTATTTGAAACTGTAGAGTTGGTTGTTTATGATGAAATTGAGCCAAGTAACGTGAAGTCGTGCAGTAGAGACAAGGAGAAACTAAAAAGGGGAAGTTGACCAATCGAGTAGGGATGTGAATTTTCTTTGTTCTGTGATTGTTCGGCAAGAGGTTGAATGGATGTCATGGAGAAAAAGTTAATTTTTAGACAATTTGAATAAATGAGAAGTGAAGGAATGTCTAATCTGACCTCAATGACAAGATCGACATCAGCTTTTGATGCAGAGTATTACCAATTGTTCTCATCAGGTAAGCCGTCATCATCAGGTAAGCCGTCATCATCAGGTAAGTTGTCATTGTTTTGGTCCGGATCAGGATTGGTCTCCTCCAGAATATTGCCCGAGTTCGAGATACCCCCCCATTCCTCTTCCGCTTCGTCTTGGATAACCGCCGAATTTGATACCCCGCCATTGTTCAAAACACTGGAGTTGTTGAGTTGATCCGGGTGCTCTATGATCTTCTTGAACGTAAATAATCCTGCCTTCAAGTCATTCAGCCATAAAGTTCTCTTGCTGTTCATTTTGTCAAAACCTAGGAGCAAATCTTCACGTCGCAGAGTTGATCCAGGTAGTTGGACTGCCTCAACTGGAAAACCCTTGTCTCGAAGGTATTGAGCGGGGTTGGGCTTGCGAGGGAACCCTTTCTTTGGGCAGCCACCAATCACCTCGACTAGACAGAAAGCACCGGTGACAGAAAGAAACGAATCATGTATAGTTGTGAGTATAGAATACACAAGCACAAGATATTTGAGATCATAATGATTGTGGAAAATAAAACACATTGAAATCTCTTACTCAAATGAGCACGCAGAAGCTGACTCAGTTCAGATTTAGTCTTGTCTGAAGCCTGCGGTGCCTTTGTTGAAGTGGACTGTGACTGTGAACCATTCACAGCTGCTAGTGCTTGCTCCACCGAAGCGCCTTGAACACGAGTGGCAAATATTGCCGGGAAGTTGCTCTTGTTACGAACGTAGTCAGCCATATCTTCGTGCGAGGTATACACTTCACACCATCCATCAGAAGGTTTCCCCGCATCGGTGTGGACATGGGTACCAGCTGCAATGAGATAGTAAGCAAAGTCCATCCTGGTCGATTCGTTCCGAATCTGCCATCACTCAACCAGTCAGCAAGTATATTGGCCACAATGAAAGGAAATTTAATCAACGTACCTCAGAATGGATTTCTTTCACACGTTTCAGCGAGAGTCGATTGTGGTCTGCAAGTGATTGACCACCTGGGATCCCTGCAGCCACGCTGGCGTAGACCTTTGATACTTTATTGATAGACACCGATTTGTCGTAAAGGTTCTGCAACTCGTCGCGATCTGCAGATGAGAGTTCAACCGGCTTGACCTTTTTGGGCAAAGGTAATCCAGACAGAGTGTAGAATATTGTGGGGTCATAAACGAGTTGTTCCATGTCAGGTAGACTGGTCCACTTGTTGCCAATGATCTTGTTACGTTCAGCAAGACTGGCTGGTTGACCTGATGGAGGCACTGTAGTCAAGGATGAGCAACATATACGCACATAGATGGTTTTGTAAGGTCATGTTGGGACTTACTATGCGTCTCTTCAACAAACTTCGAAAATTTTATCCAGATACGATAGCCATCTTTCTTACGCGATGATCCAAGATCACCACTTACAAAAACAAAAAGTATCCACTGATAAGTAATTGTGGAAGACATAAGTAAGTAGAAGTATGGTTTCTGCGAGCAACTTACATGGCTTTGTCAAGTGTAAATAAGGATACATTCCCCATTAAAGCAAGCATCTCTTTGTGATGATTGTAGAGCGTCTTGATTGCTTCCGCTTCGGTTTGGATGTTCGGAGGTACTGCTGAGCCAGTCTTACCAGATTGACGTCGAGCTTCGGAAATCCGTGAGGTTGGCCACGCGTTTGCCAGTGACTTGTAGTTTGAGACTGTAGGAAGGGTCCAATCGTCATTCGATAAGCTGTTTATTGAATTCTGGGTGGTTGTATTAGTAGCTGCATAATTTGAAGAATCAGCTAGTTGAGTTCGAGGACGCTTAGTCGCCGGTGCTTGAGATCGATTGTGATCTTCGAACTCTTCCTCTTCCGAATCAGAACGGTCGTGGTTGGGGTTAAACTGGTCACTGAGATCACCATCACTTTCAAGGTCCTCTTCCTCTTCATACCTGCTCCTCTTGTTGGTTTGTCGAAGATTGCGTTTGTGTTGGGTTGTAGGCAGATCTATCGGCGTTTGGGTTTGATTAGATGACGTAGATGATTCGGTGTTTGTGATTGTGACGGCTTGAGAGCGGGTAGGCCTATTCTTGCTTTGGGTTGCCGGTGGAACAGTTTTTCGAACTCGGCCAGAACGGCTAGCACTCGTACTGGAGATAGTCGCATCGGTAGGAGAAGGTTGAGATTGTTGGGATCGAGTGTTTCTCATGCTGGGTGGAAGGAATCGATGATGTAGATTGCTCTGACTGAGAGACGTGGAGGTGTAAACAGGATAGATATCAAGTTCGAGACTTAAAAATAAAAAGACTTTCCTCTTGTGTACACGTAAGATATAAGTATTCAATACATATTTATCAATATGTATCAAAACCTGAGGTGCGCGGTTGAACTTCAGCATTCATTGGTTCTAGTAATGCAATGATTTTCATTCATCTTCATTCTTTTTTCTTCTCGCGTAATCAACCACCTTTCACTTTATCACTGATATGCAACAGAGTTTCTTGAAGCGCAACAGACATTTGCAGATTTGACAAACTACGAACAATTGAGGGTCCAAGTCAGGTAGCTTTTTCTTGCCTTTCTTACCATAATGCTGATTCCATTAATTAGCAAACCAAAGAAAGTCTGTTCGAAATAAACATAAAGTTGTAAATGTAAAGTTTTGCATTAGTCATTTAGATCACAAATTGCTTGTGAATTACCTTCCGTAAAATGCTAGGTAAGATTTTGCTTTTGAGGTGACTTCTTGATGCAACTCTATAGCTTTACCAACCTTTAAAAGGTAAATATGCCTCTCACCGCTTTGGATTCCCTTCTCTAAAACACACAACATAACACTATTTGTGGTTCTATCAACTTTGGAATTTGTTGTTGCAATTGAATGATGACAATCATTCAATCTAAATCTAATCTAGAGTGTGGAAATAAAGGATACCAGAATGAATGAGACTGGAACTGGACAAAGGATTTTGTCACATCACTTTGATTAACTTAGTGTTGATGTCTTTTCACCAACCAATGAAACTATAGTGGGTGTCTGGTTATTTACAAAAACTCTCCTTTCATTTGAATACCTTGCTTTGTTGTCATATCAGAAGAATATGGGTAACATGGGTGTAACCCAAGATCAAATCTTACACTGCCTTATGCAATTTTCTTTGCCATTCAGGTTGTACCAAATGATGATATTCATACTTGAGAAGATACATTGAATTCTTGAAAAGATTCATTAGCATCCATCCAAATCTTCATAACCACGGTAATACATTGAAACAGTGCTTACAAGCTTTTGAATGTGGCCTGACTTGGGAACTAAGGATGCAGTGGAATTTGTGTTTGGTGTTGGGACAAATAACTTGACTTGGGTTAGAATATGAAGTGCATTGGTATGGTCAAATGATAAGAGTAATTCATGCTGCTTCAAAAGGATTTGTTTATTGATACTTATACCGTGGTATTCCAGGGTATACCTTATACCTGGAATATAATATAATCACTCTTAGTGAGTTTGTATCATTCTTAGTGAGTTTGTATCTGTGAAGATTACATAAACTCATCTACCTAAGAGAGCTTATTGCTTTGAATTAGTGATATACTGATCACAACCTTGTGAGTGTGGTGTACTTTGTGGCAATGACTTTGAGATCCGTCATGGAGGTATCTAGGCGCAATTTTGGGTGAGGCAACCAAAAAAAAAAAAAACTTGATATTTTTTGTTTTTTTCATAGGTTTATGTTAAACAAAAAAGGGATTTTTTTTTTT